ACTCGGCCCCGAAATCATTTACTCCTCCAAGCCTAGCGTACTCGTCAGGTCATGTGTATGCATTGTTGTCCATAACATCGCTTGCACATGAGACCTGACGGATATACTTGCTACATAAATTGTCATGATTTCAATCTTCTCGCGACGCAACATGAATGCCTCGATGTCTCAATTGACACCGCAAATCCACTCAAGAACCAATCTACGCTAGCAGCCAAACACCAATCACCACCGAACACCTTCTAGGCTGATTGCGATTGCCACGCTGATAATCAGTACGTATAAGTATCTGCACTAGTAGTAAGTTCGTCCACCTTTCTTGATCGTACCATCAAGTGCTTCGGGCGCTAGCTAAAATGCCTCTCCGCAGCTTTCCCAGTCCTCCCAGAGCTGTATCTTACCATCAGAGCCGGCCTCTGCCCACCATCCTAGCAATCTATCGTACTCCCTCTACTCCCTCCAATCAAATAAACTCTCCCACATCTTTATGTTCCGACCTATGGAAGCTCTTCGGTGACATCGCCGTAGAACCCATGCGCGCCGAGCTCCGGCGCACAGCCTCCACCCACCACTCAGGCGAAAATGGTCTTCCTCAAGTCTTCCTTCTCTTACTTACTTTTATAGGGTCGCCTCCGGCGAGCCGTAACTCCATTTAGTCTGGAACTAAACTCCATCGACGATTCGGCACACGACCAGCGTAGACGAGTCAGAACTATTGCTAGGTTGTGTAACGAGGTCACATCCCATACATTGTAGTGGCACAGGGTCAGTGCAGACTAGTTACGATCTTCAGTCTATCAACTCACCGAGCACTCAAATGCAGATCTCCCGATCTGAGGGCGTCGAATCATTATCTGAGTACGAAGCCCGTCATCCCTTGCATCATGCCATCCGCCTCTACTCAATCGATATATCGTCTGATAGAAACTCTTGCCTGCTCAGTCTTCCCCACCGAGACGTGCATATTCCGAGTTTGCAGTCGTCATTATGAAAGGTCGAGGCTCCCAACAACATATCTGCATCTCTTCCTGTTCAATACGCTATATTTTGGCTGTCTATCAGCAATCTACCCCGCTTTGAAATCCATCGGAACCCGTTCTCCTTCTTCAGAGGCCTTAGCCATCGGTGATGCTGAGGATGTCACAGCGGATGAGTCGCTCCTTCTGGCTGAAACTATCCGTTCATACACGCAGCTAAGATATCTGGATTATAATGGGAAGCATAGAACCACCTCTCCGACCTCTCAATTGGAGTGTGGAGTAGCAGAAGCTGGCCATTAGACCGACGTGATCTCAAATTCGCACCTTTCTTCAATATCGATTTCTATGTAAACACGTTCGCCTCCCCACAACAGTTCGAGATGCATGCACAAGTCATGCCCGAGCAGCTTTTTTGTGCACTATCGACGCATCCCACACCCTCGAATACATCATTATCATCTCCTTTGATTCAGACGATGACGAGCACTCAGACAACTGTTTGATAGCAAATCACACGCAGCTGCGAACATTGGGGCCTCGTATTTGAAATGACCCCGTCTACCTTGACAACGACCCATGTGGAGTTCGCTTCATATTCGCTACAAATCACCGAGTTTATCCACCTACCATTACTTACATTCCACGGATCATTCAACGGGCTCCGGCTGTTTTCCCCACTTGGACTCTCTGCAATGACGCATCGATGGTCCGATATCGATCCTGAACCCGAGTCACCCCCCTGCAGCCATCTAATGTAGGCTTCTCTATCGTAAAGGATGTCGCTCGGATCATTATCATTTTCTCTATGCTCCCTTGCGTCAAACAAGTTACTTAGACACGCGGACGAGAATGAGCGGGACAAGGTTAACCAGCACCTTGGATATTTGACATCTTCCGCGGTTGCTAGCCGTCATATCACCCCTGGTTACCGGAATTCGGGATTTCTACAAGTATGTGTCGGGGCAATTGTCGCTTTCGTTAACGTTGCAACTCGGACGTCGTTCTGGTGTACTGTGAGATGCATACTTGAAGCTTGATGATACGAACGAGGCTACGTCGCTCGAACGTACGCAGTTGCATATGCTAGGCTGATATGATATCTAAATGAATACTTGGTCGGTTTCTCTATCCTCGTTTGATATTCCCATCCCCCGATTTCACCAAGTGAATGCGTCTGGTACACAAGCGAGCGTCTGCATGCGCTTGACATCTCGAGGAGGACAGTGAGATCAGCAGATCCATGGGTAGACGATGACGCCATGATGGGCAGTACTATGTCAGGGAATACGGGGATTCAACACAACATGTGATATTCTATCCATGACAAATACGATGCAAAGCTCCAAGCTCCATGTTGAGATACGATATAGCTACTTATCTCATAGGGTCCAACAACCATATAGAAGATATAACGAGCCACATGCTGAGGTACAATAACCACGTCCAGCGTGGAAAAAAAGATAACCCAACAATCATATACATGGATGACGCGCTAAGCAAGAACGAAGAGAGGAAACCAAGTCGAAATGAGTCAACACTGTTGGTGATAGAATAAAACGAGTATTGTTGATCGTAGATAGCAGTGCATCAAGAAGGAGACTAGAGTACGGAAATGAAAAGTTAGCAGCAGTGACAGATACAGGGCAAGGGGGGGAACGTACATATCCCTACTAATAGGTCGCGTTCTTGGCAGGAACAATGTACCCATGGACCGATTTGGTCATCTCTTGGAGACAGAAGGGGTGCTCTCCATGCTCAGCGTGGGCCTTGCTAGTAGCAAGCAATGGTCTGCACCCCTTCAGATGCCGAGTCAAAGAATCAGTCCTCGAGCACAGCTTCTTGCAATAGGGGCATTTGTAGGACGTAGCAAAGTGGACGCCTTCGATGTGACGGCTCAAATACTTCATCGCCTCTAGGTCCGAGTAACCCTCAAATTTGCAGGAAGTGGCTTTCTTCATGTCAACACCATGCCAATACCACAGGTGATCTTCGATGCCGGCCTTGTCCACCTCTATGAACAGACCACATGGCTGGTCGGTCCAATCGCATGAGCGTACGCAGGTCAACTTTGGTGAGAGGTCCTTCGTAACGTTTCCGGATCCATCGGGGTAGTGATCATCCAATTCCATCACCCCAAATCTCCTCGTTCGAAGGGGATTGCTGTGGGAATCAAGCATAGGCATAGATTCACTAAGAAAATGATGAGATGAAGTGCGTCATCAAACTCGAGATTGAAGCTGTGACATGAAAGACTACATGTAAAAGGCATTGTTAGCATATAAAGATATCAGGACGATGACCTTTGATATACCTGGAATGTGACGATCAATGTACTTCTTCACTAGACGATGTACAACAGTACAACTCCGATAAGATTCCAAGATGATAATAACGGCATTCTTGCGGAGGCATACTCAATCAAAACCATAAACTTTAGCAGAGGCACTTGCTCAAGACAACAGCAAGAGAACTCAAACACGAGCGGGAAGTTGATTCATTATAGCTTAAAGGGTCAGTCGCATTTTTTATTTGTACACATGCAAAGACACTTACCTTGGCTATCCACTGTGTCGTAACCCAGGGTATACCTTAATTTAACGTGGTAATTAGAGGGGATGATGTAATGTAACCACTCGAAGCATGCCGCAATACTTTCGAGATGAAACTATGGTTCAACATTAGCGCTTAGTACATGGAGATTCTACGAGCCAATTGGCAATGCAATAAAGGGGTACACAGCATGTGGTGTCCCAATTATGATGTAAGATGAGGGTGGTATTCTCTGTGCTAGGTGACCGTCAGTCAACAGTTGCGCTGTGAGGAAAATCGATATACATTACATATCGGTTTGATAGGTGTATCAACTATCCACGGTTATTATAACTTTTTAGAGGCATAGAGCTGCACGCATCACGCAATGGTTGTATCGAGATTAGAATTCGCCGTAGCCTCAATTGTGCCAGACGGCCCAGACCAGTGCATGAGAGCAAAGTTCAGAGGGTAAGCGTTGTTTTGGTCTGTTGTGCAAAGGCTTCCAGGAGTTTCCTTATATGGACTTCTCTGCACTTTGCAGTAAAGTCGATGAGCTAAGAGCTTGACTTAGTAAGCTTGAAGCTTGATGCATGGCTCTTTCTACCCATACTACTCCGTCAGGTAATTCTGCATTCCCAACAATTGATAATGCTGCATGCTTCTCAAATACTGACCTACTAACTAGGATTTCTGCTACCGTCAATCCACTCAGCACCCCCCTTCTTTACGTACGCATTCCGCCTCAAATCCTGAATTGATATTCACACCCACCAGACAGTGAGCAACCAAACCAAAGCACTCACGCACATCTCACAGAGAAATGGATACACCTCATACTGACATACGCGAGACACAAGCGTCTCTTTGTGCTGCGCGTTGAGGATGCAGAGGTCCCGGGCGGCGAATGGGATGAGATCCTTCGTAATGAGAGGATAAACCGTGCGTTCTATTTCAACTGTTATTTTTGCGAAGACTTGTTGTGACATATGTGTTTCAGGACGAATCTTACCGCAGTATCTCTCGTCGTTGATGGCTATCATGGTCGCAAAGAACCTCGCCGTCTACGAGCCGTCTAAGCAGACCCGTGCAGTGCTGCTTTACTGGCGTCTTCCGGAAGAATGGGCTGATGTTCTCCATTCGTGGGTTAGTACCTCCTTCAATCTCAAGTTAAATAATTTATCGTCGCATACAGGCAACGGCGACTGGCCAGCTCAATACCATCCTCACTTTTTATGAGATTTCAGACCCTCCCATCCAGTCACCTCTTTCTGGTATTCCTATACCACTCCTGCGGCGGGCTATTACCATTCTCTCACGCTCCAATCGAGCACAAATCATCGGGGTTGCTGATGGCGAAGGTGTGAGGTTCTTTGTAGGATGATTTTTAGAACAGAGACTTGTAATCTGATAATGTACGTCGTTGTACTACTTATACGCAATATATGGTAGTCTACCGCAAAGCAAGCTATGAACAAACATTTAAACAACAGTGATGATAGTACACGCTCATCTTATCGCAGTTCGAGTGTCCTTGATGAACTCATGAATTCTTGTCAAATTTACGTCTTGACCCCAGTACCGCAGTGCCCACCAAACGACCCATTGGATCCAGCTTTATTGGAAAGTCAGTCTTGGACTTAGATGCAGGGGCTTTTCTCAGCGGAGAACCTGGCATCTGCATGGGAGATGGGAGCAGTCTCGCATCACCTCTTTCTTCAGTAGCCCTTCCCTTCCCCTTCGTTGGTCTTGTAGGTTGCAATGAAACTTTCACTACCTTGGACGGTCGCGCTCCCATAATGGCGTCCCCCTCGTTCTTCCGCTTATTCGTCTTAGCTGCTTTCTGCCCGGTGTAATTGATGGGAGAGCGTGATTGTACACTGTACGGGCGATACGGGCGATCCTCAGGAAGTGGTCGTTCGCGGTCGTCCATGCTCTCCGTTGCTCGCCTGCCCCGTAGCCATGTAACACCACGACTGGGCCCTTCGTCTTCATTCTCCTTGCTCGACTCGTTTCCATAATCGCTATCAATATCATCGAGATTGTCCCCTCGAACCTCACACACATCGTCCAACCAGTCTTCGTCAAATGCACGCTCAAGCCTGTCAGGGGCGTTTCTATCGACAACCAAGAGAGATTGTTCTTCTGGAATCTCTACGGTTTGTTGGATTTTTTGAAGGCGCGCGTTCTCTTCCTTCAGAGCCTCATATTTTCCTTTGTATTTGTCGTGCTGCCAGTGTGAGGTAAATCAACAGTACTTGCTGGAATGTATGCATGCTTACCGCCACTTTGTTTCTATGCGCACGATGCTCAAACTCTCTTGTCCTTTCCGCCAACTCTTTCATTCCTTTATCTAGTTCCTCTTTCTCCTTTCGTGCATTTCGCGCATCTCTTTGTGCAGTCTTACAATTTTCCCTCCACGTCTGCTCGGCACTCTCAGCGACTTCGTACTTCTTTTGCAGCACAGCAATTGAGCGCTCGACTTTGCGGCGCTCGTTCTCATGAGTCGTGCATGTACTTTTGAGGTCTGCATGCTGCGCCTGGAGAAGGTCGTACTCTCTTTGTAGCTCCTGATGCTGATCATCCAGCTCATCGCGTTCCTTGTTCGCGCTCGACAAATTCCGTCGCAACTGTTCCAAACGCTTATTCAAGCGTTGTAGTTCTGCCGTGTTTTCACGCGTTTTCTTGCGGAGGCTAGAGACGTGCTCAATAGTCGAATCCGGGTCGTCGGAAAGTGTAAAATCAATATCAACAGCCGAATCTCTACGGGGAGATTGTGTGCCAGGTTGTGTGAGCGATCGGTGAGGGTTTAAGAATATTTGAAATGCATCCTTGCGCTGGATACGCTTGCGACAAGTGGGACATTTGAAAGGCGGAGGTCCGGCTTGGAAAAGGTTTTCGATGCATGTGTTGCAGAAGCCGTGTCCTGTATACGATCAAGGATAATATAAATGAGTTGGACATAGTCATGATTTGCACGGATGACTCACCGCACTTGAATGACCGCATATCTTTCAGGGGAACACCATCAAGGTGAATAGAGCATTCCACCACCAGCTCATCTGGCATCTTCCCGAACTAAAAGGTGACCTTTAAAGATGATGAGCATGCATTTCCGCACACATATCAGAAAATCGACTACCGAACGGACTCCGTGTACAATGTACTAAGTTCAGGCAACAGTTTGACGATCGTCGAGTTGGTGTCAGTTGGTGAGAAATAGTATTCAACTCTTTAGAGGTGATGATGAGTTTGATAATAGTATACCCATACGTTTACCACCTAGAATTTAGAATTATTGGCAGCCTGAGTAAGACGTTCTAGTATGTAGTGCAGGGTCTGAGGTCACATGCACAGTTGACGTGACTGTTACTGACGCGTTACGCGCCTTATTTCGCTTCCAGTCTTTGCTAGTACGACCCAACCCCCGTCGCGGTGCGTAAACAGTGCTACAGTCTTCCAGGTTCTCCTATTAATTTTTCCATGAGCATCCATTTTAATTGGTAAGTTCGAGCCACTAGCTACGATGTACCACCATGCTAATGGTTCAACGACAGCGGAACCAAATTACGAATCCTCAGCTCCCTTCGATTACGCTGAAGCAGACATCATTTTGCTTTCCACTGATGGCGCCGAGTTTCGATTATTCACGCTCTTCCTCTTCCCTACCTCTCCATTCTTCGAGTCAGTATTCTTCCTTCCTCAGGGCCCTAATGGTGGTAATTCTGACCAAGAAACGAAGGATGGCTTCGCAGTCATCCCCATATCTGAGGACAGCAAACTTCAGATTTATTTCTCAGGTTTTGCTTTCTATCAACACTCAGATGATCCTCTTTCTTGACAACCTGACGGACGCCCTACCTGTGATCGCAATTGCGAGGAAATTTGTGCCATACCTAGTCGAGAAAAAGCATGCTAGGCTCTTATGGCTTCGACGTTTCTCCAGACCGAGTCGGTTCGATACTTTGTAATTGCCAGACAAGCACGGCCCAAACCTGAAACTATCCTTGCCACCAGAAACAAGACCCTAAATTCTCACGTGGTTTGCAGAAATCGATCTTTCTACCGCATCCGACCTTCTTGCCCTTCTGACACACCACAAACTTGCAGTATCGTCGTGCAAACATTTGCGCACAACTTGTGATACATGACCAAGCATTCTGACCATCATGACAGTCCCAGTGACCGACTGCAATTAGATATTTGGTTGGGTGCGTGAAGTTCATAGTACCCGGAGGTAGTGTAACTGCGGAATGGCACCGACCAGAGATTTTTGCCTTGGGACGCCACTCCAGTTGTGTGGTGATCAAAATTTATGTAAATTATTGAAAGGCTACCCTGTCCGGCGGCACTGTGCGGACTAGACGATAAATGGTCGGAACTTCACGCTGTTCAGTTTGCTTGGGCTAAGTGGAAGCGAACATGACGAAGTTCAGTGACATTTTTGCTCTGGAAGTCGGAGATGCCATCGCTCCGGTGCGTGTCTCGCTTTAGATCACGAAGTGATTCTGATACTTCGAGCTGATGGTAGACTTCTGACTGTCACCGTGAGCAAGGCAGTATATAGTCCCATAGAAAAACAACGCCATCATGTCCCTCAGCAGGAGTGAGCAGCACTCAGCACCCTCCTGTCCCTATCGACTCAGTCCAGACTGTCGAAGAGTTGCATTCAAATACCTGGGAAACCAGCCAGCCAGGTATTTCTACTTACATGTCTGTCACAACCTTTTCTCTTGTTTCATAAACATGGGTTCTTGATAGTGATATCAGTTGTAGCACCATCCGTCGTTGGCAAGGCCTGCTACCTACTCTCTTAACTTTCTGCTTCTGACCGTCTAGATGTTGTCACTATGAATCCATGTTTTTGGTGCACGAGTCTTGGCTGTTACGATCTAGCTGAATTGCTTGAAACCCAGAACCCAGTAATCGATGGCCTCAGACAAGCCTCAAGATGTTCTGTAAGATCTACATTAACGTCGGCTTCACAAACCAAAGCGTCTCTGCTAGCCATGTTCATGATTTTTTATTTCCAGGTTCAAGGATTGAAGAAGACAGGACATTGAGACGTCCTTCTTTCAAGGCCTGACTACGAGAGACTAGGTTCTGCACTTGCGTCGAAAGAACGTGCGACACCGCAACGCCGTCGACCACTTCTCAAGATCTCATGTTTGAACTTGAACGGTGAAGGAATGTTCTCGCGGGTAAGTCATCCCTAACTCTACTGGAACAATTTGTAAGTTGCTGATCGAAGGCAGAAATGATAACAGATCGTGCTAGATACTCATATCACGCAAAAAAATGAGCTATAGCCTTCCAGATCGACAAAGTGGCTGTTGCGCTAGACACTGGTTAGATTGTCACTTGCCACAGCCCCAGTTTCATTATCACCACATGGCTTATCTTCCTGCGTATCTTCTTGATCACCATCGCGTACCATCTCGCTTTACAAATACCCAGGTTGTTCTGAACAACAACGGACCAAAGGGCCGTGAGGTCAAAGAAGACACGATGTATGTAATAAATGCCGAACTTCTGCAGTGGTCTGCGCCCTAACAGGCAACCTGCCAGCGCATGACCAGTTCGAGTCTCTTGACTTTATCAGAGCCCCTTTATCCGACAAGCACACCCCACGAATCTCAAGTTTCAACCGGTGAGTTCAGCTCACTAGCTACGATCAGCCATATTCATGACACCACAAAGATCATAATCGCCAATGGAATTGCCAACGCAAACCTGTGCTTCAGCCCCGTTCGATCACGCTAAAGCAGACGTTATCTTACGATCAGCTGATGGCGTGGAGTTTCGAGTTTTCATGCTCTTCCTCTCCCTTGCCTCTCCGTTCTTCGAAACATTGTTTGGCCTCCCTCAGGCATCTGATGGGACTTCCGATCAAGAGATGAAAGATGGCATAGCAGTCATCGCTGTGTCTGAGGACAGCAAAACTCTAGATTTGTTTCTCAGGTTTTGCTATCCATCGACGCTGGCGGAGGATCCTTGCCTTGACAACCTCACAGAGGTTCTTTCTGTACTCGCAGCTGCGAGGAAGTATTCACTAGACCTGATCGAGAGAAAAGTATGTCAGGCTCTGGCAAATCCCAAGGTTCTTGAGACAGAGCCCCTTCGTTCCTTCGCCATAGCGAGGAACGCACGGCTCAAGCATGAAACCATCACCGCTGCCAGACACAACTTGCGGCAACCCTTAATCCCTGTGTTATTTGCAGAGATCAACCTGATCACCGCATCCGACTTTCTTGCCCTACTAACATACCACAAGAAATGCGCTATCGCCGTAAAAGCCCTAATGAAGGACTTCACATGGATGACGAATCATTATGGCAATATAGATAGCTGCATTTGGCTGTTCAATCGTCCCCGCTACAACCAGTACTGCTGCGGACAGGGTACCGACACGAGATTTTGGCCTTGGAATACCGCTCCACTTGCATGGTGGACAACATATATGCAGGAGGTATACGAGCTATTGCAGGATAGCCCGTCTGGGGATACTGTGAGGACGGCAGCGGACAGGACAATCCAAAAGGTCAGAAGTGCGAGCTGTGGTGCTTGCTCCGGTCGGGTAAAAGAAGGCATGACGGAGTTTAGCAACTTGCTTGCTCTAAAAGTCGAAGAAGCTGTCGCTCCGGTATGTACATTGCTATACAACACGAGCAAATCCTGAGAGCTCCCGACAGATCGAGCTGGAGATGGACTTTTGATCGCAACTGTAAGGCATTATACAATATTGTGGTAAAACACTTTATTAACATCATCTGGCAGATTGTGTCCATAAACTTGTGTCAAGTGTCCAATAATCATGACTCGGTTAGATCTAGCAGTTGAACGTTGAACTTACATAAATATCAAGAAAGGGTATCTCTCAGGGGTTGGGACCGCCGATCTAGTAGTGTAGAAATATGTCTCAAGGATTACGATTACTCCTTTCCTCCATGGGTCTTCCGTAGCTTCCAGTTAACTTGGTGACCTTCCTAGTATGACGCTGTGAATATAATAACAATTTGATATACATGACATACATTCGCAATTTCATCGAGTTTCTTCCACACCGCCCTTTTGTTGTTCTTCCAGAATCTATCGATCGTTATTGTATTCTCTACACAGTCAAATGTAAGTTCAACTTATCGCCCAGGAATATATTCTTGACCATACTGTTCATACAAAGGAAACTCCTCATGGCAACCCCGCCATTTCTGCATGCCAAAGCAGATATCATCTTTCGATCGTCCGATGGCGTTGATTTTCGTGTGATCACACCCTTTCTGAATCTCGCCTCGTCGTCTTTTGACTCTATCATCAAGCAAACGGCACAATCAAACCAGATCGAAGGTGATCTGCCCGTCGTGCCCGTGGCAGAAAACCACAGAGTCCTTGACATCTGGCTCAGATTTTGCTACCCTTCAACTCTTGCAGAGGATCCTCCTCTGCATGAATTTGAAGATATCATACCTGTGCTTGAGGCAGCCAGGAAATATTCTTTGCAAACGCTTGAGCACAAAGTTCGCCAAGCGCTTAAAAGCCATATGGAGAAAGAGCCTTTGAGATGCTTTGCGATTGCAATGCGTGCCCAGCTAGATATTGAAGTCACGCTCGCCGCAAAATATACTCTCCGCCAATCTCTGATTCCTGAGAGCGTTCCAGAAATCGACCTCATCACGGCAAAGCAACTGCTCACACTACTTACCTATCATCAGGGGTGCAGCAAATCGTTGCAATCCTTGGGGGTGGATCTATCTTGGATCGCCAGCAGTTACCCAAACGTGAATGCGACAGAATACCAATGGATCATTAGCGGCTCCTGTAACTGCGAGTCCAGCAGTCGATTCTTGCTCAATGGTCAACGACCATTGAAATGGTGGAGTGATTACATGGAAAAAAGTCTGGTGTCTTTGTACGACAAGCCATCTGGCCACACGGTTCTTATGGGGGTCGGTGACACAGTCCGGGGTGTTCGAGCTATGGGTTGCTCGCGGTGCTGTTCAAATATCCTGGTAAACATGACGGGATTTGCCGAGCTTTTTAGCAGGAAGGTTGATACGTTGACAGCAAAGGTGATTTGATGGCTTGTTCCTTTGCTAGCAGCGCATCAGGCTCATAATATCACAATTGAAAAGGTTCATCTTGATGTGCTCACCCTAACAAGGGGGTGGATGAGACAGGGCGGGTTCTGGGGGAAGGGCGGGAAGAAGAAGAAGAAGAAGTGAAGGAACTCTCAAAACTACTGTACATACAAGTTGGCATACAGGTTGTCGAAGTAGTCTGACACTACATAATCTCAAGATCAAACTGTACATTATGGAACACGGCAATACCATCGACCGACCAATGTGCTTAGTAGAAATTGAATGTCATGTCTCAGTGGTGATCACTGATGTGCACGCCGTTCTAAAACGCCGCCTGCTTTAAGAAAATTGTGCCACAAGACAAGCCAGGCGCTGATGACATGCTAGCACTAAGCTGATCATTGTCCTGGAAGTAAGCGAGTCGCTCATCTACATATCAGATAAATAACGGGATGAATCTTTTGTACTCGTGGTCATCAGGAGCAATCCGCGGAACTAGAAGATCAGTTAAGCAGGAAATACCGTAAGCCGATTGATATATCAGCGAGATCGAGAAAAATATGATCATGGATTATAAAACGGGAATCAACAATGCACGGATGGTGCCCGAAATTACAAGCAGCTGCTTGTGATTAGTGGTGGTCACCAGCGTGATCAACGGACTTGCAACCGGGGAATAGCTTGACACGGACAGGGGAGGTGGCAACAGCTGCAGTCATACATGTTACGGGGTTTCACCGGTGACAGGTGTTCCATGGTGCGATGATTTATTTGTGGTTGACTTTGAATCACTTTCTTTCTTTAGGTCTGGGTTTGTTCCTTTTACGTGGTAGGGCAAGTCTGTGACGATGTAGACGAACATTGGAGGTGTGGCGAAAGGGCCTATACCGAGGACTGCAGTCACTGCACGTGGACGTAACCCCAAGAAAGTGAGAGTACTGCTACAACGATATGCAGAGGGTTGAGGATGGGAATAAAAGAGATTGTTCATCTGGAATCTCTACGGTTTGTTGGATTTTTGAAGCCGCGCGTTCTCTTCCTTCAGAGTCTCGTATTTTCCTTTGTGTATTTGCCATACTGCCAGCGCGAGGTAAATCAACAATACTTTGCTGGCATGCATGCTTACCACCACTTTATTTATGTGCGCACGATGCTCAAGCTTTCGACTTTGCGGCGCTCGTTCTCATGAGTCGTGCATGTACTTTTGAGGTCAGCATGCTGCGCCTGGAGAAGGTCGTACTCCCTTTGCAGCTCCTGATGTTGATCATCCAGCTCATCGCGTTCCTTGTTCGGGCTCAACAAATTCCATCGCAACTGTTCCAAACGCTTATCCAAGCGTTGGGGTTTTCTTGCGGAGGCTAGAGACGCGCTCAATAGTCGAATCCGCATCGTCGGAAAGTGTAAAATCAATATCGACACCCGAATCTCTACGGGGAGATTGTGTGCCAGGTTGTGTGAGTGATTGGTGAGGGTTTAAGAATATTTGAAATGCATCCTTGCGCTGGATATGCTTGCGACAGGACATTTGAAAGGCGGAGGTCCGGCTTGGAAAAGGTTTTCGATGCATGTGTTGCAGAAGCCGTGTCCTATATACAATTAAGGATAACATAAACGAGTTGGACATAGTCAGAATTTGCACGGACAACTCACCGCACTTGAATGACCGTATCTTTCAGGGGAACACCATCAAGGTGGATAGAGCATTTCACCAACAGCTCATCTGACATCTTCCAAAACTAAAAGGTGACCTTTAAATATTATGAGCATGCATTTCCGCATCCATATCAGAAGATCGACTAGCGAACGGACTCACGGTGTGTACAATGTACTAGGTTCAGGCAACAGTTTGGCGATCGTCGAGTTGTCAGTTGGCGAGAAATAGTATTCAACTCTTTAGAGGTGATAACGAGCTTGATAATAGTATACGCATATATTTACCACCTAGAATTTAGAATCATTCCTCAGTAAGACGCGTTCTATGTGGTGCAGGTTAAAGGGCAGCGGTCACAGTCAACGTGACTGACGCGTTACACGCTTGGTTTTGTTCCGGTCATCCGAGTCTGACTTCGCTACGACCACAACCCAACTTCCAACCTGTCACGCTCTAGATCACGAACTAATTTTGGTACCTTTGGATAGGTCGAGGTGATAGCGGACTTCTGACTGTCATGGTGAGCAAGGCAGTATATAGTGCCATAGCAAAACAACATCATCGTGTCCATCAGCAGGAGTGAGTAGCACTCAATCCAGACTGTTGAAGAGCTGAATTTGAATACCTGGGGAACCATCAAGCCAGGTATCTCCGTTTGCACGTCTGCCGCAACCTTTCCTTTGTTTCGTTCATGGATTCTTGATAGTGAATCATCCTTTGTTAGCAGAACCTGCAACCTTTTTCGTTAACTGTCTGCTTCTCGCCGACTAGACTTTTTTCACGAATGCATGCTTTTGGTGCGCGAGTCTCGGTTATTGCCCAAGGTCTGGAACCCAGTAACCTATGGTCTCAGACAAGCCTCTAGACATTAGGCTGTAAGACTTGCATCAACTTCAACTTCACAAACGCACGCGTCTCTGCTGGCTATGTTCATTTTTTTGTTTCCAGGTTAAGACGCAATTTCCTTCTACCACAGGAGACGAGGTCCAGCACTTGGGTCGGAAGAATGTGCAACATGCCGACACGTCCTTTCTCGATCATTTCTGATGTTTAACAGACGGTTTTCTCTTGGCAAGACAGTGTCGGTAGCTGGTGATGTTCCATAGCGGCTTGAGCCATCCCCCGTTTCAACTAACAAGTTTTCAGTTCGGGCGCTGCAAGTCTCGGGGGACCTCTCTGAAATCTGGGGCTCACCGAGTCACGTATGTAAAAGTCATTACGTGACTATAACGTCTCGATCACTACCTCGTGTCCACCTTGATACTAAATGAACCTAGTCTAACCGGTGGAGGAATGTTCTTGCATGTAAGTCGTCCGTTGAACATTAAGTCTACTAGTAAAGTTCATGAGTTGTTGATGAAAGGCAGAAATAATCGTGCTAGATGCTTATACCACGGAGAGGGATCGAGCTATAGCCTCCCACATCAACTAGAAAGTGGCTGTTGCGCTTATAGACACTGGTCAGAATGTCACTTCTTGCCACAGCCCCAGTTTCGATATCACGGCATGGCTTATCTTTCTGCCATTGTCGCGTATCATCTCGCTTTGCATGAACACAACGTACAAAAGGGCCACGAGGTCAAAGAAGACACTATGTATGTACTAATGAATGCCGAATGCAGTGGTCTGCGCCCTAACAGGCCTGCAAGCGCATGGCCAGTTCGATTCCCTTAACTTTCTCAGAGCCTCTTCATCATCCCACAAACACACCCCACAAATTTCAAGTTTCAACTGGTGAGTTCAGCTTACTAGCTACGATCGGCCATATTCATGACACCACAAAGATCATAATCGCCATGGAATTGCCAACGCAAACTTGTGCTTCAGCCCCGTTCGATCACGCTAAAGCAGACGTTATCTTACGATCAGCTGATGGCGTGGAGTTTCGAGTTTTCAAGCTCTTCCTCTCCCTTGCCTCTCCGTTCTTCGAAACATTGTTCGGCCTCCCTCAGGCTCCTGACGGGACTTCCGATCAAGAGATGAAGGATGGCTTAGCAGTCATCGCCGTGTCTGAGGACAGCAAAACTCTAGATTTGTTTCTCAGGTTTTGCTATCCATCGACGCTGGCGGAGGATCCTTCTCTTGACAACCTCACAGAGATTCTCTCTGTACTCGCAGCTGCGAAGAAGTATTCACTAGACCTGATCGAGAAAAAAGTATGTCAGGCTCTAGCGAATCCCAAGGTTCTTGAAATAGACCCCCTTCGCTCCTTCGCCATTGCGAGGAACGCACGGCTCAAGCATGAAACCGTCACCGCTGCCAGATACAACTTACGGCAACCCTTAATTCCTGCGTTATTTGCAGAGATCAACCTGATCACCGCATCCGACTTTCTTGCCCTACTAACATACCACAAAAAATGCATTATCTCCGTACAAGACCTAATGAAGAATCTCAAATGGATGACGGATCACTATGTCAATACGAATGGCTGCGGTTGGCTGTTGAGTGGCACCACCTACTACAACGGGAATTACTGCGGCTGCGGACAGGGTACCGACAGAAGATTTTTTCCTTGGGGAAACGCTCCAGTTGTATGGTGGACAACATATATGCAGGAGGTATATGAGCTATTACAGGATAGCCCGTCTGGCGATACTGTGAGGACGGCAGCGGACAGGACAATCCTGAAGGTCAGAAGTGCAAACTGTAGTGTTTGCTCTGGCCTGGTGAAAGAAGGCATGTCGGAGTTTAGCAACTTGCTTGCTCTAAAAATCGAAGAGGCTGTCGCTCCGGTATGTACCTTGCTATACAACACGGACAAACTTTGATAGCTTCCAACAGATCGAGCTGGAGATGGACTTCTGATCGCAACTATCCTCATCCGTAAGGTAATATACAATGCTGTCGTAAAACACTCACTTGACACCATCTGGTAGATCATGTGTATAAACTTGTGCCAGTACTTGGCCAGTACCGCCCCAGTGTCCAACAATCATGACTCGGTCAGATCTAGCAGTTGAACGTTGAACGTTGAACTTGAATATCAAAAAAGGGTATCTCTTAGGGGTTGCTTAAGGGAAGAATCGCATGTAGTTGTGTAGAAATATGTCTTGAGAATTACGAATATGACTTTCCTGCACGGGTCTCGGATCCAATAGCCTCCAGCTGGTAACTTGAACGTTTGAACGTTTGAACAACGACATGCTCTCTGAGTCATCTTTAAAAAGCCACTAAATATGATTCGTGTGAGCAAGTATTTGTTCGCTCCTTCAGCCTCTTGGCCACCGAAATATAAACTGTAGTAAGACGTCATTCATGTGAGTCGCCATCGACCTTTATCGTGACAGGCTCTTGTTTTTGATCTCCAACATTTGCTTCAGTTATTCACGATGTGTCATTCCCATCCTCAACCCTCTGCATATCGTTGCGGCCGTATTCTCACTTCCTTGGGGTTACGTCCACGTGCAGCCCCTTCGCCACAGCGGCCACACCTCCAATGTTCATCTATGTCGTCACGGACCTGCCCTATCACGTCAAAGGAACAACCTAGACCTAATGACAGAAGTCAACCTCGAGTAAATCATCGCACCCATGAAACGCCTGTCACCGGTGAAACCCCGTGACATGTATGACTGCAGTTGTTGCTACCTCCCCTGTCCATGTAAGCTATTTCCCCTGCTGCGCGTCCGTTGATCACGCTGGTGGCCACCACTCGTCACAAGGCAACTGCTTGTAATTTCAGGCACCGTGATCCGTGCATTAATATTGTTGATTCCCGTTTTATAATCCATGATCGTATTTTTCGATCTCGCTGATATATCGAACGGCTTACGGCGTTTCCTGCTTTACTGATCTTCCGGTTCCGTGGGTTGCTACTGATGACCACGAGTACAAGAGATTCGTCCTGTTAATCATCTGATATGTAGAGCTTGCTACTTCCAGAATAATAAGTAGCATGTCGTCTGCGCCTGGCTCGTCTTGTGGCACAATTTTCTTGAAGCAGGTGTTTTAGAATGGCGTGCGTATCGATTGCTTGGTCCTGGGCCTCTGGCACTGAGATACATCATTCAACTTCTACTAAAGTACATAAGTCGGTTACATCGCGGCGTTCTAGAATGTACAATCTAATCTCGAGACTATGTAGTGTCAGACTCAAGTCAGACTACTCAGAACTATACGGCAACTTGTATGCCAACTTATACAGTCTAAGTAGGTTTGAGAACAATTTGAGAACTCCCTCACTTCTTCCTCGCGTCCTTTGAATTCGGAGCCTTCCTCTTTGAATTCGGAGTCTTCTGCTTCCCGTCCTTTGAATTTGGAGCCTTCTTCTTTGAATTCGGAGTCTTCTGCTTCCCATCCTTTGGATTCGGAGCCTTCCTCTTTGAATTCGGAGTTTTCTGCTTCCCGTCCTTTGAATTCGGAGCCTTCGTTGATGGCCCAGGGGTAGCCGGGGCCGGGCCCGCAACGGAGGGCTCAACGTCGAGACCGCTTGTCCCTATGAAAATCTGAGCCTTCGCTGATAGGGTAACTCGGGCTGGAACGAAGGGTTTGAGCAAATCCATGTCGAGATCAACCTTTTCAAATGCGATATCATGAGCTTGATGCACTGCTAGCAAAGGAACAAAGCCATCAAGTCACCTCTGCCGTCAATATATCAACCATCGTGCTAAGAAACTCGGCGAATCCCGTCATATTCCCCAGGATATTTGAACAGCACCGCGAGCAACCCATAGCTCGAACGCCCCGGATTGTATCACCAACCTCCGCAAGCACCGTGTGGCCAGATGGCTTGTCGCGCAAAGACACCAGACTTTTTTCCATGTAATCACTCCACCATTTCAATGGTCGTTGACCATTGAGCAAGAATCGACTGCTGGACTCGCAGTTACAGGAGCCGTTTTGAATCATCCACTGGTATCCCGCCGCATTCAAGCTCAGGTAACTGCTGGTGATCCAGGATAGATCCACCCCCAAGGATTGCACCGATACGCCGCACCTCTGATGATAGGTGAGTAGTGCGAGCAACTCCTTGGCTGTGATGAGGTCGATTTCTGGAACACTCGCAGGAATGAGAGATTGGCGGAGAGTATATTCTGCAGCGAGTGTAGCTTCAACGTTGAGCTGAGCACGCATTGCAATCGCAAAGCATCTCAAAGGCTCTTTTTCCATGCGGCTTTTAAGCGCTTGACGGACTTTGTGCTCAAGCGTTTGCAAAGAATATTTCCTAGCTGCTTCAAGCACAGGTATAATATCTTCAATCTCATGCAGAGGAGGATCCTCTGCAAGAGTTGAAGGGTAGCAGAATCTGAGCCAAATGTCGAGGACTCTGTGGTTTTCTTCCACGGGCACGACGGGCAGATCACCTTCGACCTGGTTTGACTGTACCGCTTGTTCGATGATGGAGTCGAAAGACGACGAGGCGAGATTCAGAAAGAGCGTGATCACACGAAAATCAACGCCGTCGGACGATCGAAGGATAATATCTGCTTTGGCATGCAGAAATGGCGAGGTCGCCATGAGGAGTTTCCTTTGTATGAATAGTATGGTCAAGCTGGCAATATCTTCCTGGGCGACAAGTTAAACTTACATTTGAATGTGGAGAGAACGCAATACCGATTGATAGATTCTGGAAGAACAACAAAAGGGCGGTGTGGAAGAAACAAGATGAAGATATTGCCTAGAGTGTATTGAGAGTGTACGTTATATATATTGAATCATTATATTCACAGCACATGCATTTGTCATACTAGAATCTAACAGAAAGGTTAACGTTCAAGTCGAGTCCGATGTGAACATCCTCAGAGATCCTAATTAGTAAGCCAACGTCTTGATCCGGAGATAAGGTTCTTTCCATTCGACGACCAGGAGGACCGAGGTAAGAAATTTAGCGTCAATTGTATTGAGACTACTGAATATGTAAACGAACGCCACCGAGGCTCAGCTTCATCAACGGATACTGTACACTTATTCGAAGACTATCGACAAAGACAACCCAAATGAAAACGAAGCGGAATTGAGATTTTTCAGAAGAACATGGTTAATGGCCGCGAGCGAAACCCGAGTCTCTGACATGCATAGCGACTGTAAACGCGGATCAATGAGATCATGGCATAAGTGAGCAAGAAAGAAATTCATACCACTTCAAAACGTTCAAAGCGATCCGAGCCAAGACCAATCCCCAAACACGGACGAAGAATCTTTTACCCAACCCTCTATAAACGTACTCTTTCCATGTTCTCGACTCTTCTTCTCCAGCCCCATGATCCTTTTGGTAGCGCCCGCCCCGTGTTCCTCACAGAGTTGCTTCAGGATGATCCTCCGACTCAATCCGGGATATCCGCTCATGACTTTGAGTATGTACTCTCCCATAGCATCAAGACCGGTGTCACTACTCTTCGTCATAACCCAACCACGGTTGATCCGGAAGATCATTTTAGCTCCTGGATCATCGATCACAAAGCGAACTGCTTCACCGCTCGCAGTGAAGAGGAAGTAATCGACATTTCGGTCGGCTTCAAGCATCTCGGCTTGACGCTCCGCAGCAGGGGTGCGTTTACCCTTACAGGGATTTACGCCAATGTCTCTGAGGCTCGTGAGATGCCGACCTTCCTTCTTGCCAAAGTCGCGAATCATGTTGGCGGTGGGATCAGAGTCGCCGAATGCCCAAAGGGAGTCCCCCTTGGTTCCGCTTAGACCCTTCGATACTGGCTTCTTGCCACAAGTCCGTTTGTGAAGAGACCAGTTTTGTTTCTGGCAGGATCTAGTGGATGATGCAACATTATGAGGGAGTTATGAAGACAGAATTAAAGGACTTCTACTCACTGAGAACAATAATGTATCTCGAAGTTAAGTTTCGCTTTACAAACACTGCACACCATGAAGCGAACACCTTGTCCGATTTCTTCTGGCGTCTTCGTGCAGTTTTCGCAGCGGACAAGAGGTTTATCCCTGAAAGTAGTTTTGACTTGTGCTAAAGCTCGAGCAACATATCCCTTTGTATTCTCCATGACGTGTAGGACCCCCTTCATCCCCCCGCTACGATTAGTGATGTCACTTACGATTGACAACACTGAGGACATAATAAAATGTCCTGTTCATTAAATGTTAGACTCGCATGATGTTATATGCGCGGGAAACACTCACCGATAAACTTATTCCTATTGATAGTCGCGACTTCGAACATAAGCTTTGTGCTTTGGGATATTTGTCTTTGAGGTGGAACGTCCGGGGTCTGTTCCCACCATGGATTTGGCAGGTTCGACGCCTGTTCCCACCATGAGTTTGGTAGGAATGCTGGTTGAAGGGATGACTCGGTTAACTCCAAGACACGAGTGAGAAAGTCGACGAAGCCCTTCCCGCCCTGCGTCAGAAGGTTCGAAACTGTGACCTCCGGGCAAAGAGCACGACAATCTTGCCCCCAAAACGTAGGCGCTTCACAAGCCCCCTTCAGGCCTTCGTTGATATGTCTCTTCTTCTCCGCGACATTCAACAACAACCAGATGGTGTCAAAGTGACCTTCGTCGAAAAGGTCACGCAGAATTTTGGCTACGTTATTTTGGACCCTGCGAAGATCCTGGTGGAAGAACTCCATGGCGTCAGGAGTAAAGTAAGAGTCGTCTAGGAAACGAGACATCTCCTCGAGGACGTCTGCTGCAGTTGAAGATGCAATCGCCGCCTCCCACTCCTTATCCCACTTGAGCGCGTCTTGCATAACATCAGTGATGTTGAATTTCTTGGACAAGAGTGGAGGAAAATCTTCAGGTGTCTTTACAGTATCGTCGTCCTTGATTGGCGATGCCATCGCTAGATGATGAGTGACTTGTTTGCCGCTGGGAGGGTATGGAAGATCAGGGATATCGACGAGACGCGTTTTATAGCTAACGCCCCATGATGATAATCGGATGCCATCATATCGATAGTCAAGTGAATAATAGTTCCATGATCAATGATGAATCATGATAGTCTATAAAGAGACAAGCCATGATCTTCCAGACGTAAAACTCGCGCTCTGTATGATGTAAAGAACTTACTTATCACCGAGTATATTCCACCCGAGTGCATCTTGCTTGATTTCAGTGATGTTGGCGAAGAGAGGAGGTCGATCTTTAAGTTTCTGTGGCCCTCGGCTGCCGATGCAGACGATGACTGAGCGCTCTGAGCTGCAGAGCGTATGTGAGATCTAGACCAGACGCGTTGAAATATCATGACAATCGGATACCGTTATATCGATATAGTCAAATTGTAAGCATGGGCAGTGGAAAGTAGTCCATGATCAATGATGTCAGTCCGTAAAGAGAAGGTCGCAGACGTAAAACCCTGCGCTGAGCGCTCTATGCGATAAGCAAACATTCCTATTTTGGCATTTACTCCTCGAAGAGAAGAGAAGAGAAGCCTGACAGCGTTGCAGACGAGAAAACCAAATTTGGCAATAGAGAAAGAAACCAAATTTGGCAATAGAGGAGAAGGCCAAACTTACGCCCTGTGTGTATGAGGATAAAGAACTTACTTATCACCACCACGAGGCTCCATGCGGTCTCATGACTCACTTCGAACTTTCCCCAGAATGTTGATACAGCGGCCTTGTCACAATACAAACCGGGCATCGAGTCTGATTTTTACATGTGCGTAATATCACAGCATATATTCATTCCTGATTTGGGACTCCGTGGCAGAACCGACGATTGTACTGAAAGCGAGCAAGTCACACCTAAGTACTAATTTAAAAAAGGGGTTCTTGCACTCACGGTAACAATACATGCATAAACCCCCAATGGGTCAAACAGAAAAACATCAACACAGAATTCGATCAACACATTAACGACACCGAGAAAAAATTATCATGGTCACTTAATCGGTAGCGGTGGTTCCATGGGGCAGTGATCATGCTACAGGTTGGCTTTGAACTGCTCACTGTCCTTGGATCTGAGTGACTTGAATCTCGCTCTTTTTGTTACGGAGTGGGGCAACATATCAAGTCTACGAGATACATGAGCACCGGGGGTATAGTCAAGCGAGTATAATACCCCTTTATCCTCGGCGGCCGCAATATCCACAACAGGGGGTTGGTGGGAAGAATGTTGCCTAGGGTGCTGCTGAAATGGTGTTGCATCGTGGTTGATGGAAGGAGAGCGTTGGAAGAACAAGGAGAAGCGATTAATGGCCGCACGTGGACGTGACCTCAAGGAGGCGAGAGTACTGCTCCCATAACGTGCAGAGGGTTGGACATGGACATGTCGTGTTGCGGAGTACTGAGAGCATGAGGTCAGCATAAGAGCCAACTGATATGATAACGACCCACATGAACGCGCCCCAGCGTGCAGTCAAAAAAAATTACCTCCAAAAACGGCTTGTCAGGTACGTCCTATACGAGTGGGAAATTGATGTGCTCCATCATTAAAGAGCCATGTGATGCACGCTTTCGATTCATCTTTTGGTAGCTAAGAAAAAACGCTATCAGTGTAGAGTGGGCAACGTACTCCGAGTCAGACTCACATTAGACAACAGGTCATTGAGACCAGTTTATCTTATTATGACATGGATGTCCCACAAGTGCGCAATGTGGTCATTGCAACCCATTACTAGCAGCTTTCCATCAGCGGAAAGAGTTGCACAATACACGCCAGTTTCATGGCGAAGGGGTTCACAGGTAGATTTGTGTCGAGATTCCACAAATGCACTATTTGATCGCGTGAAGCACTTACTAGGAGCAAGCTAGCAGAAGGTCATTGTAAGACCCAACAATTGTGATGAGTGACGCGTGACGTTCAACCATGATTGAATATCCTAATTGAGCCAACGGAGATAACCTTCTTTCCATCCGACGTCCAAGCCGTGACTGTAAACTGGTCAACTATGTTCAGTTGTAGAGAGCAACTTTTCTGTGTTGGCATCCCACATTCGCATTGCATTCTTCTTGTATCCATTGGTCGCAATATGTTTGGAATCGGGCGAGTAGCTCACAACGATGTGTCGTTGATTGGACAAAACAGTTTCGCCGATCTCTACCGTGACAGACCCTTGCAGTTCCCTCATCTGGTCCACTCACAACTCGCTCACAAATCAGACTCCAACTCAAGGACCACAGAGCACACGCTTCTTGTGTGATCAGTCTATTTTGCACTGACCTTCCCGGTCTCGGCTTTCACGACCTAGCTATCCCATCACTTGTAACAATGTCGTTCCTGGGAGATAATGCCATGATGATCATCCCGACTCCATCCTCTTTATCTCGCCAGTCGTCACTAATTTGTAAACCGCTCTCCAAATCCCACCCTCGGAGCAAGCCGTCGTTCGGACATGTGATGAGTCGTTGTTCACCAGGCAGGTGCACAACACCTCGTACCTACTCGGTAGAGTGTGTTATTGCTGATGCCTCTCCTGTTTTAATCATGGGGGTAGAGGGCGTAATCTCTTACGTCTCTAGCATCTCACTGATGGGGGAAGAGAACCTCATCACCGATGTCTCTTGAATCTCAATCGTGGTTGAAGATAGATACAGTGCTAATGGTTCTGAATTCGTGTCAACCCTTGTCAATAGAAGCACAATAGAAAACGTTCACGAGAAGCTTGTTAAGAGAAATTCAAACCTGACCCACAGGGACAGGGGTTACCTGCGATGGCGAGGTCCTATCTTTCACAAGGACGTGTCAAGTCAAGTATCGTCAACCCGTCGAGAAGGAAGGTGGGCAAGGATTCATTTAAATGCCTACTACTGACTACCAAGACCCGGGCACGTTCGGTGCGTTGGGCCACTTATCCTCATGTCACTTCACCGCTTGATGCTTTGCAGGCGAAGCGATCAAAATTGGCGCTATACGCAACTTCCTAATCCTATACTTATCATTTTTGAGACTTTGTTTGATGATGGTCGTGACTAACAGATGATAGGTGCCGCATTTCCATTTCTCAAGATCTCAATCCTCGAACTTCTTTACAGGACAGTGCCGTGAGGCATGGTACAACTACACATGCCGCAGAAATCATCACCTGATCGATTCAAATATCAAGATTCTGATAAGCCTCGATCCATCGTCAGTGGGCAAGGAAGTCCAATCCAGGCTACCCGCTGCCCTGCGGCATGCAAGGGACTACCGAGGAATTAATTAATTACAATAGTATATAGGTGGGTACCGTTCGTCTCAAAGTTCACCCATCAGAACATTCACATCTAGAGTTGACTTCAAGCTCTTGAAGAATCCGACAAATCTCTGCCTATGGAACCAATGTCTTCGCAGCTTTCAACGATTATGCCTGACTGCACATACGCATCATCGCCCTTTGACCACCCAAAAGCTGATATTATCCTGCGGTCCTCAGATAGGGTCGATTTCCGCGTCTTCAAGCTTTTTCTCGCCCTCGCCTCCCCGCTCTTCGAGACTATGTTTGAACTCCCCCAACCAACAGCAGTTGGGACGAGTGATGATACAAAGGATGGTCTCCCTGTCATTCCCATGCAGGAAAATAGCAAAATATTAGACACTTTCCTCAGATTCTGCTACCCCTCCACATTAGCGGAAGATCCCTCGCTTGATAACCTGATAGACATCAAAGCTATCATCGGGGTTGCGAAGAAGTATTCGCTGGAGCTGATAGAGAGGAGGGTCTGTCAGGCTCTAGCTAGCCCCAAGGTCCTCGAGGCAGAGCCTCTTCGCTGCTTCGCAATCGCCCGGAACGCACGGCTCAAAGATGAGACTATCATCGCTGCCAGATACACCCTACGACAACCCTTGATTCCCACATGGTTACCAGAGATCGATATGATCACCGCATCTGACCTTCTCGCTCTGCTCACGTACCACAACAAGTGCAGCGTTGCAGCAGCGTCATTGCTTGCCAACTTGGATTGGATGACGAACTATTATAGCAATCCAAGCGGTTGTGATTGGTTGTTGGACACACGGCAAACAGACTATCGGGGAAAACTACCAGATCCCCCCTGCAGATGTGCACGGAGTGGTGAAGCCAAATTCCAGTTGTGGAAATCTGCTCCGTTCTCTTGGTGGACTACTTATATGGAAGAAACATTCGAGTTATTGAGGGACACTCCTTCTGGCGATATAGTGAGGTCGGAGGCAGAAAAGACGATACAGAAGGTCAGAAAAGTGGGCTGTACCAATTGCTCCGCCCATGTCAAGGAGAAGATGGAAGAATTCAGCAACTTACTTGCCCTCAACGTCGATAAGGCGACGGCTTCGGTACGTAGTATCTCTGTATATGCATTGCAGCACTTCTTAACATCTTCGATGACAGATTGAACTAGAGATTGACCGTGACTTCAGACTGCCACCTATCAAGGGTCCCGGCAACTACAAGCCCACAACCCCGCCTTCGTTTTTTGGGCAGGAATAGTACTCAGCAGTTCATCACACAAGTCCTGAAGCGAGCCAAAGCTGTGGGGGTTCAAGCAATACTCGGGGTATAGTACCGTACGACCGATGGTCTCGCTAAGTACGTAGGTTATCCAGACAGAAAGCCAATAGACGAAAATTCAAGCAAGGAAATTAAGCTTGCTACCTCAGGCAACCTTACTCTGGCCTGTGCCTATCTTCGCTGTCCTGCCGGACCGTCGGCCTTGCGCTCCCAAACGCAATGAACGAAGATTGAGGAAGAGGTGTGTTACCAGATAGAAAGGCTAGACACGAAAGTTCCAAGCAAGTGATAAAAACTTGCTGCCTCAAGCGGCCTTACTCAGAGTAAATCACTCTGGCCTGCCCCATGCTATGCAGGTCCGTTGGCCTTTCGTGAAGAGGTTCTTGGCAAGTGGCAGCGGCCTCATTAGACCTTAATTCCGTCTGGTACACTCGAGAGCCAGTCGCACTAGTACTGGTCTGGTTCGTGGTTGGTTATGTTCATGGTTCGGTATAGGATCTGGGCCAGCAAGAAGTCATTATACAGTCGGCGCAGAGCAGCCGCGACAGCCTTTCCGTAGAATCACATCTCAATGTAGCCCGAGATAACGCACAGACAGGATACAGAGGGCAACGGACATTTGATAAAAGGGTGATCACGAGCAAACAAAGCCTTGTTAGGTACAACATCCAACTCGGGGCGTAAACGACAGAAGTGCAACAGAAGGTATTCGGCAGAATCAGGACGGGTATGCTCCTTCGGCACAAGGGCTGAAGGAAGTTGGCGAGCCGCCTCTATGACGACAGGCGCAGGCAAGTCAGGAAGGGATGTGGTCTTCGGGAAAGAAAAACCACGCAGGACCATCGCTGACCACGATGTCATACAGCTTCGTCAGGGGTGCACGTAGTACAAAACGTCAAGTCAGTGGGAAGTTACATAGGATTCAAGAAGGAATATCAAGAAGATGTGAGAAGTAACCCATCAACTTATTCGTCGTCACTCTGGTCCCCCAAAAAGGCTAGAATGCTCGCGCCCGCAGTTTTCTAAGGAACATCATGATTCCAAAGACAAGAACATAGGAAATGATTCACGAACCTTCCTCTTGAGTGGTGGGTCCTCGTCCTCATCGTCACTTCCTGGTCCCGACTGTTCATCCTGCGATTCCCTCTTTTCTTTCTTCCTTTCCCGCCGGCGTTCTGCCTCTGCGAAATCTTGCACATCCCCTAATACACCATGTCACTATAAGCTTGGTTTTCAACGCGAGTCGTTCCAAGTACATACTAAGTTCTTGTGCGAATTCTCTCTCTGCTTTGATAGTCTTTGCTTTTTCCAGAGTGAGGCGACCCGTCATTCCTAATTCCTTGAGAATTTCTTTCAGTCGTTTAGTTTGGCCTGACGGTGTATCCAAATCTGCGAATTCTTTCTTCCACATCTTGCGTACGCCACAAGCAACCACTATAGCCTAAGCAAAAATCAAACCGCGTCTCGCATGTGTTAAGTAGAGACACTTCTACCTTGAGTTTGGAGACAGTCTCATCATCCTTAGATGACCCTGCGTTGCTCTTCTGTGTCTTCTTACGTTCTGTCGAGGCTTTCTTGTTTGAATCCTATACGTTGTCAGAAGTAGCACAGAACACCAACTGGAGAGCTAAAAACCTTTTCCTGTTTCTTCCTTCTTTTCTTCGGGGGTTCATCGACGACTACTGACATATCGGTGTCATTCTCCTAATTGCCTATTAATTTTGTGAAACGCGCAAGTCATAAAAATGGGACACACAGGTTCGCTGTGGGGAAGTGCATGTTTCAGAACGACGGGTTCCTGAGGCTTTGAGGTGGAAGAACTTGCTCCGTGCTCGAGCTCGTCGACCACCTCATGTTCCGCATTTTGCTTGGTGGATGACTAGTGAAGAGAACAGTTCACACAGAATACAGAAGCGAAGGAATGTGTTTAACCTTAGGTTTAGATAGAGGTTTCTCCTTCGAAGGCGATTTCTTAGGTGACAATATTTCTTTCTTTGAAGACGTCACAACAGATTTGGATGCATGCTTAGCATCAGCCTCATCCCCAGAAGACTCGACAGTAGACTGTACGTAGTGAATAAAGAAGACTAGTCGCAAGAAATAGAATTTTAACTCACGGCTGATTTATGTTCCTTCACAGCGGTTCCGCTAGTCGACTTCTTAGTTCTTGATGCCTTCTGAGAGCGCTGTATGCCATTAGTGACGTAGGTATTTTGAAGGAATTGCGCGTACTTTGGAGCCAGAGGGTTTCGTTTCATGCTCGCCGTTACTTTTCGGAGGTTTGACCTGTTTCTTCCGAGCTGGAACTTCGTCTTCAGATATTTCGGACACTTCAGAGTCCACTATAGCCTAGAGGTAACAGAACGGGGTTCGAGTGGCTGGACATAAAGGGATGCCACAAAAGCTCACAGAGGACTTGGGCACCTGCTTTCCTTGATTGTTCTTTCCGGGCGACGGCTTGGGCTTAGAGGCGCCTTTGCGAGGTTTGACAGGCTCTTCGTCGGCCCCTCCCTTGCGTTTCTTTGAGGGTTTTGGCTGGCTTTCTTCATCATCTGCCTCATTCAGTGGTGTTGTTGAAACATTGTCCTTTAGAAAGATAGCGTCAATATTAGGAGAGCAGGTCAATGCCCGACCGTAACTTTGCCTTACCAGATATTCGACGACTGTTTTCTTGATAGACGTCTTGTACTCTTTTGCGTCTAAAGTTCCAGCTGAGAGGTTAAGGCTTTCCTCTAGCCGCTCACGCACAATGCGTACAGTGAGCTTGCTACAGTGGGAGAATGGGCATGAGTCGCGACAAAGTTACAGGACACGGTACCAAAGGTATAACATGCCTCAATTTCCCCTCTGCACGAGCTTCTTCTAATAGCTTCGTAGCGGCTTGCTGTATTCTCTCAGTACTTGGTGTGGCCATTAGTGTTTTCAGTTGGCACTGCGCAAGAGGAGTGATGCTTTGCGGATGAATGACATTGATCGCTCGTTGGCACATACAATGAATCACGTGATGCCAACGCGAACCAATCACTGTGATCCGGGAGCCGGATGATCGGGTAAGTTTGATATCTACCCGCGCATAAAACTTGAAGCTTCAAGACAAAGAAAAGTCACATTCACACTATACGGGCGCCTGAACAAATATATATCTAAGAAACCTATAACCTATAGCTTTGCCTTAGTCGACACTAGGGAAGCGCCGTGCTGCAGTATCTTCGCTGCATCTGACACCATCTCATCCACAATCTGCTGAGCAGGCAGCACTTCATTGATGAGCGCTGCCACTCTTCCTATTAAAAATGTTCTAGCCTCTAGCGACTTCTCCGGGTGTTGTTCAATGTCCCAAGCCGCAGGAATAATACCCTTGGATGTGAGTTCCTTAATCTCCGCCTGGCGATTGTTATTCCTAAAAGAGACATTGAAACAAAGAAGCTAAACCGTAACAAGGTAGAAACATACCAGTCCTCGACGTATGGCGTTCTCCTGACCCGGAGGGGTCGTCCGGTAAAAATCAGAGTCGTGACGGCGTCCTCGTATCCTGCGGTTACGAGCGCATCTTTGTGTGCCTTGGGCGCATTTGCTTCCGTGGATGCAACGAATCTGGTGCCTACCCAGACCGCTTGTGCTCCCCACGCCAAATTTGCGGCGAGTCCGCGCCCATCGTACACCGCACCAGCACCGATAACGTACACCGGCTTCTTTGTCAGCGGAGAGACATGTCCGCGACATGCGTCAACGACTGCAGGAATGAGGACTGATGCCGGGACATCGCCTGTGTGACCACCGCCTTCCCCGGCCTGAGCGCAGATTAGATCAACTCCCACTGCAAGTGCTTTCGGGACATGTTTGGGATGTCCGACCATCTAGGGCATAGTGAGCACACCGCCCTCGTGATATAAGAAGAAACTCACGTTCATGACGGGTATACCAGCGCTATGTAACTTATCGACTACCTGCTGTGGCGGCACACCGACAGCGCACACGAAAAGAGCCGCTTTCTCCTCGATGATGATATCAATAAGCTCATTTAGTTTCCCATTCTGGTAATCATACTGTAAAGGATTCAGCGCCGGAGAACTGACACGTAGCACAAGACTTACGTTTGTTTTCCTTGCATTCCCGCCAACCTGAGGAATGAGTAGGTCAACCCCAAATGGTGCATTTGGATTCTTCAAGTCCTTCTTGATAGCTTGAATCTATGCGACGGAGTTGTATTTAAATGTCCGTGTGAGCTCAACTCTCGCGGCGATACGCACCTGCTGCCTGAGCACCTTTGGGGTATAGCCGTGCCCGCCGATAACACCTAGTCCACCTGCGTTCGTCACTTCAGCTGCCAGTTCCGGACCAGCCGCCACATTCATGCCTACAAAGTCATAAGAATCCCTGGAGGGTAACACTGTGGTTATGACACGAACCTGCGAGCAATATGGGATGTTTGATCCCAAAAAGCTCGGTGATTGGTGTAGAGATGATGACAGACATCGTGTCAGATGGTGGAGAGAGAGATGATGGATTTCAGAGGGTGACGACGTGAAACTCGTTTGAATCAATAACAAGGGCCGGTAAGCGCCTGTTATGCCATACAGTAATCATGTGCATGTAGTGTTCCGAGTCGGAAATGTATACCTCCGGTTATTAGTTAGCCGAATCATCCGCGTAAGGAAATTACCATGCCCACCAACTCCCACCCCGCTTACGGGTACTGCCGTGCAGTAGAGTGAAAATCATGCGCCATGTACAAATCATCTCAAGTTATCCTGGTAGGTATATGACAGCAATGGAAGGGTGTAAGATATATGAATGAGTGTGTGCGTGATATACATGAGATAAATGTCCATGTCAATGAATAATGCCTCCTGGACATTTAGTCGACGCAACAAAATGAGACATCTAGATCAGGAAGGATTTCCGGTATCAGGTGGAGGGGACTTGGTACCAGACTGCATTAACCGGCGGAGACGAGCCAGCTCACTCGCCAAAGTTCTATTTGAACAAATTTCGTAAGGCCAAGGCGTGGGGTAAGAAAGCAGTACTGCGTACCTCGCAGTCTCCACTGCCTCATCACTTTGATGAGATCGGAGTTCAACCTGTGCCTTCACTTTGATGATCTCCTCGCGGAACTCTTCTTCGACCTCTTTCCTGATTTTCTGTTCTTCGTTTTTGAGGTCCTTCACAGAAGCTTGCTGACGCTGCGCCTCCTTCATCTCATCTGCGAGAAGCTTATACTTCTTGCCAATTGATTCGGCTTCTTTTTTTAGCTTGTCCTCGCGCTTCCGCATCTCTTCACGAAGTCTATCAGTATCATGCTTCCAACTCTCGGTCATGCTTTTGATGCTATCCCGCAATGTAATGTACTCGCGTTCAGCCTTCTGGGAAAGAGCCGTTGATTCAAGGAGAGCAGATTCCATCTCGCGCAGGGACTTTTTGGAGGTCGCAGTCTCCGTTTTCAGCTGAGATTTTAAGGTTGCTGCCTCGGCTTCAGCTTTGCGGGCCCGCTCAAGAACCTGCAATTGGTCAGTAGAGAAATTATGATAAGGCTGACTAACCTCTTGTAACAACCTCTCCTTTCTCGCTACAACATTGTTAAGACCTTCATTTTCCAGTCTGAGGCGTTCTCGGCCTTCCTTCAAATCCTCGGTCTGTCGTGTCAACTGTGCAACAGTCCGCTGTGAGAGACGAAGCTGAGACTTGGTGTTTTCCAAGGCGTTGCGAGCATTTATAACACCGGCCTGCAGATCTGCCAAAACTTTAGTTGTCCCCCCAGGTGTAAGGGAGATACGTCTATTAGGAGATGATGGAGCCTGTAGCGCAGAAGTGGAAGCATTTAAATTGTCTGAGTTATTGCCAGCATGAGTGTCAATCGGTAAAATCGCTGGCGAGGAGTTAAGAGCTGGAGAGAGACCATTGTCGGCTAACGCACGAGCATTCCCTAATAGTATTAAGTCACCACGTTCACGATGAGGGAAATCCTGGTTGCAGGGGAGGTAAAGAAAGACTGACCTACGGAAGCTACAGGTATCCCTAAAACAAAAAGTTGTTAGTATAACGAGGCAACAAAGGCACGGGTGACGTACGACTCAGTGTACGTGTTGGACTAGACATTCGTTTAATGTTCACTGCAGGTCCGGGACTGCCGCCGAAGTCCATGGGGATACCTTCTCGGATTCCATCGCGTTTCATTATTGGTGTCGCACTTTCTCTCCTTGGGAGCGGAAGATTTGACTCGCGACCAGCGAGGTTTTGCAAAACATCAAAACTGGAGCGACGTTGCATTTTTGGAGTTGAAAAGCTCGTAGTGTATGACACAGGACAAGGACTTATATCCAAGACATCCTCCGACGAGGGTTGTGGAGAATGAGAGGGTGCCATAAAGCCAGGTGGTAGCGGACGTGATCCACGCAAAATGATATTTTCCAAGCTGTGCAACTGTGCCTGTTGATGCCGAATAGAATGCTTCAAGGTCGACATTTGGTTACGAACAACCACTATGAAATAGAACGAACCGAGATAGTTGAATGAAATCTGAATGGACAGGTGAAGGAGTTATACCTGTATCGTTTTGGGGTATTGACGGGCTCAAAGCGCGTGCAGAACGCAGGGAGCCGCGTGAAGAAGACCTTGACTCGGAGAGCGGACGAGAAGGAGAGTGCAAAGAATTATACATGCACAGGCAATATGGATATCAAATTGATTGTGATGGAGCCCTTGTCCACAAGAAATGATCAAAATTTCAGTTGTTTCAATGATTTAAGGCACTGCCTTTAAAACAGCGGGTCCAGGAAGGACCTGTTAATGCTCTTGAGACACAGCCAGAGCTGTTGTAGGCTGTGGTTTAGCGCTGGCAGTTGGCCCGAGAAGTGACTGGGAGTCTGGTCCTTGTTTATCTTTGTTGTGATGTGCCAAGAAAGACGCGGTCACGTGGCGTGGACGCGTCAGTCCAGTTTCTACTTGAAGCTTGTTTCACGACAATGAATCTCTTTCAATCCAAGTTTCGTCTGTACCACTAACATCTGACAGATTGCTCCAACATGGCTGAATGTGGCATCTGTTTAGAGGATATCAAGAAGCCTGTCTGCATTCCGTGTGGTCAGTCCTATTCCGATTCAGACTTCTGCATGTGATGACCTGTTCATGTCATCTAGGTCACGTTCACTGTGAAAAATGCCTACGCGCCCATATAAATTCCGGAAATGATGCTTTGAAATCTTCGTGCCCATCATGTCGAAGCATATTCCACATTGGTATGTTTCACGTTGCGCGAGGAACCCTCTGCTCAGACTACTATCATGCAGCTATGCCTGATCTATCTTTTGTTCCCAAAAAATACCATGATTTCATGGTTCCCAGCGTGCGCAAATTGTACTTAGATATTGCTTCTCCTGCTCCGTTGGTTGCCGAGATCGAGCAACTCAAAACACGCGTCGCTGCGTTGAGTAGAGATCGGGATGCTCTGATGGAGAGATGTGAGGCACACATGGCAGCTTCTCGTCAGTATGCCACAAATGAGAAGGACGCTCGTTTGGAAGCCAAGGCTGCTCGTGAAGCCACCAGCCGGCTGCAGGTGAAGTATGATGCTTTGGAAAGAGAATTCCTGGACCAGTACGTCTTCTACCAATGAATTTACATCCTGTTGTTGACTCGCACCAGTTCATTCATGTCCCAGACATCTCCCGATGGCCGAAAACGTAAAGGCAGGGAGAGCGTCAATAACTCGCGCGTTTCCTTCTGCCAAGAAGAAGTTGTCACCAAGTCAGACGTGAAGCTCGAAGAGCTCCCTGATGCACTCGACTTCGCACCTTCACGCCTGAAGCGTGCGCTTCCCAGATCAAGCGTGGCTTCATCCTCGCGGCGCGAACGATCCCACGATCCTCCTCCTCGTTTTGTTAAGCGTCAGCGGCGCGCAAGACATTCAGATATTGGCCCAGAATTACAGACTCAGATGCCTGCATCGTGCGAAGGTTGCGAGGAGTGTCACGGAATCTACAGTCAGTAAAATCATCTAGACAAGGCCACATGGATGATGCCCTCTCACTTCTCTGTACAGTGTAGATATTGATATACATGTATTGATATTTTTTTTGCAATGATAATATCTGCTTACCATTTAATTGGGCCGTCCACACAATGGCACACATTCATTACTGGGTAGACTAGGGACTCGGTACTGCCAGATCATTGACCATATCGTCCGTGGTTATATAAGCCAGGCTAGTCCAAATGTGAACTAAGTATAAAGCTTCTAACATTACATACTTAGGCTTTAAGTGGCGTTGATAAGATCAGCTAGTAGCTAGTAGCTATCGATGTGCGTAAACCCGAGATTAGGATTAGCTTTGAATACAAAGATAAGTAGCTCATACTAGTGGACTTGAACATATGAACATACGACCACCGTGACTGTTTTTCACTGCCTGAGACAGCTAAACACTTCCTTCTTATCAACCCCCTTTTTTTGTCTATCGAGTGACTGAATCGGATCATCATATGGGACAATACATACCTCACCACCCTATCGCCTCACCCCTGAAGTCGCGAATGCCCCAGTATGAACGTTTGAACCCTCACTATACCCACTAGTCCGCCGTTCCTGCCGCTGTTTAGGACGGCATTTCAATGAGAATGAGACCAGTGCCTTCAATATATTTGCACGGATATACATGTGGTATCGTTTAGAAGAAACGCCTTCGTTTATAAAGGGTTCTCTAGGAGCGCGGTTGAAAGAAACAGGTCACGTCGCTCCCGGAAGTACTTATCTGATATTCGCTCGTTCCTCGGCTTAGATCTTATCGATCATCATCACCTATCAAAGGAAAAATTCTCATAGGGACAAAAGACCCCAGCCACCCCACCCTGTGCATCATGTGTTATGGTCCCAACGCGTCCTGAAGTCTGACTGGAGAGTCGGGACCCGTGGCAAACACGGCGTCCTGACTGCCGCCGGAATTTAACCCTGTTGATCCATCCGTTCCTTCTATCGCTAGCCGACGAAAATCAATTGAAATGTCGGCCAGCTGTGAGCGCATTCCCGCGACCTAGTGGCGACACACACTTGGGTATGTGAGATATTTGATATATCGTGACGGTCACGGTACCTTGAGGCAGTTGTTTCAATGAATCGTCAGTACGTATACTCCGAGTCCGTCAGTGATCGGAACGGCACGCACCCGATGCGTAGTGTTCTGGACAGAACTCTGCCACATATATGACACTGCTAGGCAGGTGACAGAACCTCCTGGGCAGAATCTCACAGGCAGAACTCAGGATGCACAGGTTGGAGTGCCATTAAATTTTTCCCTTAATTCTGCCACCTGCCACACTAACAATGGTTTTGCCAAGCTCTGCCAGCTCTTCCGGCAGAACTTCTGCTGCAAGATAGTTCTGCCCACGACACTACCAGCGATGCGACCGTGACGATGATCTGCGGTCTTCTGCAGCTGTACTTGATTCGTGGGTATATCATATAGTCGTAAGTGATGTGGCAGTCCTCTGAACACATGGACTGGAAGCATGTTCATCTACAAATTAGTAGCCAAAACAACTCATCATAGTCGTGTCACGTCTTGACGGGATATCACCGTGTTGATTTATTTCGAGGACTCACAAGGCGCTGCTAGAGTCAGGTACTCTGGTCGGGGTCCTGCTGAAACCGCTCCTCGGATCAGGCTACTTGGAGCTTGGCGGTGGGTAGATCAGACAAGTTGGCCGAGACTTGTGTCAGAAATCATGTGTCCGATGGCGCGATCTATGCGACCAGAACCTGGTGAAATGGGGATGCAGCTACGACGAGGGCCAATTTTCCATGTCATCTTTGACGTATTGGGCTCGTTGTTGACGACACTAGAGGAAGTAGAAGAGGACACGAGTAGTATAGGTAGAAGGGGTATGTTAATGTATAACATAAGCACGTGCGCAGTCACTATTCTTTCACCCTTGCCAAGCCTCACTTTATTATGCGAAATAAATTGTATGTAAACAACTATTTAATTTCCCCCGGATAAGAGAGAGCTCCGAATCCATTTTTGACTAGAGACACAAGCTCAAGATTGTCCGGCGGATTCTAGCCTATATGTATTCCTATACATAGCGTGCAAAAAACGCTTTTTGGTTGTATCAGCCTCCCGTTCTGTGTCAAGAAGGGGAAATGAGAAGGTACCCTTGGATACGATATAGATAGCCAGAATCAAGATGAAGTAATAATGAAGGCCTAAAAGGCATGCAGGGCCATTGGAAGCGAAACAGGCCACATGTTGGGGAGCACCGCAAGGTTGTTACCAAATTCTCTAATTCACTTCTACTCGCATCAAATTACTTATAAGATTCCGAATTGCACCTTTGTCATGTACCCTTGCCTGCTAACTAGTCCTCACAATGCCCGGCGACTCAGCCAAAGCGCCATTCAATAATGCAAAGGCCGATATCATCTTGTGTTCTTCAGACAATGTCTACTTCCGCGTCTTCCGCTGCATGCTCGCACTTTCCTCTCCATTCTTCGAGGCGATGTTCGACCTTCCCCGACCAAGTAGGGACCACTGTAAAGATGAGATGTTTGACGGCCTAGACGTGATTTGGGTGTCAGAGAACAGCAGGACACTCGACATGCTATTGAGATTTTGTTATCCGGCAGCGGTAAAAGATCCCGGTTTGGAGGACATTAATGATGTGGAGCAAGTCCTGGAGGCTGCAATGAAATACGGGATGGAAGATGTTGAAGAGAGAGTGAGGAAAGCCATGGTTACCACGTCCCTCCTAGAGAGCAACCCCGTACGCGTCCTCGCGATTGCATGTCGGTTTAGTCTCGAACCAGAAGCCGGGATTGCGGCACGATATTCGCTTCATCACACAGCCCCAACGCATGACTCCCTTGCTGCAGAACACCTTCCTAATAACGTCATTCAGGGCCTCGTCGCATATCGCTCTAGGTGCGGCCAAGCGGCCAGAACGCTTTGCGATAATCTGGACTGGCTGAAGAAGTCACAGACGCACAGTTTCTACGAGTGGTGGACAAACTGCTGTCCATGTAACTCAAAGGCAGACGTCAGGTACCTGATACATGGAACTTATCCGCGGGAGTGGTGGGCGGATTACATGGACAGGACATCCAGTTGCCTTGGAAGAATCTCCTTGTGGTGCAGTATTGACGAAAAATTTGGAAGAAGCTGTCGAGAGGGCAAATAGTTGTCCCTCATGTCGACGGCGGGCGCAAGACCAGATGATTCAGTTCACCGAGACTTTTGCTCGGGAATTAGACAGAGTCATTGCCGAGGTGCGCGAGTAGCCGAATTGCGGTTGTGTCGTAAGGATCTAAACTCGCCTCTACAGATCGCTTTAGATATCGCCATTTGATGCAGGGTCGACACGACTACCTGCACTGTGCACTTACCACTTGCGCATCAAAAATCAGCGGAGACCGCTAGGCTCAGCTATTTTGTTCAATCTATCACAGCTGAACCAGCTTAGAATTACCCTGTTATCAAGGACTTACTAGTAGAGCCGGTATCTGCTGTACAAGCACTTCTGGTGAGTTAAACATATAATAGATATTTAGACTGTAGAGAACTTTCCATCTAATGACAGAACGACAACCACTTACTGCGCGTTACTTGGTATCGTGATCATCGTACAACTTTTGCGCTTTCCCTAGAAAACCTATGTGCAACACGTTCTTATAATCTGGAAGCAAGTCGATGCCATCGAATGGTGAGAGCAGGATTATTTTTAACAGTTCAAGAGCAGATAGAAATTAAAATTAAAACCGAGTTTAGTTAGAGCCATCCTAAAGGGGAACTTCAAGTCATTCTCGTTCACATGTTGTCTTAGACTCCTTCCACGCTGCGGGCGCTGGAAATGCTTGTCGCAGAAGTTACTGCAGGAAAGTTGTAACCTAGCTCTCACCAGAATCCTCTCACAATGGACACATGTACAACTTTGTACAAGTACACCAGCATCGAAGACGTTGAATCACAGCGGATACCAGTCGACGCTGGAGCCCCCTTTGACAGAGGGGATATCATATTACGCAGTGCGGACAATGTTGATTTCCACTTTCACAAGCTATTGCTGTCCCTAGCATCATCTTTCTTTTCAAACATGTTCTCTTTACCTCAGCCAGACTCTCTCGATGATGCTGCGGACCGGACAAAAGACGGTCTCCCCATCATACCAGTGACAGAGGATAGCGTCGTTTTGCGGAAGCTGTTGAGCTTTTGTTCTCCTGTCTACGACACAGACGTGCCCGCTCTCGAGAACTTGGACATCGTCATGTCTGTCCTCGATGCCGCCGATAAATACGACATGAAACGAGTCGGTGTATTCATCGTTAGGAATGATAACGGCTCCTAGGTTTCTAGAGAAAGAACCTATGCGGGTCTTTGCTATCGCATGTCGCTACCGCTCGGAGGCAGAGACTCTCGTGGCGGCGAGATATATGCTGCGTTTTGCAGTGTGGGAGCCTGCATATGTGTCTGAATTGGACTTCATCTCTGGTTCAGACTTCCAGCGGTTGGTCAAGTACCACACAAATTGCGGTCAAGCTATGTCCCAACTTACCCGTCTTTGGTCTACGTATCCCCTACCGTCACTCGACTGCAAGTTCTGTCGCAAGAAGGGGGTTTCTCGCTTGTCCCTCAAAGAATATCAAGATAGTGTCATAGAAGCACTCCGCATTCGACCATCTGTGGAAAGCCTTCTTAATCCCGAGTGGATTGACAGTATGGTTAGGAGGGCTGGAAGCTGCATTGGTTGTAAAGAGAGAGTGCCGAGGGCGCTTGCTGAATATGCAAAGGAGCTTGCCTTCCCGGTAATGGCGATTATCCTGGAGGTGAGTTCTCTCGCGTTTGACTGACTGCCTGTGATTTACCTCCTCGCAGATTCCCCTGGACATCGATTTTCGCTGATGATATTTATCTCACTATGTACTAGAGTCAGGTCACAAATAGTTTCATGCTTGGCACACTTTCCTAGGCATATTCCAGTGGGCAGGTTCTCTTTCCAGAATTCCCTTTGCACGCGGGATAATGCGAATATCCGGATTAATGGCATTGAGATTTCGTCAAAATACAATAATTTGCAGCTGTGAGCAAATGTCTTTACCTCTATCCTGTTTTGTCATTTCACGTTATACAGCTTTCCCGATTCTAAATATCGCACACTGATGTACACCCCAGGGCCCAGACGGGGTTCAGGTAACCACCGCCGAGTCTGAATCAATCAGCGCGCTCCCGATTACTTACCCGACGATGCGCCTCATGCGATGAAATAAATACCATCTTGTTGCCCGTCCGAGCTATGTGCGTCGTCAAAATCGATCATCGAATAACTGCAACTACTATCGCACTGCGATGACAATTGGATGTCATACTGCGATCCTCCGAGGACTGATAATGTCCATTTTTGTACCCTGCAAGTTTTTGTCACATGCAGTCCTCGATTTTAGGAGTAGATCCGACCCATGTCCCTGAGGTATGGGTACGGCGCACTTATTCCGAAAGTGGATGGTCTCACCAAAAGTTATAATACATACACAAGACTACGATTCATCTCTTGTGAGAAAGAAACGATAGGTTGTTCCATCAATTCCACATACGCATTGACAATCAACTTAAGTCGTTACAAATGCCGCCGCCGAAAACATTATCATATTTTCGCTGTCATGTGTTTGAATACCTCGTGTCTCCCTTCTATTGAATCTTGATCCCAAAAACAATTACTTTCGCACTCTTTTCTGGGCTGGTCCTGCCGGGTAAGAGCGGTTAATTTTTTCATGTTCGATCAACTTCTAGTCGGTAGTAGCACTGTAGCAGAGCTTGGGGTCTCGACCAGCTGGTTTTGAGCTAACTTTGTTCCAAGCAGCACGTGATGAAACGCGGTCACGTGGTCTTGGGCCACTCGTGATCTGCAACAACATCAACCTCGGTAAGTCGTTATCGCGTGCATGAGAACTGACGAAATTTTAACCATCCAAAGGATCCGCAACATCATTCAAGATGGCGATGCTTGAGACCCCGTCTCGAATATGGCGCAGAATTCAAGCTGCAGACGAAGGAGAGCCACCTTCTCTTCCGTCACTACCTGCCTTCGATTCTGGTGCACAAGACTCAGACTCAGACTCAGATTCAGACCAACACTCAATTGACGATGGCGCTGTTATCTTGCCGGTGCATTCAACACCCGCCGCTGCCTCAGCGCACACGGCGACCTCAACTATCAGGCTACAATCAAGTACTTCCAGCACAGCACGCTTTGCAAGCTCTCTTACATCACGCTCTGTATCAGCCAAATCTTCCTCTGCCTCTAGAACATACCCATATCCTCGGAGCCCTGCACAAAGCTTCGAAGTGAGTGCCATTACCTCGCTTCCCCACGAGAGCGACGAGAATACAGAACCAGAAGACTTGCCTCTCGCACATAGTAGACACAGTGTTCCGGAGTCTCATTTACCGCCAGAAGAGAATGAGGTGGACGACATGTCTTTGGAGGACGCACTACAGTCGGTCAGTCGCTCTAGTTCCCCGTTTTCTCCCGAAATCCCTCTGGAAAATCCTACGCCGAAGAAGAAATATGATTACTCGATGTCATTACGTTCTGAACCTCAGGTGAATGCTTTGCTGCTTGTTTCTTACTTTGATTAAGCTCAATGTGTCCCAGCGATCGCCATTTGACAAATACCGTAATGTTGCACTACGAAAACCATTCGCACGGACGAGAACGCCGTCACTTTCCCGGACGACGCCCTCTCCTGTCTCATCACCTCCAAACTCCACGCCTCGCAGCAACAGATCTATTCCACTACCTGTAGAGACACCGTCACCGACTCCTGGTGTTTACGTTCCCTTACCTCGTTCGAGAACTGCCTCTCCAGCTGTCATTTCACTCCCAAGCGTCGTGATACAGCCTCCGGAGGATGAGAGCAATGATGAACAAGAGCTTTCTCCAGTACATTCCCAGGACACACCACAGGAAAGTGACCCCGAACTAGGGCGGGAGGACTCTGGCACGCAATCGGACCGCGAGCCCACATTCTCATCCGCATCGTCTGATCCAAGCAATCAAATGAACAACGACCGAACCATAGGTGCTCATTCGACAGCGTTTCTATCGCCCGCCAGATCAGTGTTAGATTTCACACCCGTTCCGCGGTTTCGTACGCAGTTCAACATCCCACCTGCATACAATGAACCAGGTACAGACGCAGGCGAAGAGCTCCTCACACCTCATGCCCGCAGGCGATCATTTCTTCTTTCAGTCATCAACTCCACTGCCAGACCACGCATGAAGTTTACCCCTCATCCCCACAACCGGCTCAGTGCTCTCCCTGTGTCGCAGAGCTCAAGCGGGAGCAGCGAAAACGCATCCGGTGTCAGCGCAACGCCCGTGGGTCCTATACGCACCGCATTTGCTGGTATCACTCCTCGGCCTGGACGGGGGCGGGGACGCATGTCACACCCTCTTGCGCAGGCGCATGTTCCAGACAGTGCATCCTCTACAGGTGAAAGTGAGCATCCCGCGTCCCCCTCTGACATCGAGCTCCGCGGCGCATCGGCTTCATTCCTCTCCACTGCGTCCTCACAGGATCTCACCACACACCCACGTGCCAACACCTCGTACGACCCTGCGCTGGGCACAGGTCAGCGCGGCGTGGCCCGCTTCGACGCGCCGAAGCTGAATCATTACCTTCACACACTGAACTCGAAACTACAGGAAGAGAACAAGGTACTCGTTGACCGGTTGAGGAAGTACGAAGAGGTGAAGGATGCTGATCAGCGACGGCTCAGTTTGGAAAGCATGGGCTCTGGAAAGGCGCGAAGGGTCAGTGCAGGGAGTGGACTGGGTGATGTGGAGGAGGCGGGGGAAGAAGGGTGGGCAGAGGAGAAGAAAGATTTGGAGGAGCTGGTCGAGAGTCTGGAGGCCCAGCTCGACGAGCTTGCAGGGGCGAAAGAAAGCGTGGACCAGGATCTTGAGACTGAACGGCGTGAGCGTGCACGAGATAAGGAACGTTGGCGGGAGCGCATGCGTGAGGTCGAGAATGGTGTTGCAGAGATCGTGGGTGACTTGGAGCAGAAAGTCGCAGAGAGCGAGCGAGCCCTGGAAGAGATGACGAAGGAGGCGGAGCGTATCCATGAACGACTTCAAAGCGAGCGTGACCTTGCGCTGGAGAGGGCTGGACAGGCAGAAGCGGCAATGGAGAACGGGAAGGAGCTTGGAGGCGCATTGAAGGAGGCCAACGCGCGGATCAGCGTTCTCACAGCCGACCTGCAGAGTGCGACCGCACAGATCAAGGATCTGGAAGATGAAATCATGACGAGCGATCACCGTGTTGACGAGCTCGAGAAGGAACTCAAGAAGGAGCGGCTCTCCGCCAAGCTGGCTAACGATGATCTTCACAGCCAGTTGAGCGAGATGGGGGCTGAGATCATGCACTCTAGTGCTCGAGCATCTGAACTCGAGAAGGACCTCAAAGCTCAAGAAGCTGCTGCAAGACATCTACAGCACGAGCTGGAAGCAAAGGCAGAGGAGCTTGCAGAAGCACAGCAGCTCATTGCACATTCTGACAATGATATCAACGAGGAAGTTCGCGAATTGAAGACTTATACTGCCGAGCTCGAAGAGGCTGCTGCTGCGACAACTGAACGCATCCAAGACCTCGAAGAGCAGCTCACCTCCGCTCAAACCCACTTTAACCAGTTGGAGGCCGAAGAACAAGAGGCTAATGATCGTGCTGAAGCACTGGAAAGGGAAAAGGAAAGGGCATCGCTGCTGGTCAATCAAATGGAGGACGCTCTTGAAGCTGCGGAGCTGAAGATGCGCACCGACCAAGAAGTTGTCGCAGATCTCAAGGCCAAGATTTCCACCCTTGAAAGAGAAAGAGAGCGCGAGAAGGAGATGTCTCGGCTTCTGAAAGGACAGCATACAGACGAGAGCAATGCTGAACTTGAGAATGCACTCGAGGCAGAGCTGGAACAGGCGCACAAAGATATCGCGAGACTCACTGAGCTCCTTCAACACTCACCTGCACGGAAAGCCATTGACGCTGCTAAGGACCAGAGGATCGAGATTCTGGAGAAGGACAAGGAAGAGCTCCAGGCACGTATCAAGGCCCTCCGATCGACCAGCTTCGAGGCGGCGACTCCAAATAAGGTGGTCAACCTCAGTGGAATCTCACCCATTCATCGGCATGTATTATCGATGTCTGTTAGGGCTCCCAAGACACCTGGAGGCCCTCTGAAAGATGTAAGCTTATATCATAACATTCGAGGGTTCTTTGTTCATGGAAACTTAATAGCTTTCCTGGCTGAACAACACCACGGGCGATGCGTCAGTATCGCCGCTATTGACCGAAATCGCTCGTCTTCAAACTGAACTTGACCGTGCCAACGATAATATCGATCAAAAGCTCGATGAGCTGGAAGATGCTGGGCTGGGAGTCGTGTCCCTCACTAGAGACCTTGAACTTGCCCGATCCCAAATTTCTCAAATGGAAAACGAGATGGGAAGGTTACAGAGACGCGAGGAGCGTCGACTTCACCGACTCCAAAGGCTCCGTTGTCAGAAATGTATGGTCAAAGTGGACACATCAGCATTGCAACGATTTTACGACGCCGATGAAAGGTGCGATTCATAGCGCGTCTTTAGCGTGATATCCTGACACAATATTTCTAAGCTTTTTGGATGTGTCGCATAGTGGTCTCCTCTCCAACCCACCGACACCTCCGACGAAGACCAGCGAAGCTCTTAGGTTGGACCTTCATGCAGTAAATAGGAAACTGGATACGATGAAACAGCGATGGGAGGAAGAAAAACGCCACCTTCTAGGAGAAAAAGCAGTCCTTGAAGATGCTGCAGACCGGATGAACATGGAAGTACGAAGCGCAAAGGAAGAAGTGAAGAGAGCGACTGAAGTTAGTCGACGATCGAGAGCTGATACTCGGGAAGTCGAGAGGGCGAAGGCTGTCATTGCTGACCTCGAGGCTGAGCTGCAGGCAGAGAGGACGCGTCTCAGACAAATGTCCTTGGAGCAGAACCACGTCCAGCGTGAGAAGAGTGCTGTGGCTCGTCAACTACAACGAACTGAGGCGGTAGGTCCCTTGACTATAACCAGAAGCATTTTAACCTATAAGTTATCAGGATATCGATGATGTCAAGAGACAGCTCCAGAAAGCCAAGCGCGAAAATAATGAACTAGAGACCGAGTTGCGAAGTGCGTACCGTGCCATCTCTAAATTATCACTCCTGATTGGCAAGTACAGCCAATGCAACCATCGAACAGCAAGCTCGTCTCCTAGAAGGCAAAGTCAAAGAAAACGCAGAGACAATCGATCAGCTGCGGCAAGAGCGGTCTCTTCTTGCAAAGGACCACAAGGAGCTTCAGCGACAGTTCACTGAAGTATCAGAAGTGAGTGTTTCTTCCTGTAATAATATTGGATTGCGCCGACACTTGAACAGCGAGTCAACAAACTTCGCAATGACTATGCAAGGTCACAGTCATCACACGACAACCGCCGTCATCAACTCGATTCGCATCTCGGTGAAATTGATGACCTCAGGCGTGCGCTCTCCAATCAAGCCGACGAACTACAGCGTAGCGAGGAGGAGAAAAACCGCATGGCGATTGAGAAGACCGATGTTGCACGCACTGTTGCAGCCCTTGAATCCGACCTTAGACGTGTTAAGCGAGATGCCGAGGCGTTTGGACGTGATCTTAAAACTCTGCGAACAGAGAAAGAGAAGCTGCAGGAGAAACACAAGAATGAATTGACGAAAGCTGAGCGAGCCAAAAAGCAGGCCCAGACTCAGATACGTCTCCTGAACGAGCAGCTCAACGGCCAGCATACGAAGCTGAAGACGGCCCAGGAGAAGCTCAAGATCAAGGATTATGGATTTGCTACGTGGGTGACGACATACTTTCGTGTTGTATCTTGATGCTGAACAAAAAAATTAGCGATGGCTACCAGCTCGTTGAGCTGAAAAAACAGCACAAGGAGGAGTGCAAAGGCCTTGTCGTGCAGATTCGGTACCTCAAGGCAAAGTTTACCCGCGAGTCTACCTTGCGAGATGATCTCGTATACCAGAAACATTATCTTCTCGTCCTCCTCTCGAACTTTGAGGCCAGGTACGGGCATTTTCTCCATCATTATGCTGTACTTTATCTTGTTCGACAGTGAGAAGCGTATACTGGCCTGCATATCCCGGATAGGATATCCCAAACCGAAAAACCCACCAGCAATTGTGAAGAAGACACGCTCGATAAAGAGCGTTGTGCTTAGTGTCATATTTATACGGCGTGTGAGGTATGTGCCCAGTCACTGATCCCAAGTTTCCGTCTTGATTGATGTCTTTTCAGGCAAGTTAGTGAGGCTTGGCGAGAAGCAGGTTCAAACAAACAAGCGATTTCTAACGCGCTACAAGAAGTCCGTCGTCGAAGAGTCATTGCAGTTACCTCGTAGCCCTCACTCCGCGATGTCTTTTCGTTTGGCCAGATTGTTGTTATCATAGATGTTGTATCATTAGTTCGGTATCCTAAATCAAGATCTTGTACACCCTGCACCAGGCCTTGGTAGTGCGGAAACCTGAATTGCGTGTTATGAAGGTGGAATCTTCTTGCGTGTCTCCGATACTATTCGCACAGCACCCTTAGAAAACACGTAGGACAACCCACTCCAAACCGTTGTCACGGCCACCAAAATTCTGAACATGTCAGGGTAAGAAAAGACATGAATATATGACCAGCTTACTGCATTTCGGGTACAAACAGGTTATATTGTACAGGCAGGATGGGGGTGACAGTTGTAGCGCACATTAATGCGAGTTGAGCAAAGGTATTGTACTGCGAATGATAACTTAGCAGATCACAAAATGAGGTGCAAAGAGTCCTACCTTGCTGATTGTGGTGGGCCGTACTTCAGCGGATGGTATAGAAAAGTCCCAATATCGAGAGAATGTTTTCTAAAGAAATTGGTGAACGCATACTAAAAAAATCGCCTGACACGTACTGGTGCGGGGAGTGATGTATAACGAATGTAAAAGGCAGAAAGACTCAGCAACACATCGCGCCCGATGATTATTGAGGCCAGTGAGACTAGAGATGGGCATCAGCCGAATAAACATGGACCGCTATTGAGTTTGCTTACTAGGAAGCAATCCTTTCATAGCTAATGTCACCGTGAGGGTGGTCATGAGAGTTTTGTCCGCAGCAGGGTCAAGAATGGTCCCGAGAACTGAATGCATGTTGAAGCGTCTTGCCAGGTATCCATCGGCCTTCAGTCAAAGCTCAACTTTTGATCAACCTAACCATTCGTGGGGTACCCACTAAGTCTGACAATCCAGCATATACCAACAATCCGGTCGCAAGGAAGAAATCGTCATGCAGTATGGACCAACCGAGGACAGGGCACGAAAGTATCCGAGAAACTGTCAACATATTTGGTATGGTGTATATGTTCTCTCTTAAGGGTGGAATTGCAGCAGAACCTTTAGTGTCGTCGGTCTTCCTGTCAGACCATCTGACACAAGAGGTAGAGAGGGCTCTGGTAACTGCGGTGAAGACATTCCTGTGTCTGACTTTGAGCTGGAATGAACTAGCATATAGAGAAGATTGGATAATTGGACGACATGAGGCGAAAGCGAGGCTGCGAAGAGGAAGCGCGAGAAAGTTGCAGTGCAAGGTTGAGTACATCACTCTGGAGAAGGCAAAATTGGGAAGAGACCGAAATGGAAATCGCGGTCCATCCAGGACAGGGGCTGAGGCTAGCGCTGATCTAGTCGAGTCTGTGCTGCAACGTCGCTTTTGGCCTAAAACGCGCAGTAATATATTTATTGGTACGTATGGCAGTGTACTAACCAGGTCATATACATAATTTGTTCAGTCCCATAAGCCCACCGCCAATTTACTACAGTACAGTATCCAACACTTGAACGCTAGCTCTGATGATACACAGCACTCTATGGCAGCAACACGACGGTGAAAACTTTAATCCCAAGCCTCCAATCTCACCTGCAAAATTTAGGTGAGTGTTGAATCAGCGATGAATCAAGGAGTAGCAGGAAGAGCCTGACTCACAGTCGCGACCACCTTCTTAACTTGTGCGATATATGAGGTGTGAAATCTGTTCATATTCTCGACGACAGTTTTTTGGCATTCGGTGCACTCAGTCGCTTTGATAATAGCGCGAGTGTAATGTGACAGCTCCAATAGTAAGGTTGACTTGCAAGGTCTTGCCAACAACTCCTTCCCACTGGAAACCAGATATTCATGGAACCAGGAGGCAACAAAAAAACTTGCTGAAGGAATCTGGTGACATGTGCATCTGCCATTCCGTATTGCCATATATGATGACTCTAGCCAGGAAATAGAACTCCTGACCTTTTGAGCGATGATGCCGCATTGATAATGGTATGCGAGGAGCCTGTGGTAATCTGCACCACTGATATCCTGCAAACCATGAAACCCATTGCTGGGTCGTCCTAGATCCTTGATTTTAAGAGCACGAGTAGCAGCAGTTTGAGCATGATGCTGCCATCCGAATTGACAAGAAAGAGCGTATAACTCGAGAAAGTTATTTGGGAAAAACTGGGCCATGGCGAGGTCTCCTGCACGGCTGAGGGCCGCTTGCATGTCATACTTGCTAGCTGCTTTCATCACAACCTTTGCATCATCCAAGCTGCGGAAGGTGGGGGTGGCGGCAGGATAGCAGAGTAAAAGAAGGGATTCGAGGGTCGTGCTACCCTCAATCACATTGATGATAGGTACGGACGAAACATCTGACTGCGATTCACTCTCAGGCTGCGGTAGCGAGAACATGTCTTTGAATACGGGTGACATGAGTGAAAGGATGAGCTTATAGACATGGAAATCGACGCCATCGGCCGAACGAAGGATAATATCACAATTATGATCATCGAATGGTGCTTGAGCTTGAGAGATAGTGATTTCTTCAGTGGCTGCCATGATAGTAAGGGGCTTGATTAAGGGGCACGTAGCACAAACAACCAAATTACGTACGATACATCAGTAGCGTTCATTCAGCTTCATTGTACCTCAACGAGGTTGAACACATTGGCACAGTAGACATGTATAAGGGTGGCTGGACAGATGCATGCTGCGGGGAAAGGTCGAGTCGTATATGTTAAACGAGTTGAATCAATTGCAGCGTGTGCTTGGATAGGGACTAATGTGCTTGACTTGAAGCTTGATTTGAAGGCTCAAGTGCTGGCAGTACTCAGTAATGATGCACATCAAAGTTCACATCCATACACGCTGACTAACTAGTTTCCATCATAGCCTACTAGTAGGTGTTCCGACAGCCACTCAGCAATCATACGGTACCTGACACTCACTCTATAGTCCGAATTCAAAATTTTGTACAGTATCCAACACAACGCCAGCTCTGATGATACACAGCACTCTATGGCAGCAACACAAAACTTTAATCACAAGCCTCCAATTTCACCTGCAAAATTTAGGCGAGTGTTGAATCAGCGATGAATCAAGGAGTAGCAGAAAGAGCCTGACTCACAGTCGCGACCACCTTCTTAACTTGTGCGGTATATAAGGTATGAAATTTCTTCATATTCTCGAAGACAGTTTTTCGACATTCGGCGCACTCAGTCGCTTTGATAATAGCGCGATTGTAATGTGACAGCTCCCATAAGGTTGACTCGCAAGGCCTTGCCAACAACTCCTTCCCACTCGAAACCAGATATTCATTGAACCAAGAGGCGACCTTCAAGTGTTGCTTCATATATATCGTGCCACATTTATAGCACCCATCCCGTACTGCGGCCATATGTGATAAAGACTCTAGCCAGGAAAGAGAGCTCCCGACGTTTTGAGCGATGACGCCGCATCGATAATGGTAGACGAGGAGCCTATGGTAATCTGCACCACTGATGTCCTGCAAACCATGAAACCCATTGCTGGGTCGTCCTAAATCCTTGATCTCAAGGGCACGAGTAGCAGCAGTCTGAGCATGACGCTGCCATCCAAATTGACAAGAAAGAGCGTATAGCTCGAGAAAGTGGTTTGGGAAAAACTGGGCCATGACAAGGTCTCCTGCACGGCTGAGGGCCGCTTGTATGTCATACTTGCTAGCTGCTTTCATCACAACCTTTGCATCATCCAAGCTATGGAAGGTTGGAGTGGCGGCGGCAGGATAGCAGAGTAGAAGAAGGGATTCGAGGGTTGTGCTACCCTCCATCACATCGATGATAGGTACGGATGAAATGTCTGACTGCGATTCGCTCTGTGGTAGCGTGAACATGTCTTTGAATATGGGTGACACGAGTGAAAGGATGAGCTTATAGACATGGAAATCGACACCATCGGCCGAACGAAGGATGATGTCACAATTATGATCATCGAATGGTGCTTGAGCTTGAGAGATGGTGATGATTTCCTCAGTAGCCGCCATGACCCACAATATAAGTAAAGGGCAGTGGGCACATAGTACTACTACTAGTAATCACTTGATCAACTGGATTACGTACGGGCAGTTTTATATAGTTCAGCTTCATCGTACCTCAGCACAATATTGGCACAGTAGACATGTATAAGGGTGGCTGGCCAGATGCATGCTGCGGAGAAAGGTCGAATAAATTGCAGCCTGGTCTGTGTACATTTGAAATCTATCATATTGGATAGGGATTATAGCAATATGCTTGATTATGAAAACTTGAAGCTTGATTTGAAGGGTCAAGTGCCCAGTACTCCGAATCAGAATCATGCACATCAAAGTTCACATCCATACACACTAGCTAACTAGTTTCCACCATAGCCTACTAGGTGCTCCGACAGCCACTCAGCAATCATACGGTACCCGACACTCACTCTATAGTCCGAATTCAAATAGCAACACGACAGTGTTACAATGGGTTGTCTAAGAAGTTGCCAATTCCACCTACAGAAGCGAGGTGAGCTTTGAATCGGTGATGAATCAGTCAGCAATGAAAGCTCACAGTTGCAACCACCTTGTTAACTTGTGCGATATACAAAGTACGGAATCTATCCATATCTTTGATGACCTCGCTTCGGCAATCATCGCACTTTGTCGCTTCGATCACAGCTTGATTGTAATATTTCGACTCCATTATGGTCGACTCGCAAGGCCTCGCCAACAACTCCTTCCCACTCGAAACCAAGTACTCTGCAAACCACGGGACGACTTTCAACTCGCCGATGTTTCCTATCTCGAGCCTCTTAGCACTGCCCACGAGTCTGCATTTGCATTTCCACATTTGCAATTGCATTTCTGTGGATGACGGAGGTAGCCAGGAAAGACTGTCTCCGACTGTTTGAGCGATGACGCCGCATTGATAATGGTATACGAGGAGCCTGTGGTAATCTGCGCCAGTGATATCCTGCAAACCATGAAACCCATTGCTAGGTCTTCCTAGATCCTTGATCTCGAGGGCGCGGGTAGCAGCGGTCTGAGCATGATGCTGCCATCCAAACCGACAAGAAAGAGCGTATAGGTCGAGAAAGTGATCTGGCAGGAATTGAGCGATGATGAGGTCTCCTGCACGGCTGAGGACTGCTTGCATATCATACTGCTTGGCTGCTTCCAGGACAGCCTTTGCATCATCCAAACTGTCAAACGTTGGGGTTGCGGCAGGGTAGCAAAGGAGAAGTAGGGATCTGAGAGGCGCGCTGCTCTCGACAACAGTCACAATGGGTACGGATGATTTATCCGACTGCGATTCGCTCTGTGGTGACGTGAACTTGTCTTTGAATATGGGTGACATGAGCGAAAGAATAAGCTTGTAAACATGAAATTTTACGCCGTTGGTTGATTGTAGGACGCAATCATAGTCATGGTCATCGAATGGTGCTTCAGCGGTGGTGATTTCTTCAGCGTTTGACATGACGATATGGAAATAAGGTCTCGTACTGGGGGGCTAGATAGGCAGAAGTCAATGGTATTTAAGTGCTGCAAAGAAGCCGACCAGTCCACACGAGGAGATTTGCTTTGGAGGATGATTGATGATCCTCAGATAGGTAGCATTCTGAAACAGTTCGAATACAACGCGGTGTTCTCTACTTGAAATAAACCATAGATTTTTTTTAGCTAGAATGGGATATCAAGCTCCACCTTCAGACAGCCAGAATCAGCACACAAAAATGGTGAGTTTCAACGTACTTACAGTATCAATCGCCCTCTCAATCTCCGAAGTGAAGTGCTCCCCAATAAACACGCTGAGATCTAGGAAGGCAGCTGGTCGACATGTAAGGCAGCCAGACGCTGCTTCCAGGCATTCCGCAATCAAGAATGGATCTGTGACGACCTTGCTACAAGGGCGCTCACGAAGAGCATTCCTGGCGCGCTCCATAAACTCGATGAACCATGTATTTACTTCGTATATCTTCCCATCAGAAAGAGGCCACGATAGGGGATGATGAACGCAGTCATCACATTGGAACCATACCCAGCGTGATGCGAAGCCGGGAAACCACGAAAAGTCGGCTGTCAGCGAGCATGCAGCAACACTGCACTTTCGGTGGTACTGGAGAAGGCGATGATAGACAGAGGCAGGGATGTGTTCTAGCTCTTCAACGTAGGGAGCGAAGAAGGGTTGGCGGACTGTATACTTCGCAGCTATGCGGGCTTCATCCTCCAAACCATAACGGTATGCGATGGCGAATACGCGCAGCGGCTGATCATCTAGAAACGCTTGCTGTACAAGCGAGCCCTTGACTCTGTTCATCAGCCCCTTCATCCCGAACTTTTTCATCATCTCCAAGACGGCCTGTACATCGTTTAGATTGCTAAATACGGGATTGGAGAAAGGGTAGCAATATTGTAACACCCTCTCAGTTGTCTGAGCGTCTTCTTCGAGTTTGATAATGGCATGATCGCCATCGCACTTAAGGACGAGCCCTTCAAACGGCGGACATGGAGAGGATGAACCTGACAACAGAAAACGCTTCAAAAGCGGAGACGCGACAGCGAGGAAGATCTTGTGGACAGCAAATTTTGCATCATCCGAGGTATGAATGATCAAATCTGCATCTGTGGCATCAAAAGGAGCGCGGAAAGAGGAAACCTTGACAGAAAGAGGCGCAGCCCCCAGGAATTGGGACATGGGTAAGTTTCTGGAATAAAGCGATCAAAAACGATTGTAGATGGTAAATCAGACGAGAGAAGATATACCCTTCGTGTTGTGACTCGCGGATATGGCATGCAGTTGGCACGCCTGATCTTCATGGAGGATCTACTAGCAGTGCACCACCGCTTCACGTTATTTGACACATGGATTTCAGCGAGTCACATGAATATCGTGCATCATCTTCACGAGGTCCTTCAGGCCCAGAAGTTGCACTGACCAATAATCAAAAGGCAGGCTGCCGCATGTCATGGAGCTTTTTTGGGAGCGTGGTGACAGATGAAATGTGGGCAGCCGCGGCAGTCAACATGTATATTTGATTGAGGTTCCATTGATTCAGAATTGTTCGGTTGAGCTGATATGGTCTCTGAGCAGATCTGCAGACCTCTGGGGCCTGTGCAATCGCGCCCGTCCTACTACTAGTAGTACCACTTGAGTAGGACGGCACGAAAAGTAATTCTTACGTAAATTCAACGTTTTTCTATTGCACACCGATCAATCCACATTTGACTCCGACTCTCACACATCCGAAAGCGAGCTTGCCGAATTTACCTGGGACCCAATCTCTTCGTGATCCTGATCTGCTTGTGACCTACATTCTGAATACGAGTCGCTCGGGGCTCGTATCTGAAGCTATGCAGAGCACCCGATGGTGTGTAAGATATCAGTGAAAATTTTTGGGAAGCGTGTTGCAGCCACCATCTCACTAGATGGCGCAGACGTTGAGGAAGTTGTCTCCCTTTACTTAGAACATTCCTTCACTGTTCCACTTTCTCGCACTGACAGCCAATTACTAAGGGTGGCTGGCAACTCGAGCTGGCAGACGTTTCATCGTGACATCTATAACGGTGAAGTTCACTGACGATCGACACAATGATCCCTGTGACCGTCTTCAGCTCTAACGAGCAAATTGCTACCAGGAACAAAAGTGTACAAGTTACACGACCGTACCCTCCGCACATGCGCTGACCCTGGCAAGTGAGGGTGCATGCATTTGTCTGTTGGCGCTACCCTTGCGGGCCTTCTTCCAATTTCACGGATCTCAAGACTTCTTGGTCTTGGCGGGGTTAGAGATGCAGAAACGGCTGTGACACAGCTATGGTTTGTCGTGAGGGTTCCTACTGACAGCAGTCAGGCTCCTCGTGAATATCTACTACTCTTCCGTTCGTAACTTTATTTTCAACCCCTCAAACTGCAGCCTCCTTCATGTCTTACATCTGCGGTATTGCCTCACTATTTCATGCGAAGGCGAGAAACCTGCAAACGTGCGTGTTTGTTCACAATGGTTTCCTAGGCTCGTGACCTGACTGCACATTCAGCGCCATCTCTTTGAAGGTCCTGTGACATCTCAGTACTCAGTAACCAGTCTGGAGCTGCCAGCTGTGCAACATGTCACACTCACTGTTCCATCATCGCACACTGGTTTCTTGCTGCCACATTCTACAGTACTATGTAAATTTTTCTCCAGATTCAGATCACGCTTCATCTTGAAACCTGCATTCATTGTGTATTCCTATTCCTTTCCCTTTCAATGTGTATGTCGATGAATTTAACGAAAAAATCTTAGACGAGTTGCTGGGCAGTATTGCATTTAAATGGATATCGATCATACAATCCTGGAGTACCTCCCCATCACCTGGATCTCAAACACAACTGCATTTGCGCCATACAATGAGATCTCGGTAGGTATCACTCAGAAACGCGCACGCGTGTATCGTCGGCAAAACTTAATACATTTGAAAACCACAGCATCCCCCGCCTCGACTTCGCATTCCATTCAAACTGTTCGTCGTGGACAGTGAATCAACGACAATTTTCTCTGCGACCTGCGTATGCAACTATATTAATGATTGTCAAGGATTGGCACTAGCATGGACCGTGTTTGATCTTCGAACGGATCCCTTTGCTCAGTGAATATGATCATGGTATAACTATAATATAAGCTAGCACGGGCAAATGCACACTAATACATACTCTAAAAGTAATTGTTCAACATAAACTATCATCAAAGAGCCGACAGAACTTGTATCTCAGAAATGAGACCGTATTTTCCTGGTACTTAACTAAAGTACATTCATTATAACCGATATATCGTGAGACACTCAAACAGAACGATGCCCGTGTACTTCATTATTGCAGACAAGACACACTCGAACAAAATAAAATCATGCTCAAGCGAACGCGCTATGGCATACCCATGTCCAAAGAATCAAGAATGTGGGGACGTAGTCATGATGTAGACTCAGATCCCAGGGCACGGTTTTCCCGATGATTTGAATACTGTGGCGGAAGTTCAATTAAACCATTATAGTCTGGTACAACATCATCAGCATCGGTATGCACAATGATTTGAGTAGGATGTCGGTAGGCTGTTTGTACGCTAGCTGACGTCATAGATTGACTTTCAAATGCTCCGTGCGCAGCTAAGCTGTCTGTGTCAAGGCTCTGACGGGAATTTTGTGTCTGATTGAAAGGTGTGGAAGGGTTCCTAACTGTGATGTCGTCGGAAAAGGGTGTCATATCTGACATTTGAATGTCTTCATAGGCAGCAAAGTCCGTATCAGGGATTGGTTTGGATCCAGATTGAATGGAAAGACCAAGGTCGCTAACAAGATATGGTGATGGTGATGGCGGAGCCTCACTGTAAAGGCTGATTTCATCTGTGCGCTGCACTCGGAGATAGATTTGTGTAGGAGGTTGAAAGCGGGATGCTCTCCGTTTACGCCACAAGCACATGCCGAGGATGGCCAATGCAGTAAGGATCGCTGCACCGACCGCCGCGCCAGCGATAAGAACATTGCTGTTTGATGATGAACTACTTGATGGACTGTTTGATGAACTACTTGGCGGACTGCTTGAACTGGATGACGATGAAGCCGTGGTCGTGGCCGTGGTCGTGGTGATGGCCGATATGCCTGCAGTGTATAACGGTGAGATGCACGCGGAATTACTCGACCCTACGACCTGCACGAATTCAGAGTTTCCACCTTGTCTGCCCTCGGAGTCGGTGACAAAATACATGAGGATCGTCCCTGCCTTAACATTCACAACCGAGGTAAAAATTTCGTTATCGGAATAGGATACGACTGATTGCCCGCCAAGCATAAGTTGCTGTAGCAAGATAAGTAGATTGTTTCAATAAAATTCACGATGATCTGACCACAATAGCAATGGGCAGGACTGCACCATAGGCAGTAGTTGCACTGCTATTGACCGAGACGGTAAATGACTGCAGTAGTGGTAAGTCAGTACCACAGGAAGTACGCGAACCAAACTTACCCGCATTGCGTTATCGGACTCGGAGTTGGAGTCAAGATGAACATGTAAGGAGGTGACAAAATTGCAATGTCGCAAACATTATTTGCAATTGGATTTCCAACAGTTAAATTGTTTGTCGTCCCACCCGAACCAAATCCGGTGGTGTCAGACATAGTGAGTAGAAAAGTTGTTCCAGCCGACAATGCCAATTGCGATATTGAATAAGAGCCTATCCCACCGCTGAAGGCCGATGCTGGTACAGATATATTCTGATATACGTTCAAAGACTGGAGAGCACAAAGGTTAGCGCGCGATGGATGCGCTTGAGGTGAAGCGCCGACGAACGGGAGTTAAGAGTATTTCAAATGGTGCTTGCCCACCTGACTCAACCCCGATAAAGTTTAGCAGGAGCATATAAAATGTACTAGATATGTGCTTACCAGTCCATGAAATGTTGAGAGGACCGCATTGAGTGGGAGTCCCAACAGTCACACTGAAAGCACGAGTAACAGAGAGACAAGAAGCAATGTACGAACGAAGTGCATACTCAAGAATTGAGGAAGACAAGGTAAGAAGAGACGTAGGTGTACTGTAGAGATACGACACTAGGTTCGTCACGTGCAGCCCGTGACGATGTCACGCTTAGTCTTACAGGTTCGAATGTCCAGGTGACCTGTGACCTTACCCAAATAGATTCGCCTGCGGATCGTAGTGCTTCGCCGCTCGCAACGCCGTTTGCAACCATCTGACATGCTGCTTCATGATTCAAGCAACTTGCTTCAGTCTGTCATGGATTCGCCTCGCATAGCGCTGACTGGTAACGAGTGGAATTGGAGACTCTGTGGTCTTAAAGCCTGCCAGTGTAAGGCCGGGGAGAATTTCAATCTCTCATTCGCGAGCCTCGCAAGTCGAGAGGCGTTGCAATATTTACGTGATGTTCAGAAGAATGATCCAGCTGGATGGACGAGGATTGCTACTGCTCAGTACAAGACTGTCAGCGTTGACCAGGCAACAAACTCCGAGTCAGAGAACGAGGCCACTGATACTACCGGAGCCGAATCCCCCTTCGACGATGCTAGCGAGCATGACCTCGATGCCAGTGACGTGCCAATGGATGCACTCCTTGATCATATGGCTTCCGGGGGTGAACACGTCCGTTCTGACTGCCGTATCGATGCAGATGGCGGACTTCTGTGTTCAAACCACTCCGAAGTCTATGATGTGGGTGACATTACTGCCAAAGATGTGGAGAGTGGCTCGAATAGTGTTCCGAAGGTTGATTACGGGCGTGGAAAGCGTAGACGCATCGCAAATTCGATGTATGATGATTTCTGGTCCCATTAGTGCATAACCTATGTTTTTTTTCCCATATGTCACAAATTAGCTTCGTCCCACCAAAAATTCATGTGACAGTCACACCAAATAGATTCGATTCGTTAAGGGCTGTGACCTGTGACGAACCTAGTGTCGTATCTCTACAGTAATAGGCAAGTAATATCTTGAAAAAGGGAATCGGGGCACACTCAAGGTGAGCGGAAATTGTATCCTAGATAACGCTGACAAGTTCATGGTACACTGTTATCAGTCGGACCTTACTTGGTTACTTCTTGCCATAGCCACATACCACTTTATGGCTCAGGTGACAGGCACAAGGGGACGCTGTACATAGCAGTACCGGAGAGGTAGCAGAACATTACATAATATTAGTGGATCAGGGTAAATCTGGGGGATGTACAAGCGTAATTTGGCCCACTAAATATAGGATCGTTTTAAATGCACTCGGCATATCGTTTTTGAGTCGCCATGAAGAATCCACAACTACTAGTACCGTAATCTCGCTCTAGAGTCATGGACAAGTGCGTGTTTCCCTCATCTTCATCTATTCCTTTTCAGCTTTTTGCATATCTAACACTCCTCTACTAGTACGGCCATTGAAACTCGTACTCAGAATAAAATGCATCCAAAACGTAGTGGCGACGTACTACTTCCTCTTGCTATCACACAGGTGGGAAGAGGCCAAGGCGCGGCTGCACGACATCCAGGATAAAGATGTGCGCGAGTTGAATGGACTTGGCGGCATCGTGAAGTTGCAGTCGTTCTGCAAAGTTGCTCGTGATACTAGGTATCACTGGGCATAGGTCGACACATACTGCATCGACAAGAAGAGCAATATCGAGGTCCAAGAATAGATCAACTTCATGTTCGTCTGGTACCACCATTCAGCGCTTACGATCATCTACCTTTCTGACGTCCCGCCTTCATCCAAGTCTGGCGCTCTGGCGAAAAGCGAGTGGAACAGACGAGGATGGAATTCCTCGCTTCCAAAGTCATTCTCTTCTCTCAGAAGGTTTGGTTATCGATCACTCCCAAAACCACAAAGAGTCCCCTACAATCATGAAGGAGTTGGAGGATGCAACAGGCGTAGATGCACAGGCCCTGATCTCTTTTCATTTAGGGATGAGCAATACCCGACAGAGACTTCAATGGACATCATCTCGCGTTGCAATGCGTCAGGAGTATTCATTGTTTGGCATCTTAAAAGTCCGTCTGCCTGTAGATCATGTCGAAAAGAAGGAAATCGCGCTCGGGCGTCTCCTGCAGGAGATCGTGGCACACAGTCAGGCGACATTACTGCCCTCGATTGGGTCGGACAATCATCCGAATTCAATAGTTGTGTTACAGCCGACATCACCTCTTACAACACTCCTCCATGCACCCTTCCATCTTCGTCTGAAGATAAGATTCAGACAACTGTCTCTTCGTTGCGGAAAAATCGCGTGATTATGGATTTGGCTTCGAAACTTTACGACCGGCTTGATACCACAAGCGCTGCTCATTTCGCGAACCACAGACTGCATCTACCTTGCATGACATTCCGTGTCACAGACGCCAGTCCGGGCCCCAGGAGTCTCGATATGAGGTCAAGGCAGACGGGCTTCACGACCTGTTGATCACCACCAAAGAGCCGATTGTTCTCGCGGACAGTGCTCACTCAGCAAACCTTCGTGCTTGTCCGTCCCTGGGATCAATCTCTCCTCGAACTACCAGGCTTTTTAGATTTTCCCGACGTTGGGGACGATACGGAAAGCGAGGAGAATTATTGGACGCCACCTTCTTCTCCTTCAGACGAATCACCTAGCCATTCTCTTGTAAAACAGAAGGTGGTTGATCTAGAATCACGAGCATTGCGGTTATTTGTTCGACTTGGGCAGGATTTCGGCGCATTTATGCTAGCGCGGTGGAGAATACAATAGGATCGCGTCAGATCGTGGTATTATTGCACAGGTCAAAGATGTGGCTTCTGTTTGAAGCCTGATGGACATCAGGACGATAGAAATACTGTAACTGTATGTTTTTAGGGATCCGAATGGTTTCCATCAGGACCCCATATCTAACATCTAACACTGGCATATAGCACGGAGCGTTTGATCCCGCGGAACCAATTTGCGTCTACCCCGTGTGTGCTCCACCTGAGCGTCACTTGGATATCAATATTGGTTTAGTTGTGATACTTATCCCCTTGCACAGTTGCATTGTTCCATCCCTTCCTCTGGACATCCGAGGACGCTAGCACAATACGCAAGTACTGTGATAATCAGGGACCAGCAACTCCTTTACTGCTGACCAACTTCTCAAGCATATCGCTGGCTACAGTCCTCAACTCTTTCACAGCAACGGCGACACCCGCGCTCAACGAGGTTGCCGAGTCCGATCTGCACGAGTTGCTTCAAAAGGGAATTCGTGATGTCGCTGGGGTCAGGACTGAGATTAGACTCCATCGCGACGATGAAAGTCGTGCTGACAGCCGAGAAAAGACCAGACTAATCAAACATCAGTCTCAAAATGTGCAGAAGATAAGAACGCTAAACTTACGAAGATCAAGACAATGTCCATGTCAGTAGTGTATCGCTCAAGGAACTCGCCGTCATGTTCCTCTCTCGTTTGTACACCCCCCAGAAATGAGACCGTTTGTCCTTTCCAATCTTCGACGCAATCGTGGAGTCCTGGAGAATGTCCAATACTTGCTTCATGACATTTGCTCTGCGTGTACAGTATCGTCAGTTGCCATCGCTTGACTTGTTTTTTGCTTACAATTCGCTTAGAGTTGGCTGGTCCTTCTCTGCCACGACCTTTCCACCCTCACTGAGACAATTCAGGAGCGTGTTTGACGTCATTATCGACAAGAACTCACGGAGCTAAATCGCCGACTGGTGGAACATTGGGTGTGCTTCCTTGTACGTGAGGTCCTGACGGCTGTGAAGGCCCAGCATTCGAGCTGCAGTTCTGGTAAGGAGTGGCGCAGACGCCCATCAGGGAAGAGAGATACTTACATCCCTGGTGGCAGCTTCGCCAAAGGTTCAATTCCCTGTCTTGCTGTTAGACGGGTGACAGATCCCAGGAAGCTACAACTTACTCTTCGATGGATCCTACGGCGTCAATTTGCGGAGGAGGCTCATCGTTGTCGGTGCCTGATGCTTGTGACATGAAGAAGTTATACCTGTATTAGATCCCAAGTAAAGCTAGCGAAATTGGGAAGAGTCTGAGGTGCGCAGACAGAGCAGAGTGATGGTACACAGCAAATCGGTTAGGCGGCTACGAACATGATGAACACGTGCTTGCGAGCGTTGACGCCGAGAGTGTTCATGACTTGTGAGCGCTCCCAGTCTAGTGAACTGCGACTACTCTCCCTTACCATCATGATGATGGTGGATCGCGGCTAAGATATAATGTTTGTTGCGTCGATCAAGCTGGGCGCACGTGCAACTTGTATATCATACGTACAACGCAACCTCTCGGTCGTAAAGGAATTGGTGAGAAATGGTACAGATAATAGTAGCTCTACATTGTCGATTCGTCGAAGTCCAACTTCTCAACAGTCTCGAGAATCACTGTATTTACATCAGAAGCCATACTCTGTTACAGCGGTGTAATAAAACTAGAAATGACGAGCAAAGTTGAACCAAGCTACTGTATCATATAGCATCAGGGAGGTGGTGGTCGTAAGCTCAGCGTCACAAAGTATTAGTAGCGTAACACGTGTAGGAGTGTATGCGAGCATGCTAGCAAGTCTACCTATCACCCCCCAAAAAAAAAACATCAATGATACTTCCCATGATTGACATTCTACACTGTTCTAGGCGTGATAGCAAAACACTTTGCGATGAGACAGAAATGTAAAGAAATGTGGGTGTTGCACAAACGAGGTTAGGATGACGGCGATGGCGATTCTGCAGTGTCATTCGGAACTGCACGTTGGGCCTTCAATAGCTCAAGTTCGGCTTGCATCTGAAATGCAGGACAACCACTATCATTAATCAAAGAAGACTGTCGCTGCTGAAAATATGTACCTTCGCAATTTGGCAGTCGCGTTCGTCGATTTCATGTTGCCAGTCAGCGCAGGCTCGTTCGTCGATTTCACGTTGCCAGTCAGCGCGGCCTCGTTCCACAAGCTGCAGGGACAAGTATAATCAATCAAGGAAATGTAGCTGCTGAAGATCTTGAATAAATACCTTGTTGTGTTCTTCAAGACGAAGAGATCGCCGGGCCTCCACCACCTTCATGGTTTGCTGATGAGCATTCCAGAATCCATCACATATAACGTTGACGTCATCTGGGGATGGTTTAAATACCGGGATGGGTCCAAAGCGGCCGCGGGTGTCTGATTCAAACACCCCCTCCTGTCCAAAAAGGGTTTGCAAGCTCTTGAAAACAGTATGCCCGAACCAATAGCACTGACCGCCGAGGGCGTGATTGATGGTATGTTGGTTCACTTGAGACAATAGGACTGCGACCTGCAATGCGGAAGGCCGTGTGGATTGACTCGGAAATGAAAGTGAAGCAATGTGTCTGAATGATTTGAATTTTGTTGTTAGACACGATCTGATATTCAAGTTGCTGGCACAACCGATCAATTCGATCATGTCTATTGCAAGATTTTCCGATGATGCTGAAGATTGTGTGAGCATACCGGAAGACTGTCCAATAGCGAGGTTGACAGAGCGGTCGATGCAGATAGCGGCTGTGGCTGTGGGGTCGTCCCAGTGTGTAAAATGTAGCACGAGAAACTCGTGCTCTACTGTCTGGGAACACTTGTAGTGGTCAATACGGTAGAGAAAACAATCCATGTAATTGTTCTTTCCGTCACCATCGATGTGTTCTGACAAAGTTTTTTTGTAAAGGTCGACACTGACGAGTTGCCTAATGGTAGGACACTTATGGTCAAACCAGAGGCCAGGGAGATCTTCAGGGGGAGGTTCTAATATGCCTAATCGTCGAAGGTAGTTCGTTACAAGACGGCTGATATTGGCTCTGAATTGTATAAACATAGGAAGTTGGCACAGGGTTTCGATTCTTTCGAACACGTTCAACGCTCAGAGCAAGGAGTCACGCGTCACGTGCACGGGTGATCGAGGCTGTTAATTGGCAAGGGGTAAAACGGTATCCCTTGCCATGACGAGGCTGCCCATCTTACTAGTGTCATACTCTATTGCATACAAAATATCATGGTGACTTGCGAGCCAGACAGACCCAGCCGGACTCGGCCGGACGGATCCGGAAATTCGAATTCCCAGATGCCCTCGCTGCTGTCAAGGCCTCACGCTCTCTCGCACAGTTCTCGATCTACTAGAACTGATCCCTTTGCTCATGGTGAACTATGTACTGCATTATCTCATAGCAAAAGAAACGCCATTGAGATGCGCTGTGCTTATTTTCAGGAGGAGATGAAGAGAGAGATGGTTCAAATCTAGGAAAGTCTGCTTTTGTAGTAAAGCAATGACCGAAGGGATATACTTGTATCCTAGAAATGTTCTAGTGCTTCACTAAAGTACATGTCATTATTATTGATATATCATGACACTCGAAAAGAACATATCACAGAGGGACAAAATCAAAGTAGGAGCACAATGCCCTTGTACTTCATTATCAAGACAAGACACTCGAACAAGAAAAAATCATGAACGCACCACAGGTATACCCATGTCGGAAGACTCAACAATGTGGAGACATAGTCATGACGCAGACTTGGATTCCAAGGTACGGTTTTCCCGATGATCTGAATACTGCGGTGGAAGTTCAACCAAACCATTGCGGTCTGGCACAACATCATCAGCGTCGGTATGCACAATGATTTGAGTGGGAGGTTGATAGGCGCTAGCCGACGCCGTAGATTGACTTCCAGATGCTCCGTGCATAGCTAAGCTGTCTGTGTCAGGGGAAATTTGTGTTTCAACACGAAAGGGTGTGGGAGGATCCCTAACTGTGACGTTGCCGGAAGTGGTAGAAATTGATTGGGATCCAGGTTCAACGGGTGAAGAAAAGTGGGCAGGGTCTCTCTTCCGTGGTAACGGTGGTGCTGGTCGAGCCCCCACAGCCATATGCTCGACGGGTGTCATGTCTGACATTTGAATGCCTCCATAGACAGTAGAGTCTGTGCTAGGGATTGGCTGGGATCCAGGTTGAATGAATGAACTACGGTAGCTGACGGGATATGGTGATGATGATGGCGATGGCAGAACTTCACTGTAAAGGCTGACTTCGTTTGTATTCTGCAGTTGAAAATAGGTTGTTTTAGAAGGCTGAATGCGGGATGCTCTCCGTTTACGCCACAGGCACATGCCGAGGATGACCAATGCAGTAAGGACCACCGCACTGCCGACCGCGCCTGCGATAAGAGCAGCCTTGCTTGATGTATTGCTTGAACTAGATGACGGCGAAGCCGTGGTGGTGGCTGTGGCCGATATGCCTGCAGTGGATGACGGCGAGTTGGCGCTTAGGCACGTGAAATTACTCGACCCTAAGACCTGCTGCAACCCAGAGGCCCCACCTTGTCTGCCCTTGGAGTCGGTGACAAAATACAGGAGACTCGTCCCTCCTGTAACATTGACACTCGACGTAAAAGTGTCTTCATTGGAATATAATACGGTTGGTTGTCCGCCAGGAATAAGTTGCTGTAGCAAGATAAGTAGATTATTTTGATAGAATTGGCGATGATCTGACCGCAATAGTAATGGGCAGGACTGCACCATTGGTAGCAACTGCACTGCTATTGACCGAGATGGTAAATTGACTGCAGTAGTGGTAAATCAGTGCCACAGGAAGTACGCGAACCAAACTTACCTGCATTGCGTCATCGGACTCGGAGTTGGAGTCAACCAGAACATGTACTGAGGTGACAAATCTTGAGTGTTACAATCATTATTTCCAGAATTCCCAACAGTTAGTTGGTTTGTCGTCCCGCCCGAACCAAATCCGGCGGCGTCCGACATAGTGAGTAGAAACGTTGTTCCAGCCGACAACGTCAATTGTGGTATTGAATAAGAGCCTACGCCGTTCTTAAAGGCTGATGCTGGTACAGATGCGTTCTGATACGGTTTTAAATACTGGGAAGCACAAAATTTAGCATGTGATTGAGGAGCCTGAGGCGAAGCGCCGACGAACGGGAGTTAAGTGTATTTCAAACGGCGCTTGCCCACCTGATAGCCCCGATAAAGTTTAGCAAGAGCGTATAGAATATACTAGATATGCGCTTACCAGTCCATGAGATCTTGAGAGGGTCACATTGAGTGGGAGTCCCAACAGTCACGCTGAAAGCACGAGTAACAGAGAGACAAGAAGCAATGTACGTAGAGAAGCGAACAAAGTGCATGCTCAAGAATTGAGGAAGACAAGAGGAAGATGGTAAGAAGATACGCAGGTGTAGTCGAGTGTTGTATTATCTTGAAAAAAGGGAGTCGAGGCAGACTCGAGGTGAGGGGAAATTGCGTCCTGGGTAACGCTGACCGGCGAGAATCGATTTACTATATAACCTAATCAGTTAGGCAATGACACGAACTTGCAGCAAGGTGTTCGTGATCATTAGTAATACTACACCGCTCCTCTCGCAAGTTCAAAAAAAAAGCTTTTGATGTTTGAAACACGGTGGTAAGAATAAGGGCTTGAGTGGTGCCCTTTGCGTTTAATAGAATAGAAATAGGTAGATGGGTGACTGTGACATACTCGTAAACCCAGGTACATAATGCCGTAATGAATGTCCGCTGCCAAGTGGGCACGTAGTCGATGGCCAAATGATATGGTTTTCATTGACGTGACACCGAATCCTCGGGTCTGACATTCTACATCCCGACTAGTCGTCCGAGTCTCTACATTGGCCAGCCAAGAGTGGCTCTGAAAGAATGCACGATGGATGTGGTAATGGTGTGTAGATTGCCTGTACCACAAACGCCGGCGCCAACGGTAGTATATTGGAGGGGCTGGATGTGAGGGAGGGATGTATCCAAGAGGGTACCCCGCGTGGCGCGGATGCAGGCACCGAGTACCAACGGTCTATCCAAGTGCTGTGACGGGTTGCCTGCCAAGTCGTCGACCTTTCTCCACGGGTGGGTGCCAAGCGAGAAGCGGTGCGGTGCTAGTAGGCTCAATAGCGCCACAGAGTAGAAGCTATTACCAAACAAATGCCAAGCGTTATTTCTAAGTCACGGCATGAGGACACAGAGTCCGTATTATGAAATCAAAGAGAAGATATAAAGAACGAACAAAAATTATTAGAGCTCTGATGAGCCAAAAAGCCACAAAAATCAGGCAAGATGTTGGTCGGAAACTTCCCCGTACCTCAACCTTTGAAAACTCCTGGCATCCACCTCCATACGCGAATACTTCGCCTTCATCAACGCAACTCGGGGCGCCAATGACCGCAAAGCTGCTTCAGAGAAGGAGTTCATCATACCCAGAACGTCCTTCTCATTCTCATTGAGGCCCACGAGTTCCGGTGACGAGGGAGGTGTAGTATGCGACGTGATGAACGAGTATTCACAGAAGTCGCAAAACTGGGTAGTCGACGTAGGACTTTCTTGGACAAAAGGAGATGAAGATGAATCAATGGCCGTGTGTGGCGACTGGCAAGACCAGTAGATCGACTGGCTACTAGAAGATAATCTCGTCGGAGTGGGTGTACGAGGATTCTCCTCAATGTTGGCAGACTATGTCTATAGAGTGAGCACAGTTCGCATGACGTACTAACAGGTGTACCAACCTTGAGGGCCTCTGCAACTGTGAGTCCCCCACGCCGGCCAATAGCCCGTGGAGACGGGTGTTGAGGGTTCTTGAAGGACACTGGGACAGCTGCGACTTGCTTCGGCCAGCGGCCATGGAGTACCTGGAGTAGCCGTGGAACAACAATACACCGTGGATGGCGGAGAAAACGATTGCCCTGATTAGGTCGTCTGAGATAACCGCGGATGTAGAGTTCTTCTCTGACAACTTCACTTGCTAAGGGTGAGAGATTGGAGACGTGGATGCTACGTCGATATATGTAAGCGTGGCAGAAAAACACAGGACAGAGAGATACAGACAAGTCATCCGCGGTGACGAAGGTGTCGTCCGCATCTGTCGTTGCCAACGAACTAAAAGAGTGGATGGTTATGATAGTCTCCAAGGCATCAGACAGAAAGTTGTACGACGGTTGGTCACAGTTCGTAAAGAGAGATCCAAGCTTCCCGAACGCACTTGTGCAGATCTTTGTGAGGTATCGCATCGGAGTCTCGCCAGGTCGGTGGTTCGAGTTGCTGGCTTCCTCCTGCTTGCGTTGGCGTGCCACCTGGGGTAAGGTAAAGACCTCAGTTGTTCCAAGAGTTGAGTCGTACAGGGAAATACAAGCTGGCGATGAACCGTTCTCAGAGAGAGATCCGTGCGTTCCAAACGAAATAGTGCAGAATGATCTGATCTTTGTGAGGAACCGCATCGCATTCGTACTAGGTTGGTAGTTCGAGTTCACAGTTTCCTCCTGCTTGCGTTGGTGGGCCACCTGGCGTAAGTTTGAGAGCTTTGTTGTCACAGGAGTCGGGTCAGACAGCGAGATGCAAAGCTGATTGTGAATGGGAGGGTGGTTGATAAGACCGACAGGTGGACAATAAGCATCCGAAGGCATTATCGTGAAAGATGAATGAATGACAGGCGAGGGCGGTTGTAGAAGTACGCTTCACAGCGGTTGGGCATGGTAAAAAAGTGGTTTTGACTTGAGGCGAAAGCAGTTGGCTGACTCGGAGGCTGACTAGAGGTTTGCATCATAGATTATCCAAAAAAATACACACAGAGGTGCATTGGTTGGTATAGGGTTCGGTCACAAGCTACCGAGAAAGTCGCCATAGTAGTGGCGCAAGGGTAGGGAATGAGGCGACCGAGCAATTCCTTTCGTTAGCCTTAGGGTTGAGCTGAAGAGGCACCCACAAACCTTGATATGGTTAGCACCACCAAGTAATCGATTCACATCGTGTCATGTACCATGACAACCCCTACTCTTAAAACATGTATCTAATCTATTCTCCAATCGGCAAACTAACCATATGTAAAAGTGGATGATAACGAGACCACTGGAGTATGTCACGAGAGGTACAAGGACTCAGATTGAAAAATTGAACAAATGAAGGGAGCACAGGTTGTGCGATATCATGATGAGAGCCGGAGAGGCTCATGGTGCTGCCATGAGCCGGGCAGGCGCTCGGCACTACATGTTATCGGGATAATACACAGCCTAGTAAACAAGGGAGTTCGGTAATGTGACGTGGCCGGCCCAAATCACAGCGAAGCAGTGTCGTATCATTACTTTTGTAAAAATCATTATACGTTATAGAAGAAGATAGCAAGTCTCACTGTACTCGTCTGCGACGACTCTGCGTCAACCGTAACATATCAGCTTGGAGATATGATTCAACCTGAATACAAAGTGCCAGCTCGACAATCTTCGACAGCGCTTGGAAAAATTCGGCTAGCAGAAGAGGAAGGTGATCACAGCGCGCTAGCCAGCAGGTTTTTTTTTGTGAAACACGCCATAAAGTGAATCGTACCATAAAATTTCCAAAGAAGATCAATTGAACGTTATATTATTTCGGGTCATGATGCTATATAACCTACTCTCCATTTGCCTTTATATCCGCAACCCATCCCTCGTCCTCTTCATTCCAATTCTACACAAATGGCCATTCCTCCTTTTTCTTCAGTCTCCTCTGAGCACGAACTTCCTCGTCCAAAGGATGTCGGTATCCTTGCAATGGAGGTCTACTTCCCTCAAAGGGTAATGTCATATACTACTACATGACAACCATTCTCATCTTACGTCACTTTAGTGCATATCTGAGGCTGACCTCGAGGTCTTTGATGGTGTCCCAACGGGAAAGTACACCATTGGTCTCGGCCAGGAGTACATGGCGTGCTGCGATGACCGGGAAGACATCAACTCCTTTGCTCTCAATGGTATGTTGCACTGTCTCATCACACCCTTTCACAATTCATATCTTGTTCTTTCCAGCTGTTTCCGGTCTTCTTGAGCGCTACGACATCGACCCCAAGTCCATTGGTCGCATTGACGTTGGAACTGAAACCATCATTGACAAATCAAAGTCTGTGAAGACCACCCTCATGGACCTCTTCTCCGAATCTGGTAACTTCGACATTGAAGGCATCGACTCCAAGAACGCATGTTATGGTTCCACTGCTGCGCTCTTCAATGCAGTCAACTGGGTTGAATCCACCTCGTGGGACGGCCGTAATGCTATTGTTGTTGGTGGTGACATTGCCATTTACGCTGAAGGTGCCGCACGGCCAGCCGGTGGTGCTGGTGCTGTCGCCCTTCTCATTGGTCCCAACGCACCTGTCGTCGTTGAACGTACGTCCATTCCACTTTATTTCGGACGTTATGGCTTGTTTCCATAATGCTCCTGGATTGATCATGGGTCTGATATTCTATACAGCGATACACGGCAATCACATGACAAACACATACGATTTCTACAAGCCTCGATTGGACTCGGAGTATCCCGAAGTCGACGGGCCTGTCTCAGTTACCACTTACACTTCTGCACTGGATGCCGCATACTCGCGCTTCCGTGAAAAGACCGCCAGAGCTAAGAAGGCTCACTTCAACGGTCACGCGAATGGCAAGGAATCACTGACCTCCTTCTCCATCGACGACATCGACTATGCTGTCTTCCACAGCCCATACGGCAAGCAAGTTCAGAAGGGTCTCGGTCGTCTTTTCTACAACGACTTCCTCGCAAATCCCTCTTCATCCCATTTCGCTAATGTCGCTAACCCCGAATCCGTTCTTGCAATCTCATACACCGCTTCCCTCACTGACAAGAACCTCGAGAAAACTTTCATCGGTGTATCGAAGGCAACATATGCCAAGAAAGTCGAGCCTGGCATGGCCTGTTCGAAACGCTTGGGCAACATGTACACGGGTTCGCTTTACGGCTGTCTTGCCTCTGTCCTGTCTTCTGTCACACCTTCCGAGCTTTTGGGCAAGCGTTTGAGCATGTTCGCATTCGGTTCTGGTTGTGCTGCCAGTTTCTTCACTCTCCGTGTCAAGGGTGATACGTCAGAGATCCGGGAGAAGATGGACTTGCTTGCTCGCTTGGCAAGCATGAAGCTCGTGCCTTGCCAGGAGTACGTTGACGCCCTCACAGTAAGTCCAGGATCTGTTTGTCTTGACACAAGTTAACTAATATCCCCTCAAAGCTTCGCGAGAAAAACCACAACGCTGTAAACTACACGCCAGAGGGTTCCATTGAGAACATTTGGCCTGGCACATTCTACCTCGCGAGCGTAGACAGCAAATACCGTCGCAAATATGCACGTGCACCAAGGGCATGAGAAGCTGCATGCTTGGTGTCATCATTTGATCTTCTTGCTTCGTGATATCTGTTTCATGATATCTGTTTGGGTTATGAGTTGCATTGCATTTAGACGTATATACCCGACGCAGTAGCTATATGTATATTTGTAGACAAAGATGTTGGATTACTGCGGCGATAATACAATTTACGCGCATGAGTATTCTTGGGAATGCTGAATATCTGTGTCTTGTTGAAGACTGGCTGTTATGCATCAAGTGACACGTAATTCTGGCCATCAATTGGAAGCGTGTTCAATTAATGAATTTTTAATTCATAAACGATAAACGATTTTTCATTGGCTAACTACGCTACTGATGTAACTCAGGCACCACATAGAGCAGCAAGATTGGCTGTTACGTAATGTGACGCAAATAACACGTCAATAAACCCCTGGGCCCTCAGGCTAGTAGACTTATTTATAATCAGCGTCATGTCGAGCGCAAAGTCCGCGAAAACCATCAATACCCTTGCTTCAAAGAACGAACTAGAAAGTATGCTCTAATTGATCGATTTGGGTCTTTGAAACTGAACTTAATCATAAGCATCAAGCCGAATGATCAGCGGGACATGCAGCATACTCCCCCACGAGGGCACGAGGTACAACAGGCAATGAGTTTGACTAATGACAATGACTGTTACAACAAATTTCTAGCGCGTCCTCAGGCGAGCAGGCTATACTAGCTCGCATCTCTGCACCTAGATACCTCGACTTACCAAGACGATTCGCGCGCCAAATCAAACTGTCCTTGATTGCCCATCCTGACGTCAAGCCGAGGTGATGATGATGATCTGACCGACAATGTCGATAGCGAAGATGATGATCACGACGAAGACGACACGGAAAATGGTCACCGCGATGAAGTAGGTTACAATTATTCCGACCAGTGCGCTAACCTTCTATTTCAGTTGAGTGTCTTCACGAACCTAGCAATCACCCCTTAACCGGCAACGCAGAGAATGGCACTCGGGTAAGCTTCTGACTATTTTGTTTTTTCGCATGGTCACTCGGCTATATACCTACGTGTGTTGACAGTCCAAAAGCAGTTCCGACACTGCCAGTAAGGTCCCACAGCATGTCAGCAATAGAAAGTAGCTCACTGTCCGCTTTTTTCGTGCTTCTTCCCGCCGGGCCGTCGGTACACTTCTTTCAGGTCGTAGATCCGGAAGAAGAATCTCGATTGGCGCTCTACAAGAAACGTCTTATCGAGGTACGTCTCGCTTTTGGCTACAGAATGCTAAGCCCCCGGCGTCAACAACTTCACTGACTGGTTGGAGCTATTGAAAGGCCAAGAGTCGCATATCGGATCAAGGAACAAGGTAGATTCATATTAATTAAGCGTACTCAACTATTGCGACCTTCGGCTGTCTTGTAAAAGCACACGATACCAGCAAACACACGAGCCTCGAGCGACCGGTTGTGACAACTTCAAACGAGAATGAGGGTTCCGTCACACGGACTCAAATGCGAATGATTGCTGGTGTTCAGAAGTATACTGTATTCAGTTGTCCTATCACTGAACCTCTTGCGCAGTTAATGCAATACACATTACTAAGTCCAGTCGCCACGCCGTCCATCCACTGAAGTAGTCACTTCTTTGTACACAAGAGATAGTACATAGAAACATATAAAAATCGGCCCTCTACTCTCGTATATCAAAGAAATTGACAGGACCCAGGTCCAACTACTTCACCCCATATTTTTTTCCTTCATCCGGGTCAGAATCATACGTGGACCATTTCGTGTTCCTCGCATGTCGATGGCATTGTCCAGCATATGCAATCTTCGAACGTCGCACTGTCATGTGTGCGCTCTACATTGGCATGTGTGTCCCAAATGCTGATAATCAGACGGGGCGCAATAATAAATGGTGCGGTATTGATGAAACCCTCCGAGAGACTGTTCACTGCCGGCTGTTGATGCACTTATTAGGACTGATCTCCATAGTATAACGACATCATCATACCGGAATGTTGGCCCATAACACCGTCAATAAGACTTCGTTTGTTAAATTCCTAGTGGGATATTGTGAATAACAGAGTACCAATCAAACGAAGGTGAACTTGCAGGAGGAAGTATATGACATGACACCGAACGATCAGAATTACATATGTGTTAGGCTCCACTTGTATTTCTCTTCGTTCTCTGAGGTGTTTCACGAGGTTAATAACGGCGAGAACAACCAGGAAGATATCGAAGCATATGATCGGGATGGAAGTATAGATCGAAGGCATAGGCCCTATGTTGAAGGAAGACGTGCAGTAATTGACGTTCGGAGTTACTATTTCTTTCACTATACAACGAGAGGTCAGCTTGCACACAAATCGATCAACTAGAAAGTCACCCGAGAACGCTTCGGGTCGACTATATAAGTATATGTCGATCCCTACCGAAAGCGCGGCGATAACTAGGAACAACCCGCCCAGCAAATATAGTATGAACTTGGATCGGTTGTATAAAGCGTAAAGACGCCAGATGAGAATGACTGCAGATGGAAAGTCGGTACGCGCGATGAGATACTAATATATGTGACTGACCTTCCGCCAACAAAAAATAAAATGAAAAACCCCATTCCAACAGAACGGCAAGAGCGTAGCCTGTTTCGGCTGCATAGTAAGCGAATGCAAGTTCAAGTCCAAGGCAGTATACTTGCAACTAAGTGATACGTTAGTGATCAGGCTCAGCTGTTAAATGAACTTCTGACGTACGACTGAATCTAGGTTAACACAGAACTCTTCAAAGAAAGAAAGCATCGACACACTCACCCCTTCGGGAATGTACATTAGACCTCCCCCTAGTGCTAGTCAGCTAATGATGGCTCAGTTGGCACAGCATCACATACAGCAGGCGCAAAGCCTGAGGTCAGTGTCAGTTTACAATGTAGTAACTGAAGGACACAATCTCCACGACGTACATTGAGAGGAAAAGACCAAAGTATCGTGCCTGGCATAAACACAAAATAAAAAGTCACGAAGTACTTTGACAAGGCGGAACTCACAGCGAGGTAGAGATACGTCATCGGTGACCATTTTTTTGCCTGTACATAGAATGACTCAATTTCCGGAGCTTGATATCATTGGGGATTGAACACCTACCCAAACAAACTTGACCTACGGCAATTCGAGCATAAGTACTCGCCCAAGAGAAAATATGCTTCTCGTTACCTCTTTCTCGAAGTGAAATACTAGATCATCTCGCGCTCAGTCGCAGTGTAACTTGAATGTTCGTGAAAGCTACGGACTGTACTCATAGGATACTATTCCAAAGATCATTACTGGAAAAACGATGAAGTTCAGTATGATGCTTCGTTCACGAACAAGTCGGTTAACGAACTTGCTATATTGTTGTTCCATCGGAGAGCATAGGCAACTTCTTCGTCCGACGACATGAGATTGTGCAGATCAATTAACGGATTCAGGGTGTGAGCACGGTGTGCTGTCGATCATATAGATACTTATAAACCACAGAGTTTCGTTATCTCGCCAGGGCTGGTGGTTGAATGGAAAGTGTACGACATATTACGAATTCGCGTCACCACACTTCCTGTCGGTGTCACGACATTCTCAACAGTTAGCTACCAACGGAAGGGTTAAAGACTCACACGACTGACAATGGTCAGATGGGTACATATTCTGCTTGTGCTCGGGTGCTTATCTAGTCCCACATAGACAGGAAACCATGGGATGAAGTCCCACTACCATCTGAAACTTCGCATGTGCCAGTAAATTACAAACTGGGCGCTTGCAGACTGATAATAGTTTGACGCCGTATGGCAAACCAATCTCTTGGATAAAGATGGATACGATGTTCTCGAGTGTGTGTGAACCTGTGTGAACGGAAAGAACAGCAGCCATCAGCAACAGACTCTATCTTAATTTTATGGGAAAGTAACCACCTCAGCTGTGTGTGGGGTGGGAGTGAGGGCCGGGGCTTTCGGGGCAGGAACGAAAGGCTGATACGACGGGAGCGACACTTGGGAGACGGTAGAGCCACAAGCCATGAGTGAATTGTATCCAATTGTGCTTTTGCGCAGGTGGGCTACCGACTTCGACGCCCACTAGGTCAGTTGTTGATTTTTACACTGGCTGGGCGGAGGGCATTTGTTCAAGCAAGATTTGGAGAATATAATGTACCCGATCAGTGTAACCGACCAGCGGCTGAGCGTTTCCCTTGATATGTACACGCCACCGTATACTTGCTCCTGAAAAGAAATGTTTGTCATAGCAGTCCCTTCGTCGGAGTCCGCGAACGCTAACAATGATGGCGTGAGCCGAGCACAAACGTCTACATGAACAAGGAAATTCGGAAAGTGACATGGGATGTTGATTCCCACAAATGTTAAGTTCTGCAGAAATGATGAGTGGTCAGGCGCAGACCGCATCAGTCACAATCCTGTGGATGATCGTCGTACATAGTTCAGGGAAGTGTTTGTCAAAATCTCCCACGCAGTGAAGTCACAGGTGTTAGCAATCTGAGATTTGGCATCGTCCCCAAAGTCACTGATAGGGTGACGTAGCAAGCAAACCTGCAGCCGTTGCAAGTGGTTGCGTTGAACCAATAAGCAGGTCAAGATTTTCAACCATCCCTACGTATACGTAGAGGTACGATTATTCTGATGGGAATACTCACCAGTCACCGAGATCCCCGCCACCAATTGCATCTGCCGAAATACGAATATAGAACACTTGCGGGGGACTAGAGTTGCAAAGTCACTTGTCTTGCTCGTGATATGGGATTCTGCAGTTCAAACTATAAATCATTCTTAGTAATAGGAACGACGGGAAAATTCGTCCCGAACACGGAGTTCAACATGGGAAAAAAGAGACTGCAAGCTCCATGAGTTAGCATGTCCCACTGCTTGACGCCCAGAAATATGCCATCTTGCCTGCTATCATGGTATCGGGCTTGCGTGCACATAATTTTGTTGATTCTCATTGCAGGATCACGAATGTCTTATACTATCGTTCAGGGGTCGATGACTCGAGGCATAGCATCCTGGCCAATGTTTGTAGTGAACTTAGCGACGATTAAACTAGGTGTTACTCCATGTTAAGCATGAGGCAGAGAATGTGGACGAACTCAACATCACCCGAGATTCAGCTTGACCAATGAATATCGCACAGTTCTTCGAAGATAATCGGCAAAGACAAAAACGGCAGACGTAGCTAGAAAATCAAGTGGGTTTTTTTATAGAGAAGAAAATGATTGGTGGCCACGAGCGAATACCTAATCTCTGACATATAAAACATGCGCATGGACTGTAAACGCAGATCAATAAAATAGCACATAACTCAACAGGAAAGAAATGCGTACCACTTCGAGATGTTCATAGCAATTCGAGCCAAGAGAAATTCTCGACCAATCCTTCAACCAATTCTCTATAAACGAGCCCATTCCCCGTTTTTCAGACTCCTGCACCAACTCCACGATCTTTTCGGCAATGTTCCGCAGAGTTGCTTCAAAATGATATCTCGACTCAATCCAGGGTATTTGCTCACGAGTTTCAGCATATAGCATCAACACCCGTAGTATCAGCTGCCAACTGCATCATCAATGTCATCACACCGCGATTGATCCGGAAGATCATTTTCGTGCCTAGATCATCGATCACAGAGCGAACTGATTCGCCGCTCGAAGTGAACAGGAAGTAATCGACATCTTTGTCGACTTCAAGTATCTCAGCTTGACGCTCCGCAGTAGGAGAACTTCTGCCCTTGCAGGGATTTACTGAGTGAATCTTCCATTCCCATCCTTCTTTGGCGACGGGATCTGAGTCGCTGAATGCCCAAAGGGAGTCTCTCTGGGAATGACACGTCGCGAATAACTAAAGTATTGAAGGTCAAAAATAAGAGCCCGTCAGGATAATTTGAGAATTTGAGACGATGGCGACTCACATGAATGATGTCTTACAGTTCATATTTTGGTGGCCAAGAGGCTGAAGGAGCGGAAAATACAGCTTACTCACACGAGTCATGGCATCTGGATTCTGGTGGCTTTGGTAAAAGCATTGTCTGAGTGCGACGTGCGTGACGGTGTTGAGCTTGTTGAATATCCTGAATGAGTAAACGTCTGTTATGTAATTGTACTAGAATTTGATTGCTGAGTTTCACTAGCACTGTTCATTTACGGTGCACCTTCCTGCAGACTCGCCCGGGCCATGAATAATATAGAGACAGAAAATGTGGGTTTGGTCGCGACAAACAATAAACTAGTACTGAGCAAGGTCCATGTTGGCAACGCCGACCCCTAGTGTAATTGTCCTAGAATTTGATTGCTACTAGTATCGTGCGTAGTTGACTTGAAGATGAAGCAATGGATACAATGGATACCTGATACAACACGACCAATCTACAGACGAAATATAGCATCATGTCATGATTTTGTCTCACTTTCAGCTTTCTTTGTCGCCAGCTCCCTTTGAAGCCAAGTAGAGACATCTCTGGCCGCCTCCAAAGGCCTGCTCTTCTGCGACATCAAATAACCCTGCAGAGCAGCCATCGACACCTCACGCTCCGGAATAGCTGACGCAAACTGTGCAGCAAGCGCAGAAAGCTGTTTGCTCAAAAGCTTTGGTGCATGTCCACGGTGACGCGTGCCTATGTACGTCGGAGCCACGCGCTCAGATTTTTCAGAACAGGCTGAAGGAGAGGGGAGAGGGGAGTCTACAGTGTTTTCTGGGACGCCAAGATCAATTAGGTTGGAGGCACCTCCGTCATGTGTGGAGCCATTAGGATGGGACTGAGCAGGATTGGAATTTGGTTCTTGGTCGTCATCTGCGGGGGTCTTGGGCGAGGAAGGCAGGTAGAAACGCCTGAACAGCTCTTCTGCCTGATGTCTGCTCGCAAGCTTAAATTCAACATGGAGGTCCATACGACCGGGACGACATAGAGCAGGGTCAAGGGATGAATACTTGTTCGTCGTAGCAAACAGTATCCGTCCTTCTTGTGCGCCAATGCCGTCTAATGCGTTAAGTAGGCCACTGAGCGAAACCCTGCTAGTAGTGTGAGTGGGCAGCCCAGGGCTGGGGATGGGGATGGACTCGGCGCTTTTGTTCGGTGGTGTGGGAGGGTCCTCCCGCGAAAGACTGTTATGGAGAGCAGCGTCGATGTCTTCCATGAGAGCGATGCATCTCTCCGGCAAATCTGAAATGAGTTCAGAAAGTCCAGTGTCGTCAAGGCCGCTGCGGGAGAGGGAGATGATGTAAACATCAAGTTCCAGTTCGCCCGCGATGCTATGAATTAGAGACGTTTTCCCTGAGCCAGGTGCCCCATACTGCAATGACAATTAAATGAGTGTCATAGAAAAACTCTTTAGACGAAATCATCCTACCAGTAAGTAACCACGGCGGAAAGGAATTCCTAGAAGCAGGTTCAATTGAATATCGACAGCTTCACTCCAAGTCTAAAGCAACGCACCTCGTTCAGCATACCACCGTTTACTGGCAAGGAAATCTTGCGCGTCCTCAACAACAAGTTCCCTAATTCCAGGATCTAGGATAATAGAATCCAGAGGCCGCTTGCGTCTCTTAGCAAGTTCTCTCCAGCAATTCGCACTGCAACACGTTAAAAGGGAGAACATCAAAAATTTGTAGCACTCACGAATCAGAAACGTAGACAGTAATGGAGCTGCCTTGCGCATCCTGATAGGCCTTTTTAGCTTCTTGTAGGATAGTGTTTAGAATGTCATGATTGCGCGCGAGGATGCTGTTTAGCAGCAGATAAAACAGACGATTTAACAGATGTTTGGAAAAGGTTACCTGATAGTCAATGAGTCCCTGTTGTTCGGGCCCCAACCAGGTATTGGCTCCGAAATACGGGTAATCCGCATCCATGTGTATTTGTACCATAGAGTATAAGACCCGGAGACTGCTGGCAGGTAGGAGACTTTGGGCTTCCCAGATGGATCAAGCTCCTCTTCGGAACGAGGAACATTCCCCAAATACCTTTCGCTAGTGCTGATATTTACGTTGCGCACATTCTCTGTGGACCGACAGAAGATATTTAGAAGAATACGGAAATGGTTGATCGGAGGGCTTACTCCAGGATGGTTGCTTGGAAAGCCAGATCATCATCCATTCTGTCAAAATAACAGCCACTTGTCATTGATTATCGTGTAACCGACTAATGGTTACTCACTGTAACTGTCATCGTAATCCTCAAACGACGCAGTGAGAAAGAAAGAATCGATCGTGGACGACCAGAGTGTGGCAAGGAGGCGTCGACATGTCTCAAAGAAGCTACCAATAATCAAAAGCTTTGCCCAGTCTCTCAGAGCAGAGATCGAAAGAATCAAGGAGACAATGAGCCGAATCCCATTCAAGGCAGCAGGTGTCGTCATATGCGATGAGGTGCCATTGGTAGTCACGGTAGCGTTTGGACTTGAAGTATTCGACGCTACAAGGTGCAGGAGCTGCTCAACGAGGTCTGGGAGGGACGCCAGCTTGGACTAAAAAACTCGGGAACGCGGAAATGATCCTTGGAACACTGTACAGAGACACATTTTATATCGACCCCGTGGGTGCCGGACCTCCTCCTAATTAGACAGAGGGATGACTCGAGCGTGAGCCGCTGCGGGCCCTGACTCAGTGTCATTGTCAGGCTACAGCATAGCGCTCGAGGTTCACGTTGACATCGAATCAGCTAGATTGGCTAGTATACTTGGCGAACACGTTTTTGATGCCTGTATGATTAATATTATGCCAAGTGATGCGACAACATCGATTGAGTGACGAGCAGGATTGGTACTAAGTCTGGGCCCTACGGTAGCGGAGTTACTAATTTTGATGCCCTTTCAAGTTTCCGGTTGTTTGATCCGCTACAGCAACTGTCGAAGCGCTCGGCGACTCCGAGTCGTCGGGCCATTTAAGTCCCAATCAGCTCCTCGGTATCTTCACTATAGGCTTCACACCACGGTCATGACAGATCTAGCCACCCAACGTGTCTCCTTGGACCTAACACATGTACTCTGTGCGTTAAAAAAACCCATGTCTCGTGGTCCTTGCCAGCTTACAGGTCCAGATGATCCTTCTTCAGACACTTCGTTTGTACTCGCATTGCTGACGCTGAGTCCAATCCTTCTCATGGTGAGAACCCGACCATACACCGCAGCTTCACGAGCGCTGATACACCCACAACAGCCTGCGTATGCAGTACTTGCAGTATATACCCGCGAATTGACTATCATCAACATGTGGGCAGGACAACTCCTTTCAGAGGCTTTGAATTTGGTGCTAAAGCACATTTTCAAACAGGAGCGTCCAGTTGGTATGTATTCGTTTCCCAAACTATTCCCACATGAAGCTGTGTCTCAGTCTAAAATGGCTCTTGAAATATTTATGATCAGATAGTCAGCTTCACCTTAATGGTTATGGCTTTCCCTCGTCGCACAGCCAGTACATGGGCTATTTTTCTGCATTCCTGATCTGTCACGTGTATTTTCGACACCGGTTTACATCCACAGGATCGATCGTGCTCGATCAGCTTTTCCGAATAGTTGTCTACCTTGGACTAGCTGCTTGGTGTGCCATCGTTGCCTATTCAAGGTAAGATTCTAGCAGGAATCGTTGACACTAGCTTGGGCGCTCAACATTCTTTCAGACTCCACTTGCTGTACCATACGCCCCATCAAGTTAAATGGGGCCTTGTAATTGGCATCGTATTAGGTGTTTCACATTATGTGTGTACCGAACTACTTTCAGCCAAATTTCCGGACTCTATGTTTGGACGAATCCGATTTGCCATAGTAAATCACCCGATAAGCGTGTGGCTACAGCTAAGGGATGGCTGGGGGGTCTGGGCGGATGGTGGGAGAGAAGCTGAGTGGAAGCAATGGAGAACTGAATGGCTGAAGCAGCATGTACGTCTAGCAGGGAAGAAAAAGACATGAGCTTCATCCCATGTTTTATCCATCAGATACATGATTGCGCACCATATCTTGGCTTTTACCTACCCCAATGCATATCAAATTTAGGATGGACACCATGACCCCAAGGCAAATGATTTCTCATGAGCAAAATAAACTTTTCCTCGTGCAAGCCTACATTCAACTGATCTGAGTACTACTACAGGAACGACTTATTTGGTCTGTCTACGAAGACCGGCCATCTCGGGCAGTCTGTTATCGAACTTGACTTTTCACACACACACCGCCTTCCACATGACTCAAACATACACTTTGTGACTCCTTTCACTAATAGATTGCAAAGACTTCTAGTCACATCAACAGATCTTCTGCATCATTGAACATCAAGGATGACAAGCCAACTTCATCCACTCGAGATTAATCCCCAAACTGGGGAACCATTCCTCCGGCTTGCCGCACTACACCAGAACATTATTATCACCCCACCTCGACAGGGAGATCAGTTTGTAACCATACAGCATATAAACGATCCGGCTATTTACAAATGGTTAGAGAACCCCCCAATTCCGTATCTACCGGAACACGCAGACTCTTGGATCCAGTTTGTGAGAAAGGAATCAGATGTTACTTTGGATTACCTACGAAAGAGCGCGGAGGAATTCCCTGATGGCCCGCTTCAGTTCGTGGACGCGTGCCCTGTGCGACATATTAGGGAAGTCAAAGAGGATGGGACGGATGTTATTATAGGAGATGTGAATTTCAGAAGAAGTCCGTTCGAGGAGGTACTAGATGAAGTGGAACGGAAGCAAATGCAGGAAGATAATGCGAAAAAGCAAGCAGGAGACCCGACGATTGTGTATGCTATTGGAGGTACGTTGGTTCTCTGGACCTATGACAGTTGTCTCAGTGCTGACGAGTCTATCATGTTTTCGTGTGAGATAGACTGGCTTGCTGCGAGCCATCACGGAAGGGGCATCATGACTGCAGCAATCGGTCTCTTGATGACCGCTTGGGGGATCCCTAGAATGGGAGTTCGCCATGTTGTAGCGCACACTTTCGCTGGGAATATTGGTAGCAACCGAACTTTTGAGAAGAACGGGTTCGTGAACAGAGGGCTATTCGACAACGGGAAGATAGCTAGAGGAGAGAAGAAGATAATGACCCTCCTTGAGTGGAAACACGAGGAGGTTAGCTAGTAGAAACGGCGAAACGTGACTGTATTTCAAACTGTTTATTAGTGATCACGTGCAATCAAATTCGGTTAGATAAGATGGCCGCCCTGAAAATTCAGTAGTTTGTTTTGTACGATGATCACAAATTGGACGAGCTCGAGCACGCTGCACGAAGCTAGCGCAGTGTATGCAATATTTTGAATACAGCTGGATGTATCACACCGGTGGAAATATTCGAGAATTCTTGGGGAAAATGTAGTCATAATGAGAGTAAAACGTGTAATTGTTGGCGTGATGGCCGCATATTGTGGTATATTTTCACACTTCAACCCACAATTTAACCTCGTCGTAATTCGCGCGTTTGTGCTGCCAGAGCCGCATCATCTGGCCTCGAGTACTGAGCATGTACCTCTGGCGCTCTGTCACCAGGGCACTTCGTCGATCAATGTCAACGTCAACCTCCTCCCTTCCACCATCACCCATCCCTCTTCTAACGTCGGTCGCATCGTACAGACAATGGCGACAGAGAGCCTTCGATGAGGGGAAATCTGTGGGCTTCGTGCCGACCATGGGAGCTCTTCACGACGGACATCTGTCTCTTGGTGAGCACATCTCACACACTTCTTTTTTGAAGTCTAAAAATACCTCCTTACTAATCTCAAACCATGCGATTCAGTTCAGAGGTCACTGGCCGAAAATGAGCTGACAGTTCTTTCCATCTTTGTGAACCCAGCCCAGTTCGCCCCGCATGAAGACCTCGCCACGTACCCTCGCACCTTACCAGGAGACCTGGAGCTCCTTACAGCACAGCAGGTTACTGTGGGCGAGACTGTGAGGAAAGCCTCTGCCATATTTCTACCCTCGGTCCAGGACATGTATCCATCTGGTATAAGCCAAGATGTTTCAACACAAAAGGGAGCGTTCGTCGAGATGAAGGGATACGGACATCAGATGGAAGGCGCAAGCAGGCCGACATTTTTCCGAGGCGTGGTGACAATTGTAACCAAGCTATTCAACGTGGTCCAGGTGAGAGGGCCTCTCCGCAAGACACAGCTTAGTTTGACAACGATTGTAGCCTACAAATGCGTATTTCGGTCAGAAAGATATTCAGCAAGCCTTACTTCTTCGGAGACTCTGCAAGGATTTGCTTTTCCCACACCCCGAAGCTGACCACGTCCATATTGTCCCCACGACCCGTGACCCGAACGATGGGCTTGCTTTATCGTCCAGAAACGCATATCTCTCTGCAAATGAGCGGAAATTTGCACCTGCGATTTACAAGGCCCTACAATACGCAGAATCCGCGTGGTCGAATGGCGAATCCAAGGACCGATGTGTTTCAAAAGCTGTCTCTGTCATCGACGAAGTAAAAGTACAGGCTGCCATTGACGGAGTGGATATGCGGCTGGATTATATAGAGATGAATGATTCGGAGACATTCGACGTCTTGGACGCGTCTTCGAACCATCAGTTGGCAGGAGATATACCTGTGATTCTGAGCGGTGCGCTATGGGTTGGGAAGACCAGGTTGATCGACAATATCGTACTAGTTGGTGACCTCAAACGTATAATAAGATAGCTCACAAATAGATGCGGGTGTGGCAAGATTATTAAATGCTGAAGCGCATCCAGAGTCAGACTAGCTACCATGTCCGATCCATTAGAAATTGCCGAGCCACATATCTCCTTCACCTCCAACTACTAGTACCTTCCGCGATCGCCAACCACCGTGACGATGGCCCGGGCGCATTCGAGAGTGATGCTAACGAACGGCACTTTGCCATCCACTCAACTCAACCAATTTTCGGCGGTACACCCTTTCACTCAACAGGTATAGTATCGTTTTTGTACTTTTTTGAAGCGAAACGCTGAACACTTATACTTCCTCAGCTAGACATCGTGTTTCCTGCTTCCGATGAACTCGAGAGGGCGCTTACATCCCTGAAGCCCGCATACTATAAAAAATGTTGTACGCTATCAGATTTTTTTGAGTTTGCCTCCAACAGTCCGGGCAGGTAAGGAAATTCTGAACCGTGCCTTGAAGAAACACTGATACGATCCTGTTATGTGTCAAACAGGAATATAACTGCATTGCCATCTACCTCCGAGTGCGCTGATACATGGTGCATTGATCCTAGAGGCGTCCTCACCCTCTGCGTCTCAAAATCACTGTACGAGCAACTCGGTTTGATCGGGAAGAAACTCCCATTCAAAGGGTGCCCCGAGCAGTACGGTATGTCACTCAGGATTCCAGTTCATGCACGAAAAAGAAGTGATGGAGACCTAGTGCAGTGATACGCATACCGGTTAGGCAAGAGACCGAATCTGTCGCTGTACGTGTGAAGCAGAAGGCAGCCCTGAAATTCTGGGACGAGCTCAGAGAAGAGGGTCTTGGGAAATGGAAAGTTCTTTACTGTCAAACAGGTGCGTGTGTAAGGCGGAGATTATGTATTTTCAGACCAACGCATTTTGGTGTTCTTTTAAGACGTCCAGCTAGGAACCTCCGAGTCGGACGAGGTGGTGATTGTTCAGCCTCAAATCTGTCCTTCGGCCGATATACTTATCCCAGTCCCGGCACTTACTCCCATTCCCGAGGAAAGCACAGAGGATTGGGATGAACGTATCGGCGACCTTTTTGAATGGGTGGGCATGGCTTGCTTAGGAGCTCAAAGGTTCGTGTCTAAGCGTCACTTTTTCCAAACTTTTCCTCAACAAACGGTAGACTGAAAGCAAATGACCGTGTCAATCCTTACGTTGCTGTCTACGAAGTTCCCGCTCCTTCATATATCGGTGACGTGACACGGATAACATGGGCGGCTTTCCTTCACCAATCATTCGTAAAAGACGCTCTGGACACGGTGACGTCAGACATTTTGAGGTTCGATGGTGTTGGAGAATTGATGGTTTGCTGTGTAGGTCATATTTGGCATCTGCGACCGATAAGCAGGCGTTCGTTGCAATAACGAGACAAGGTTGTTGCACATCGCCTGTTGGCGCCATCCCTGATGCTTCTTTCGATACGGCCCGAGATCCACCTCTCCGAGTACCGGAAATCAACACGGAGGACACCGGCTGTTTCATCCTTGGCCCGGGTCAAAATGGGAACTTTGTGCTTGCACAGAGTATTGGACAATGGGATGCGAGATGGGGCTGATTCCATTATGCGCTGTAGCAGTCGAATTCACACAACCGTTCAGATCGCAGATTTCGCAATACAAGGTATAAACAATGCTGAAAGCGGATGAATTCAGAGCACCAAGTCTAATCTATACTTCCGCTAAACAACGTCTATAAAAGCACAGTATAGTACAGCAAATGAGGTGGGTCATTTACGGCCATTGTAATAGTGCAATAAGTAATGGATTAGCTGAGTGTATGAAGAAGCAGGATAAAGATCAGGTGAATGGTGCATGCTGGAACGCCTTGATAACTCCAGTCAAAATGAAGGAAAGGAAGACGTTATGTATCAAAAGATTGCGATGATGCGATGATTTACAAGTTAAGCCATGACGTCACGGACACGGACGAGTGCGGGGGATATATGAGTATGAGACATGCGTGCGTTATTGTTAGGAAGAGGACTTGTGGCGGCTGGCGAATATGTCTGGCGACGAGGCGCCCAGGTGTAAATACGAGGTGAGACTGTGGGAGGCGGTGACGGGGAAAAACGAGAAAAGGATGTGTGGCGTCGTGGCGGTGTTGATGATATATGGTGGTGATAGAACGAGGAGAGAGATAGCCCTTCACCGGATGAAGAGGAGTTTGTGCCGGGAACAGGGATGGGTGCACTGGGGGTCGGAAGAGGGAGTTCATCTCTTGGTTCATGATGACGGTGATTAAAGATATTGTGTGACTGCGTGGCAAATATTGGCTGTGGAGGTGGGTCTAATGATGCCATCACATCCCGCGAAGAGTCGATCTCTACTGATTCGTGCGACACTGGCGCGTCACTCTGGACTTCACCAGGGGTAGTATGGGCCGCGAGACGAACTCGGACGGGAGCTTCCGCCTCTACCGTCTGCCTTCGGTAGGCCTGACCAATGTACTGGGCTAGGCTATCACCGCCAACAGCCATTGGGCTGTCACGGTCGAGAAGACTGCCCTCGCCGGTGAGGTCTAGTCTGATAACTACAGCTTCTCTGTCCTCCTCCATCTCTTCTTCATCTTCCGAGTGTTCTACAGGCATGTGGTCAACGAAGGCCTCGTAAACTGCCTGGTCGCTTTCGAAGAACTCGTCAGAGTCTGGATCGAAAGCGTTGATATGTGACCACTTTTCGTATGGACAAGGAGCCTCTGGCTGTCTGATGATAGGTTCTGTCTGGAAAGCTTTAGAGTAAAGAGGGCGACCCATTTTTGATAATAAAACAAGTAAAGATAAAAATTTTGAGGAAGGGAGGGTATATAAGGAGGATGATGATCGCCAACTTGAAGACGCGTATAAACACGCATTGATTTTTTTTCCGGGCTTTAATTATAGGTTCGTGATTTCATGTACAAGGAGTTTAGGGCAGGTGCGGATTTTGACGGTAACTATGTGCTGCTGACAAAACTTGTCTTGGCTTATCGGAATGTTCCAGTCCGCCGCATTAATGAACGTTCTTTTCCAGAAACTCTGATTGCACTCATGATCAGTTATGGTACACATCACTATCCTTTTTTTTGAATAGCTCCATGCTATTATACTTTCAGCACACCGAAATGAAGTGTCGAAAGTGATTATGGCATTCTGATGGACTGCTCATCGTCGATTTCGTACAAAGAACGAGCCAAAAACAAAGATCCTCGCAACAACATTCCGTGATATCCACTCCGGCGGTATTGCATAACCACAAAGTAGTATACGCCGTGCAGCGCCACTTCAGACCCCGTGGTTCATGCCGACATACATCCGCGCTTCACATGACCGGGGTATTCGGCAAGTCTTCGGACAGCCGAATCTCGGTCTCGTCGCAGCTTGGCAGGTGATGGCATCTGGGCGTTAGACTATAATAACTACGAGCGTCGTGGGTAAATCCGAGCTTTCTGATCGTATTTCAGCAGCTTCTCGAACGATGGAAGTCTCTCCGGGGCTCGAGCGCTTCCGAGTCAAGGCTTTGTGTATGTAAGTCTCCAAAATTGTTTCATGCATTGTCAGATAGGCTATGATTCATATTGGTCACATCTCCTGACTCGGACCGACCAGATATGCTTGAGATTTACACAGCATGCCCAGCATTATTGGAGCATGAAACCCGTCAGTTTTGTTCAGTAGGATTGGCGTGGATAGGTAGGAACGATTTTCTTCTTTCTATTCGGTTTGCTTATCAGGGGGGCAACTAACTTCTATTCATTGAATAGCTGATCACGTCGTAGGCTCCCACAATCCACTGTGGCACTCGGTATATAGACAGGGCTGGTCACCAGTCTACTCGGTATACTACTAGCATCCCTTACTGTATAATCGGTACCCACAGAGGTCGGCACTTTCGCAAAACTCGTATTCCTAGTCACTTAAACACTACCTTCTTGACCTATATATCATTCTCTCTTTAATACAACTCATTGCGAGGTTGAACGACCACGATTGAGGCAGAATTGAGTGAGATAGTTAAAGGTGCTGAAGTCATGCAGAAGTGTCACCTGCCGATATGTGCCGTGATGCACTTTGGAAGCTTGTGCTGGGTGCCGCAACGATGCTAGATATTTTCATCAGCCAATCAAATTGTATTGCATCAGACTGAAATACAAGTCTAGTGGATGAGTAGAGGGGGGCTTCTACTATACATCATGTGCCACTTGATATTTAATCCCTTTCCTCCTCCCTGAGATAAAATTTAATTTCTCGTGAACCCCTGCGTGTATAGTTCAAGTGCCCGTATCATCACGTTGTAGGTATCTAAACGCGGCCGTGGACGCCCAAAAGGAACAAGGGATTCCGATAAACCTGGAACCTGAAACGTGTGTGCCTTGTTTGCAGACTAACCACTGAGGACGAAGACTCTGGACAAATTCTTGGGTGGACATCTAGTCCGGTGATCAAGTATCTATACTAATATATAACCACAATTAGAATAGTCACAGATGATCGGACATACGGCGGCAAAGACGAATATGTAGCCAGTCGTATCAAGATTGAAACCCATGGAGTTATACTAAACGTTGCACTGGAACAAGGTAATTCTCTAGGTGCATACACATTTTCCTCTGATTACCTTGTGAATCACTCATCCCTATCTTGCATTTCATCTGGCAATTGTGACCCTAGCCACCTCAATACACCAGCCAGCACAATAAAGACAACATAGACCGCATTCCCGTTCAGAACATTGTGTTCCTTTGAGAATGCAAAAAGCGAAGTTGCAAATGCAGGCCCAACGACACGAGCCATGGACGCGGAGGTTTGACCAAGACCATTGACAGCGCCAAGGACATTCTTTGTGGGGGCAGAGGCCCTGATAAACATGAATACAGTCCCTATAATGAAGTGGATTTTAGTCTTAATGACAGGGTGGGGATGGGTTTAGTTGCAACACACACCGTATGCCATATCCCACATGCTCGTCAGCGCTAGTAGGCTGATTAATGTAAATGTGGTTGCATGATCAACCATCCCCCTTGCGTGTACAAGCCACGACATGATCGGAAACATAAGCATAATTGGCGTGAAGCACGACACGGCGCCGCAAAAGAAACGCTTTGGACCAACCCAATCGACAATTTTGGCGAAGAACAGTGCCTGGAAGATACCATTTGCCATTGCATATATTCCCATCCACAAGCCAATATGAGAAGGAGTGAAACCAAGGCCGCCAAGATAGGTAGGCGTAGAAAGGAACAGCGGCAAAATAGCCATGAGAGCAATATCAAGCAAGGCGAGCATGGCGTAGTTTGCAATTGGAATGACAATGGTAGGTGTGAGCAGAGATCGCATGGATGTCTGTGAAAGATCTTCTCTATTATCACTGTTGGCACCATTTGAAATGCCTAGAGTTGTTGTTGTCAACTTTGGTCGACGCTTGGTCGATAATGTCTGTCGATCGTGAGTAACATTGTGCGATGACACAGGTAGTATGTAAAACTCACTTCTTCTAAGAAAAATAACACGACGAGAAAGCCCAGTACAAACATGCAAGCAGACACTGCACAAGGTAGAAAATAGGGGTATTTGCTCCAAAATGGGTGCGCGAATAACTTGGGCCAGTTATCTTGTGGACGCGCAAGCATTCCACCTATTAAGGGACTGGTATGGAGATTTAATTATGGCCATTCAAGTAGTCAATGATTGTACTCGCCCAATAAAGCCTCCAATGCACCACATTATCGGAAGCAAGGCAAATCCCTGAGCCATATTCGTAGAGTCTGTCAATTCGCCCAACATGGTCTTCAAAACTGAAACATTGCCGTTCAGTACACCGCACATGCAGCGGCTAAAAATAACGTAAGGGTTGTATTTCATATCTTTAGCTAAAGCCATACCTAACGACAAGGCCCCAGAACGTTGTCGAGAGACCGAAACACAGCATTGACATGCAAGTTCCTGATAGCCCCACTAGTAACACTGGCTTGCGCCCAATACGGTCAGACAACCGACTCCATCTCAGTACTGTCAGTGTCTGTGCGACGAAAAACAAAGACTCCTGTCAATCGTATCCGGTGGTATGAGAAAATTATGATTCTGGCAACTCATGATCTCAGTACCTACAATTATCCCAGCATAATATCCTACAGCCGCATCATCACCTCCAGTGATGCCAAGTTCTCTGATAAGCTGAAAATAAAAATATGAAGAATGGATGAAAAACAGTTTGATGCGCCCATTGTGAAATCATCGTACCTGATTGATGTACGGAAATATGGACATCGAAGCGATAGGTTCGACAAGTCGCAATGTCATAAGTATGCCTATCTGAAGTTTTGGAAGAGGTGTTTTAGGCTTTTTCGAGGTCCCTGCTGAGACCAGAGGCGTGGTTTCGCTTGTTGTGCGAGGAGAATTTGAGGTGTCCATTCCGCTAGTCAGCGTTGCAAATTCAAAGAGGAGATGTGAGGCTATTAATTGAGTTCTAAGGGGAAAGTGAGCAGAGAAGGGTTAAACGTGGCACAAGAGCGAGGAGAATTGAGACGAGTAAGATGAGACGTTCTATGAGGCTTTTCGGTCGTACTTGGAGCGGGGATCTGCGTATACGATTCGCTATGGGTATGAGTGTACATGGACAGTACATATACGTTTTCAATTAGCTTAACAGACCCGAACAAGAATGAGGAATGGAGAGGGAGCGAAGAAAGGATACGTGATTTGGATGCGAAGAGTATTACTCTTCGCATCATTGAATTACGTGGCCGGTCTCGAACGTCCTTGATCTGAGGTGGTGGGCGTAGAGGACATGATATCCTTACAGAGATGAAGCGACCTACCTTGACATGGTCGTAAACTGTATTTATGGCCTGCCGCGACCAGCTTGTGGACTTTTAAACTATTATCATGCTATGTATCCCTTCCGGCGCATTGGCAACCGGTACCCTACAGACTTCATCAGGAAAGACCAATGATTTTCGCTTGCCAGAAAGAAGTTTGATGCTTACGATGAGCTCAGGCTTCCGGCGTTGGTGACGACATAAAGCGATTCGTGGAAGTTCTAAGGTTCCGCACGAGTCGGAAAGTCGACACCGTACCTGACCTGCCAACAACGTACCCTCCACGGATACGGTTACATACAACCGTAGATATTGGAAAACACCGCGGGTACATTACAAAAAAGACTGTATTAACGACAATAAAAATATCAATGGAAAGACACACACCGAAATCTGCAGCAAGATCGGGATCAGGATGGAATGTACTTTTCGTTTCTTTGTCGTCGTCACTGGCCAGCAAATCGATACTTGATCATGTGAGATCATTGGTGTCTGTGGGTCTCTATTGAGCAAATCGGGACGCAAATGATTGCTTGACCTTCTTCGAGGGACGGGCCAGAGCCTTGGAACCCCTTTGCGACAGCTTTTTGAGTGACTTGACTCTCTCCGAGATGGACGACGCAATCATTACGGCGTCAATTTCCTAGAGAGTCAAATCATCTAAGTCTATGATAGACCTAGATGACTAGTGTGACCGTGTAGATGAGGCATTAGATGCCTTCTTTGTGAGTTTTCCCATGGAGAGACGACTCGGTGGACTTACTGTGACCTTCTCTGTAGTGAAGCGTCAGCTAGAATGAATGACAGGGGCGCAAAAGACATGACAAAAATCAGTATGTAGTATAGCATTCAGGTATGAACTTGTGATCCTCAAGCTTTCAGAGAAAGACGATGCGGACTTGAAACAGACTTATCCATAGTAAAATGTAAACCGAGACTATGTGGTGTTTACAGACACCGTCCAGCTCAGCTACACAAAGCCAAAATTGAAGCAGATTGAATGAGATAGTCGACATTGAAAGTGCCGAAGTCGCCACCGCTCACTTAACCTTATACGGCATTTACGGAAACGGCCGAAAAGGGTAAGGTACCTCCTCGGTGAGTGAGTTTGGGCTAAAGGCCACGAGACTTGCTAGTGGGGGTCTGATGCTTCCTACACCCACTAGCCCTCCCAAACCATAAACCACCCCACCGGTGGGTCATGATTACTGGATGCAGCTGGCCGGTCACATCGGACGTGGTGCAGTCGTGCGACGGAATCTGTACATATAGATGCACCGTGTGTTATTCCTAAACAGAACTTCGAGGGCGCGGTTGGAGTAGCGGTAACCCCAATGAGAATTTTTGCAGGTTTGAAACTACTGCTATCCTCGGCGTTCCTCTTGTTTTAGCTAACGGACCCTTATCCTAGGAGACGGGTGACTGCAGCAACTAGACGCGCTTCGCTTATACAAGCTAGTCGCTAACTTTGAAACTCTGTGACATTTGCGTGACTGCTGCTTTGAAAGTTTGATGCATTCCGCCTGCCGATTAGGGATATCGATAGTCTGTCAAACTATGTGGTACCAGCCATAATATTGATTCTAGCCTTTCCTGCAAGATTCTTTGTATTGATCACAGGGGTAACGCCATTGGATTCTGGAAGGCCAAGCGCAAAACCCAATTGGTAGTCATTAAAATGATGAAACATACTAAAGCCACAAATCGTCAGACATTAATGTATTGTTACATCCAGTCATAAATCATATCATAAGTTACATTGAGGAAAGGGAAGAAAAACCACACCGTTCATATCGTACCGCAGTTTTCACAGAGTGTATCTATACCCACTCCATTCGTCTCCCTTTTCCCTCTGGGCATCTTCAACGCTCGCGAACCGACCGTTGACTTCAAAGCCTCCCTCGTGTCCCTCGATGATTTCGTCTCGCTCTCCGCGGTCCCGACGAGCGTTCTCCCGCTTTAAGAGGAACCTAAATGTGACTGTAGCGATGAGACCAGTTCCGATGTACATCAGCACAAGTCCGTGGCCTAATGGGTACCAAGGTGTCTGGTTTGCACGATAGACATTGGAACTAACGGCGCCTTGCAAGTTACCCCTGAGTCGGTGTCAGTCGTGGATCGCACGCACCCCAAAAATAACTCACCAGCTGATGACCATTGCAAGAGCGACACTACGCTTGTATGTTCCCTCTGAGTTGTTAGACATCCAGGCACTGTTTCCGATCGGTCAGAAGGGAACAAATCGTTAGTGGATCACACTTACACCGTGTTTGCTGTGGAATCAGAAGCGATCAGCATTAATGCTACAGATACCATAGAAAGAGCGCCACTCACGAATGCAAGGGTAAATGCCGCTACATTGCACTTCATCAGGCATAGATCAATTTCATAGTAGAACTGGCTTACCAAGCAGATAAGAACACCGCAAAGTATGACAATGCGGCGTCGCGGGAGACGATCAAGATGATGTATCCAACAGCGGCTATAAACATCCCAGATTGCGTGAGCGACGTCGTTACCATGAGCACCATGCAAACTTACCGATGGAAAGCAGAATGCTAGAAACAAAAACATGGTGGTAAGCAATGGAGCCGCAGTGTAGCGAATGGTAAACCCACAAGTTAAACATCCCACGGTTGCCGTGCCGGTCGGCGAGGAAGCCGACGAGGCAAGTAGATATGCATGCAAGCGCATAAACAGGGACGGTTAATAGATTCGCTTTAGTTGCAGAGTATCCTGGGGACAATCAATCGGTGAAATGTCACATCTTAGAGTATGAGAGCATACCGAGCTGTTTCACGAGAGTTAGCACGTGCGATTCGTAAAGACGGAACGTAAGACCATGGACTCACCTGGTTAATGATACTCGGCAAGAACAACGCGAATGCATACAAAGGCATGTCGATTCCGGCGTAAACGATCACTATGACAGTTTGTTAGCGAATGTAAGTTGCGGATCAGGTGGACTTACTGGCAAGGTAGGTTTTCCATTCGGTCAGTGCCTTTTTGATGTGTCGCCACTGCATCTTCTCTCCACCAGCACTGAACTGGGCGTCACCCTGCAGGCGGCGAATAACGACAGTCCGCTCGGCCTCGGTAAGGAACGTTGCGTTGTCCGGGAAGTCGACGATAATCCAATAAGAGACAGCACCTGCCACGATGGTAATAAGGCCCTCGATGATAAAGATCCACGACCAGGCAGGCTTTCCACCGATCCCATCCATCTTGGCTATGCCGACCTGCATGTCACAAAAAAAAATTAAATTAGAAGAATCGCTAGTTGTAATTGATTGGCACATACAGCGAGAAGGCCACCAAATGCACCGGAAATGGTCGCGGCCGAGAAGAATATGGCAGCGCGGATACCAAATTCCGAACGCTTATACCAACTGCACGGACATCATGATACAGATCAGATAACGCTTCCGCACACAGAAGAGCTAGTCGCACGTACCATGAGAGATAGTAGGTGACTCCGGGAAAAAGTCCAGCCTCGAAGGCACCAAGCATCCATCTCATTACTATTTCGAGCAAAGAATTCAGTGACATCCGACAATCACTAGGCGATGTACCAACCTAGTAAACCGCTGTAGTTGTGCACTAGGCCTTGCACCGTCTGTAGAGGACACAGGGTTAGTGCGACTTGATCCAGAGAATAGCGTCGGAAAACACACCATCATAATACCCCAAAGAACCATGAGCATCGAAAGCCATACGGAGGGTTTTAGACGTTTCAAGACGATGTTTGAGGGCACCTGGTACGAGGTCAACTCGCGTCCATTGATCTTAAGATCGCGCTCACCTCGAATAATGCGTAGGATATAAAGAAAATCGTCAGGCATATCAAATACTGAGTGTCAGTTATTCCTAAATCCGCCTCCATTTTGTACAGCTACGAAGAGATTAGATCTCGTGGGAGTGATGCTCCAGTGGATGGATGCTCACCTTTGCATTTCCAATACTCGTTCTGTCGAGGAAGCAAAGTAAATACAGAAAAGATAACCATGGTATAGTCCGCATGTCGACTTTTCGCATTAAAGCGCGTTCGTCGATGCCCGAAACGTCGATATGAGGGTTGTAGAGCCCGCCTTCGGCAGCAGCCTTTCCATCTTCGACATGGACCACATCATCTTTCTCGGAGATGCTGGGTGGTGAAGAAGACAACGTCATGGTATATGGTGTAAGGATGTCTTCAGTCGATGGGTGGATGGGGTGGCAGTAGGAAAGGGACCTCAACTTTGAAATTAACGGAGATGCAACCTATATAAGCATCGAGTCCGCATGTTTTCTCGGTGATGACAGACCTGCAAGCGACTTCACCCCACGGTCACCACCCGGTCTCTCTTGGTCACCCCTGGTTCTTTGAAGGTTCTGTCAGACCGGACGCCAGGAACATATCAAGTTGTCCAATTCGGTAAGTCGAGAGTGATCATTGATCTGGGTGCGTTGCGGTTCATATCCGTTATTGGACCAATCACAGTAATTGTTTCAGCGTGATCATGTGCGCCGATCCAAAGTAATGACAACGGTTACAATCATTTACCCCACTGATGAGTAAAGATAGTGGCACATTCTCCAGGCTGTGAGCCCCAAGTTCACAGAATGCACACAGCACGCGGCGTGCGTGTCGCGTTCGCGTGTGATCTACATAAACTTTTTAGGAAAAATTGTTGACCTTTGTTGTGGCCAAGCTCATCCGGGCGTGCTCTGTAGATTTAAAAACGACGTGCCTCAGGTAGGCTGCAGTTCGATGCACTGATATATAGATCGATATGGAGATCCTACTGCTAGCCAGTAGGTACTAAAATCAGCTGATTTAACCTCGAGTGCGACAGCTCAAGAGATGACTCAGACATTAATATTGGCATGTACAGGCGTGTCAGGGCGTGTCGTGTGATCGGGACGCCGACATCCAATTTTTCGATGGGGATTATGTTCCCCAGCCTTCACAGGTGATGAAATTCCAGATGTATTAGAAATTAAAACCCCCACCCCCACTGAACTGCTTCGTATTACTACGAGACCACTAGACGGATGCGCAGCGAGAACAAGTATTCTGGGGTGCCCCGCTATACACCTGACAGAAAAAGCCAAACGTAGGTTCCTGTGCCTGTAAGTTATAACCCCGGATCAGACTTACTTTGAATTGTAAAATACCGGAAAGAGATCATGTGAGGGATTTCGTGGAACCACAGTTACAAATCAGTAGCCTTGGCGTGTCGTTGCACATTTGACGTTGAGAAGAACCGGACAACTCAATATACTTGTTGTTGGCATAGCCTGATAACTGCAGCCTGTAGGCTTGGTTTATTTTCGATGCAAAGGGGAGACACCGCCGTGTAATTCCTCTTGCTCCGACACACACATACTTCCAGTTCTCTTGGAATATGCTCGAGTAGATGGAAGGGCATATTGATGGTTCACACAAGGAATGATCGATGAGCGGACCGCGGTATTCAAAAGCGCACACAAACTTGGATACCGAGGTGAATATCAAATACATGTCAAATAAGCAAAGAACGTAGTAGAAAACACGCACAGGACCCGGATGACATATCGAGACCAAGAAGGAACCTGAAGATGCCAAGTCTGCTTCACTTGACGCTTGAGACACGTATCATGGTCACTGCTGTCTGGCAACAGTCTTTTGGCGAGCCATGGATTGGCTTCGAGCAGCGCCTCCGTACCCTTGGTACAGGCTCGAGTGACGGAATGGAGCTCCGTACCCGACGACAACCTGCCAACTGTCACCATGCCAGGTACCTACTATGTCAAACTGATGAGTCAGATCTTCAACGGATGAAACAAACCTCGTGTACTACTCACCAGCACTGAAACACGACAGCCTCGACAGGTCTTGTTGAAGTGTCTACAAGGTCTAACTTACGCCGTAAGACTGTTCGAATATGCGGAGATATTGCACTGTTAGGCCCTTCGGTTGTCTCAGCTATGAAGAACAGTTGTCGACAGCCAGTTTCCTAGTTTAACCACGGAAAGGAAAGGAAGACAAATGCGAATGGGATTACAGGATGAAAGAAAAATTATCATTGGAAATAAGATAAATCGCATATACAAGCACGCATCAAAACACCCAAGCCTCTCCATCAAGAAAGTGAACGAACATGGATGACAGATGCCCCGTTGCAGTAGTGTTAGCCGTGTCGGCCCAGAATTCTCATTTTGACCTGGCAGTCGGAGTATAACACCCGTATCATGTCGAAGCGAGATATTAATCTCGCACGAACAGATCACTAATTGCGGGGAAACGCTCTTGATATATGTTTTCCCGCGCCGTAAGATCCAATCGCAAGTCACAACCCTCTCGTCAAGTTCCTAGTTCGGGAGCTTTGGTGACGACTTGTCAGCATCAAAGCCCCCGCTCATCACGGACTCGTCTTCTGAGGCTGTTCATGATCCTCCAGCCATATCCAAGAGCCCTTCTATGCTCTTGCCCAAATCCCCTCCGTTGGCCTCCAGTACCCAGTCGCGCACCTCTGGGTCCACTCCTGGGAAAATCTGAGCGAGAGTCGCACGAGCAGCAGCGCTCGCTTGTGCATGCGCTCGGTCGATTTCTGCTTCGACAGCAGTAAGGTCCAGCGAGGGAGTGGGCGTACGAGATATATGTTGGCCTACAGAAGGTGGTTGAAGGTGCTGCGGAATAGCGTTGGGGGGAGGTAATGGTTGGCCAGGACCAAGCGCGAGTGCTTGGTGTACATATGGCCCTCTAGAGCCAGGTCTACTTGGGGTTTCGTCGGCTCCGTAAGAGTACCCCATGTGCGTGGGTGGAGTTGGAACAGGCGACGTACGACGGACGCGGGGCTTGTAAGGTGTTTGCATGGGCGCCTGAAGTCCCTCACTGCCTGTCGGTGTGTGCGGAGTACCACCAGCGAACTGAGCAACCTGGTCAGGGTGTGACCAGTGTCTCTCCCGCTCTTCTCTACCAAGCTCAAAGGGCGCGAACGGTCCTGGAAGGTAGCCCATCTTTTCATCTAGTGCCTCGCTGAATATACGACTGATGGCACCGAGAGGTTTTGATACCACATCCCCGGTTTTCTGCAATAACTTTCGAGCATCCTCGCCAATGGTGAGATTCTGGGCTGATGATGGGACGGCGAGGGCGAGCGGTTGTGCAGATTCTTCTCCTGCGTGTGGAGATTGACGTGGAAGTTGATTCGGGGTTTGTGAGCCTTGGGCTATGGTTGGTGATGAAGGAAGCGACGGAGGGAGTGTTTGGATTGCTGCCTCTACATTTCTGTCAAGAGGAATGAGCATGAATCACGAACTGAATACAGATTATAAAAACCTTTCAAATTCTGCCTGTGATATACTAGAGAGCGAGGTATGATCCATACTTTCAACGAATTGTACAGCACCCATCTGAGAAGTAAACATCAGCACGAGTAACCGACAGAGCAGTCATAGACTGACGAGACTTGAAAGATAGTAACCCGCCTCGCTTTGTAGCTTCGCAGGATTTCGAAAGCGATTTATAAACCTTTGGGAAATTTGGTTAACTTCATTGGGCTGCACGGTGAAAAAACCTGTACACACTCGACGTTCGAAAGCAAATGCTCAGGGTTCGCTCTCAAGACCACGTAAATCAATATCGGCACAAAAGAGTCTGCACTTTCGTCCTTGCGTAAATGTCGTATCAAACCTGGATGACATCCGAGAATGTGAACATGCTGCTGAAATAGGAAGTGAAAAGCGCGAACCAAAGATAATCTTGCAGCAGTTCAGAATGCAGATGAGTTTATCCCGTGGAGCCTTGTAATGATTCACTTTGCAAAGTTCTGCCGCCATTTAGAATTTGACTGACTAGCAAGGAGGACGAATACTACATACCCTGTTGAGCAAATTCTAAAAATCCAGTGTTTCCATCATTATCGTCGGATTCGAGTTCGGGTATATCAAGATGTCGAGGTCGTACCCAGCTAAACAACGCAATCCGTTGAGACAACACACGATCGCGTTCGAGATCATCGGCTGTGACTGGTCGGGGTGGAGTAAGGAGAGGAAGACAAGGCGTGTACGTGTATTCATAAAGCCGGTTCATCACTAGTTTCTCCATTCCTTCCATTGCGTTGTCAAATTCTTCCTCCGTTGCATTTCTCCAAATGTCCGTTTCGCGCATTTTCGTGGCAATGAACTGATAAAATTGAATGTCTTGCTTTGAATAGAATGAAAGACACGTACGCTCAGGAAATCATTGATTATCTTGATCTGGTCGTTGACGGTAAACGTCCGTTTCGTGAAGTTGCTGAGAAACCTGCAGAGTGAAGGACGGTGAAGTGAGCTCCTATAACGTACACAATGTCACCAGACGCACGATCGCACGTATTTGCCAAGTGGTTCAGCACCCCTGGACTTCATCTGGTCGAGGAACTTCTGGAAGTTAAAAGAAGGGTCCTTATCCTTGCGTGGAGACTCTGATCCAGATGGCGATGTAATAGCTGGAGTCGCGGACCGGGTGTCCGGTGCGCTTTGTGTCTTCGAGGCAGCGTAATCAGACGGAAGAGGAATCTGCCTGGAAAGCGGTGATGGCGCAGTAGACTGAGACTGTTGCTGCGCAAATGAGGACATGGTTGTAGGCGAGGGGGTGACAATGGGTTTGGCCGCATCCATTGACAAGGGCCGAGGGCGCGCTCTAGTCGCCACGCTAGGGATGGAGAAGGTCCTAGCGATTGCAGCGAGTGATGGAAAGGCAGATGAGGCGGAAGAAGTCGATGGTTGTGGGGAGGGTGAACCAGATCTGGAAGAAGGCCCATCACGTTGAATGTCCTTCGAGGCAGACCTAGAGTGTGCTCGACTACTCGGCCGCGATGGAATTCGGGGAGGTGGTGGATGCCCTTCTGAGCTGGCCCAGGCCTGGTGCGCACTCAGCTCGTCCTCGTTTGTAAAAGGATCAAACTGAGTCAGAACATCCTTGCTAACACGCACTTGGTGATCGAGAGCGTTGTTGATTAAGTCTGCAGGTGCAGCGAAAATAGATGGTGAAGCGGCGTTAATCGCTGTTGGATCTGGGGTATGTGCTGGCTTCAAATCGAGCTTCAGCTGTTCCTCTGACCATGGATTCTGGGCTTCAGTGATAGATGGGATGGCAGGAGTTTGTAAGCCAGGAGGAGGGCATGAATCGAGAGATATGTGAAGGGAATCAAAGTCGGACGTTAATGTTGAGTTTTCCTGAGCGTCGAGCATATCGTGCTACTGGATAACACGCCTGACGGAAACGACGTGGAAGTCGAAGGTAGAAGCTGGCAAGTACAGACACTTAGAGCCAGTGCAGCATGATGCACAGCACCACACTACCCATAAAAGTATATCGTCAAATTTAAAGTGCCGCAGCCGACAGCGTCTAAATAGACTCAAGCTACAAGCTTGGCTGGTCAAATTTACTGCGAAAGAACCTTCAACGAAGCTGGCATACGACCAACTGGCAGACGACTTCGAGCGTCAAGCGCCGGCATATACTTACTAGCCCTGGACCTCACATACTCTCATGCTAAGCCACATCTGCCTCCCAGGCTCATAGTACTAAGGGTACAAAACGCTGGTTGTGGCCAACAAGTGGATCTCGGATCTCGGTGGGCACCTCCTCAATCAGATTCGGCATGTGTTACCTGCGGCGCGGAATGCCTATTCGATTCGCACTCTATAATGGCCACGAGATTTCTTGAGGCAGCGACCACAGGTCGGTCAGTTTGAGTTTTCCCTCGGGATAGTGGCGAGCTTCGAGGAAACTCGCTTTACCATTCTGAAGTGACACCCAGAGGCTCAGTCTCTGAGCGCGTTTTTACATAACATGCAGTATTGGTCTTGCACCGATGGTAGGTTCTTATTCCATGCAACTTTGTGTCGTCAAGTCTCACCTCGGAGGCTCGGACCCTTGAACACTCAACAGCTCAGAAGCACTTCACTCATGGCAGCCATTTACTGCTTTCAACTCGCTGGTCCTTCCACGAATTAAGCACCTCCTTGCTAACCGGCGGCAATACGACCTAGTCAACAACCCTAATATGCACGTGTCAATCTCATATTCAAATCCGTGGTCTTTTTAGGACAACAGTCCGCGAGTTTTTGAACGAGATTGACTGTTCGATATAACAATACTCTCATGTACATGTGAGTTCCAATGCACTCCATTCCGATTTAACGGTCCCGATCACTGGTATAGTTTTTTCATTGGCATCACACATCCTTATTTGCCTTTCCTTCTCTTGCGGCCTTCGTCCTGATCAGTTTTTCGTTGACGTCCACCACGCTTCATTCCTTCTGTCTCCTCCCCTCTTGATACACCGCTCCCAACCATTACAGGTATTCGTCGATTTCTCCGCATACCCTTCCTTATATTTCCTTCCCCATACAGCCCCAGTCCCGATCATTACAGCTTTTTGTTGATTGCTCCACATATTCTTCTTTTGCATTTCCTTCCCCATACAACCCCAGACCCAATCAATACAGTTTTTTGCCAATTCTTCCACACGCATCATTCTTGCCCTTTCCTTCTTCACATTCCTCATGAACGCTCCAATCTCGATCATCACAGTCTTTTGCCGATGCCCTCCACATGTTTTTCCTTCCATTCCCTATTCCTTCCCCATATTGCTTCGGTCCCGATCATCTCTTTGTTGACGTCCTCCAGCATTCTCCACATGTCCGCCCTCCCCTTTCTTCCCCCATTTGGCCTTAACCCCTAACTCTGCGCCCAACCTTCACTTAGCTGATCGCCGGCGATGCCACGACGATACCAACACTCATTGCTACTCACTTGTGGGCGCTTGTATGTACATTTGATATCGACTCTCAAGGGTGTTTACGGATCAGAGGTTGGGACAGCAAACCAGAAGTGGAGAGTTTCCTGATCGGGCGTGCATCTTGGTTGGCATATCTTCTTTTGTCTACTTACCGTTATCTGAGAAAACAACTGTTCGACAAGTGACATATCTCCATGGCCATGTGGTGCTTTTGTACCTTTTGCAGGCGTATATGTATTTGGTATGTTGCGGAAGTGGCATCTGTAAGACTAGCGTGCCGCACAAAGTTTAATTGTTTCCTTGACGTGCATACTTCTTATGTTTTCCAGCACTCAGGGAGAGTGGTTGCTTATTGTAATGACATTGATAAGCTGCAGTTCGCAAGACCCTGCAGGCACACACGACGATATTCAAAAACAAAACAGGGTCCTGCTGTCTGGTTCTGTGTGTCTGTCGCAAGCAAGCGAAAGACACGCATGTTATGGCCGTGACAGTCGATCATTGGTAGCGGAATTATTCGTCAAACTTCCACTGGTTCGACCAATCGATGGGAGCAAGATGAGGCGGCGAAAGCAGTTGTACGGGTACCAGGTTGACCGCTGTACCCTTCATTGGTTGACGATGGACCGCGACCTGTCGGGATCGTTTTATTTTTATTTGAGTTATCCGACTGCTGTTAGTGCGGAATAATAGAGGCGGGCCCTAGCGGGCCGTAAATGCAATCTCATTGACCGGATCCGTAGAATAGCCGTCAAAGTAATAGTGAGTAAGTTCCTATTGGTCCCAATGATGATCCTTTGTGTGGTTGGCGGGGGCGGGCAAATTATTTTTACACAAATGGCTGGGTGACGAGATCCGGGGGGATCATGCGAAACTGCCTAACATGAATTGGTTGCTGTACTGTGCTCCGTGCCAATCAGGCCAACTGGCTACGGGATCATGGTAGGTATCTGGCAGATATGCAGCGTGGCAGAAGAAATGCCTAAGTTTGATTTCAGAATATCAGAACACTGGCCAATTGTTGGGAAAAGCCGGGTATTAGACGCTGATATATTTATCCTGGTTCAATTTATATGGCTGCGTCTGGTTGAAAGACGTACCGCCGAGCGTTAAAGTTTAACGGTCATCAGTCAGAGCCCACGCCACCTGGCAGGTCATGGTCGTAAGCTATGGAGTGGGGTCATATGATACTTGGCATGGGAGATACTGGCACCTTGCAACTGGATAGCGGGGCTCCAACAAGCCATGTTAATTATGTAACAGTGTATGTTCTAGTAGGGGGTGCGGAGAAGTTTCGGCGAAGAAAGTTGGTCCGAACCACAAAGATGAATTTCCTGATTTGCATGCTGGCAAAGTTCCGATGACGAAGGCATGCCCACGATCAACGGGCATAACGACGGTCAAAGTTTACATGCGAGTGCGGGCGGATCATATGTAGTGCACAGCGCAGTTAACAGACACCGATGGCACTCCCGTAAGCCGTTGGCGCTGCGGAGGCGATTATGAGCACTTGGAAGTCGGAAGCGGGTAATGGAAAGCTAGGCCAGAGAAAGGATAGCGGTGTGCTCCAGTTCAGGGAATGATGTTATCGCGATAATATTGCAGAGACGCCGTGCTCGTGGATGCGGTGCCAGCACAATGACTGAGGATAGCAAGAATGACAAGAATATAGGACCAAAAATTTACTGAAAGGGAATATTGATGTGGGGTAATGCGGGGGGCATCTGATGCTGGCACATGTAATATTATTTCTTTGAATATTTGTGATATTTTATTTTATTATTATTGAAGCGGACCGAGTCGTGTGAAGAGAATCGGGTAAATCGGCACGAGAGACCCCGAAAAGTGATACGGAAAAAATTGAATTAAGACCTAAAAAAAGTGTTTGTCGTGTGGCATTCGTCTGCCTGGCTGGTCCAGATCTTTCTCTTACCCTCCATCCATGCAATTTCAAGAAATGACTAACCTTCATCTTTAAAGAAGGCGTAAGCCGCCAACTTTGCAGCTCTCTAGCATTTAGCCGTGCTAGCCAAGTTCTCACTATCCCCAGCAACTCCTTTCCCCGGTCCTCTCTCACTCATTCTTTTTAATCTAAATTCTCGTCATCTCAAATCCAAACTCGGCTTTGTCGTTAAGCTTGTTCTTAACTAGCTTCTTACTTCTCAAAGGTAAGTCGCATACTCGGGTCGTTCGCTCATCATCTTTCAACCAACCCAACATCCCATCCTGACCCTATTTGTTAGTGCACACGAAAGGTTTGCCATATCATGGCTAACTATATGACCGTCTTACTCGGTTCTGTAAACACTATACCTGATGACACTGCTGTATCGGACCTTCCCCGTGGTCAAGTCGATTATCTCTCTCATGAATGGCGAGAAGAAGATGTATGGCGCTCGTGGCGGAGCATGACTCGTCTAAAGAACGAAATCACAAATGGAATGAGGTTGGAGAACGCTTCCTGGCGCACATGGTGGAAACAACGCAACAAGCTCAGCACTGTTAGTCCCGAGACCCTTAATTGGTGAGCTCAATGTTCATTTTTGAATACTATACGCCCCTTCCTTGCTCGCATGGTTCAATTCGACCATCCCTTTTCATTTATGATCGTCGAGCACGAACCCCGCGATTTTGTGGGGCCCTGCATGGCCATGTGTCCAATAATCATTCAAAATCTTGGTCCAAACTGCTTATTGTGTCATCGTCACATCGTTTTTTTCCAAACCCTTTTGGTAGACTTTTACCCAACGTCATACATTTTACTTCATTTCGAACACACCCTAACAAATTTAACAGGCTGAAAGATTCTGATGTTACGTGGTTATATGGTCCTCTTCACACGGCAGATTACCCCGCCCCCACCCCCACCCCCAAACCTTCACCCAACACTGCCGCTGCTCTCGATCTCCCTATGCTTTCATCATCCCCGCCCACCACAAAGCCGATTCTAAAGCACCGTTCTATCATGGAACTTCTTACTTCTGACCTGCCTTCTTCTCCCATATTTAGCCCTCCTGAATCGGAAGAGGATGAAATACTTCATATGCATTCCGATTATGAAGCTCCGAAGCATTTGTCGGGACCTATTGTGGGAGGAACGATCAAGCGGCCACCTCTCACGCACACTAAGAGCGATACGCATATCTCCCGCTGGGGCCTCAATCGCGACTGTAGGCGGGATTCACCTCCGCGGATCATTGCATCTGGAACTCCTGACATTACGAGTGAGGTGCCTCCCGCCTCCAGGCAGGGGTCCTCCCCAGATGCTGTGATTGTGCCTGGCCAAAAGCGGAAACACATCACCTTCAACACATTCGTGGAACAATGCATCGCGATCGAGAAGCCAAAGAAGAAGCGCACAGTATGGAATGTGGAATATACTAATTCCAAGACAGTGGGTTCGAACGATTATAGTCAAGACTATAGCTTTGAGGATGATGGGTCAGTCTTCGGCTGTTCCCTTATGGGTGTATACTTATGGTTCGCCGATCAATCTCTCCCGACAGATATGATGAGGACTCTGAAGATGGGATCGTCGACGAAACTGATGAGCTTCTTTTTGGCGACGAAGACGAACACCCCAACTCACCATCACATGTTCCTGCATCTTATCCTCGGTCTTCCCCACCGCCACAGAATACTTCCCCTGTGTCGTCTTCCACGTCGGAGGAAGAAGATGAAGATGAAGTCCTCGAGATGCGTGTTAGGCATGCTAACTCCGGGGCCATGCTACCTCCCCGATCATCCTCGCATTCTTCTTCATCGACCTCCTCCTCTTCCTCGCGGTCCCGTCCACCCAAAGCTCGTTCCGCGTCGTATACGCATCACACGAATGGTTCCTCGGTCCATCATAGACGAACCACTGCCGGTGCCATCATGCACACGCACAGTTCAGACAAGGAGCTTGTCACTATCGCGCTCATTGCACCAACTATCTTGAAGACTAGGGCGGAAGAGGATGAGCACTACCCGTATACCCATTCCCATGGTTATCCTCATCCACCTTCAAGTGACAAGTGGTATGCCTACGGTGGGCAGGAGTCACCCGTGGAGCTTGTTTACGTACCCACAAGCTATATTTGTGCGGACATTGACGGTGTAGACGGCGACGGGGTGGTCGACGACATGATGGCCGAGCGATATCATAAGAGCTTGAAACCAGCCCAGTTTTTCGACCGCCCTATCGTCGCATCTCCACTTCCGGATGAGGATGTACCAATGAAGGAGGTTGATACTCGCACATACTTTGAGCAGCAGGAACTTGTCGAGCCTGGGGCTGAAGGCCCAGAGAGCGGACTCCGCTCCTCCCACGGTGGCACAAGGAACATTCCTATTGTGCAGAATTTTGGGCGAATTGGGCGACCTGAAGTCGTCGTGAGCTCTGAGGATACCTCTGGAGAACGTTTATCGCGTTCCGGCTCAAGATCTCGTTCCAGATCAAAATCTCACTCCAGGTCTCGCACACCATCGCCTTCGTTGGCATCCATACAGATGCCTCCCCAAAGTACAGCAGTCCCTGTACCCAGGTCTAGCTCGTTTTCCTCCCCATCCGGATTGCTTCAGCCACCTGACGCGCCTCGTGGCCGGTCTGCGTCGTCATCGACATTGTCCTCACAGGCCGAGGGGCAGCAGGCACGAGGACGGAGTATCACGCGGACATCTTCGTTCTCAGATCGTGACAGTGAGAGTACGGAAAGCTTTGGGAACCTCAGCCCTGACGGTGGTTTTGGACTGGCAATCGGAATTGGCAGTGCTTATGTAGGTGGACGAGATCGGGACGCGCGCAGCGATCGCCAAAGGGAGGGAGTCGTACGCATTGTGGAGCGAGGTCGGGATCGTGTTGGGCGCCGAACAAATTCGAATTCGGGCTCGGGTTCAAGTCTGAGCCCAGAGGATCCACGGGTACCTACTGTGGTTACAGCCCCACCAGGGTCACCGAAGAAGAAGTTCACCTCTGCGTCATCCTCGTCTTCTGATTCTTCAACGATATCAGCTGTTTCGGTGTCGACTATGCGCCCGCCATCTCGGCTTGTGTTGGACACGGAGCCTAGTACGCAGACTGATTTGACTGAAGCTGCTTCTGCCTCTGCCACTTCTGTATCATCCTCGTCTACAGTCATACCCCCTACACCTAATCAAGCGCAGGCAATCAAAGAAGAGCAAGAGTGCATCTCGCGACAACCTACGCCTGCCAACTCACCCATCCTGACTATGCGCCCGGCCTTTCCCTCCCCGAAATCTCATTCCACTGCGAGCTCGTCACGGCATGATCGTAAGCTGTCGGCTGGTACGTCGAGAAGTCCTACAAGGGCCGACGATCGACAGCAGGGTGGTCTCGTTGAGCGCGCTGTCGAGATCATGTCGAACGCAGGTGCCTTCCTAAATTCCTTCTGGCATAGTGGCGCACAAGCGAGCGTTGCCGCGCCGTGATTCTCGTTTCGAAGTCTGGAGCCGCCAAACGTCAATGCGCCACCCACGGCAAGCACAACATGTCAATCCCCTCCGTCTCCCCCAACTTTGACGCCTAATCACATGATTTACTTATAACCGGTATTTTGGAACTATTTCATCTTCGCTGGGTCTCATTGTCCATCGCTCGTGGTTTTTCGCGTCTTCTCTTCTATCTTGGCTCTCCGTTGTGTTCTTCACCGGTACATATTATATATCACCGCTTGGACTTAGACCTCCAACCATATCACGCCCTTCTGTTTTCTCTTCTCCGCATATTACTAGTACCCCCTCCGTCTATAAGATTAATAGCTAGCTAGCTACCCCGTTGCACTTACTCATACTGACTACTTTTGGCTTGTACATAGGATGTATCGTTGACACGCCGTGGTCGCGTCCTTGCAGATGCTTTGTCTATTACATGCGTGTTGTGGTTATATGTATGATTGCGTGTTTACAGATCATAGATCAGTACTCAATTTTGTGCTTGATGATGAACGGAGTTGTTAACACAACCGAGCATGTGCATGAGGCCTTGGGGTGACGTCAGTGCGTTGTAAAGTACGCGCTTCCCACCCTTGGCCTACTTGTATCGCACTCTCGATAGTTCATCACCATCAAGTGCTGTTACGATTCCAACCATGCCCGTGCCACGTAGTATAATTAAGCAGATCAAGCAGATCATCCCCCCTCTGAACGGCACTTTGCACAAAGGACAATCAGGTAACCACCATTCTCCACTCTGCGGCGAATGTACATGATCTCTACCCTACTCAGGCAGAGTCGGTGTGCTCGGAGGAGCTTTGGAGTGAGCGTTATTCAGAATGATCCTGCAGTTGTGGGGGTTGATTGTATTGCAGTTACACTGGTGCACCATTCTTCGCAGCAATATCTGCATTGCGACTGGTATACATTCTAGTGTATGAACGTTTTCACAAGCATATACTAAGCTCTTATATATGCAGGGAGCAGATCTTTCGCATGTCATCTGCTCGCCCACAGCTGCTCAAGCTATCAAGTCCTACTCCCCAGACCTGATCGTACACCCCATTCTCCGTGAAGATGTGTGAGTCTGTTCACGTACTTGGCAGTTTCATCTGACCATCATAGATCATATGAGAAAGTGGAGAGCGATCTCAGGTCTCTGCTTTCTCGACTGCATGTCCTCGTTATGGGACCAGGACTAGGCCGCGAGGATTACATGCAGTCTTATGCTCGCCTGGCGCTGTCTATCGCTCGTGAACAGGCTATGTTTGTCGTCCTCGATGCTGATGCTCTGTATATGGTCGGGAAGGAACTTTCTCTCGTCAAGGGATACCGCCGTGCGGTGCTCACTCCTAATGTGGTCGAGTTCAAACGTCTGAGTGAGTCGGCGGGCGTTTCGCCAGATGTACCGACGAAGGAGCGCGCTGGAGAAATTTCTAAACTACTTGGAGGTGTCGTAGTGCTGGAGAAAGGTCCAGTTGATTTAATCGCGAGCGATACTACGGGTGAAGCTGCTAGTCTTGAGGCGAGTAAGCTGGACGAGGGCGATGAGGAGCGGCAACGTGTGAGGGAGGTGGTTGAGGTAGATGTGGAAGGCGGGTTGAAGCGGTGTGGTGGTCAGGGTGATGTTCTCAGCGGAACGGTTGGGGCGATGCTTGCATGGGGGAAATGCTACGAGGACGGTGCCTTCGGGTGAGTCTTGGCTTGGCGATGAGATGTGGCTGATGCCTATTGGTCGATAGTGATGGGAGTATTCCTGCTTCTCGTCTCCCGCTTCTGGCGGCGGTGGGTGGAAGTATGGTCACTCGAACTAGCAGTCGAATAGCGTTTCAGCTACAGGGAAGAGGTCTTGTCACGCAAGATATGCTTCCGCAGCTTGGCAAATCTTTCTCGGAGGTCTTTGGAGAAGACCTGTGGGCTGGAGATAAAGGCAGGCTCTAGGTTTAAAGACAAGGGAGGATAGAAGACATCTGCATGTGCAATAGAAGAAGTCCCACTCTGCATTCACCTGGTTCGGGAAGAGGAACAGTTGTGACGTGATTAATGTGACAGAAAGAGGGGGGATCATGGACAAGTCTTCCCCAAGGTCGGGGGGGGGGCCTGCAGGGGCAGCCTCGGAGGAGGGGAGTTCAACTCCGAGGCACAAAAAGACATGACTAAATTATCACAAAGGAGCAACAGACCCTGAATGATTTTAGAAAGGCACTTAACACTCATCTATCAACCACTGGGAGGACAACAATTGAATATTAGTATTTTTTGGAGGTACGGTAGAATACAACCACAGCGAACTGTTGTCGCACGGAGCGATGCACGTTCCACTCATTAATGTTAGATGCGCCAAAACAGCCCCTTGTTCCTTTCTCGTTCCTTGATATCGCGCGTGCCCTTCAGGGTCGAAATTTGTATGCTATGCACGTGATGAAAATCACGTATCACGTGCCAAATGATACTAAAAGAAGACCATTGCGTCAGTTTTGAGGTCAACTCTCCACCTACATCAATGAGCTATCAAGTGAAGGAGATTTCAACAAAGCCATTCGACGGGCAGAAGCCTGGTACATCAGGACTCAGAAAGAGGTATTTACTAGGCCGATCACTGATAAGCCATACTAATTTGCATTCCGAAGGGTAAAGGTGTTCCAGCAGGAGGTACGCGATAGTCTGCCGCGATAATCCTGAGAGATGATGGATTTTTCTCTCTCTTTTTATCAGCATTACACAGAGAACTTCATTCAGGCTATATTTGATTCTATCAAGGCGGAAGGTGCGACGCTCGTCATTGGAGGCGATGGTCGTTACTTCTCCCCCGAGACCGTCCAGACCATCTTGAAGATCGGATCTGCAAACGGGGTGAAGAAGTTGATCGTTGGGAAAGATTCTATTCTTTCTACACCCGCTGCATCGAATGTAATTCGCAAATACAAGGCGGATGGTGGTATCTTGCTCACCGCGAGCCACAACCCCGGAGGCCCCAACAACGACTTCGGGATCAAATACAACGTCTCTAACGGTGGACCCGCACCTGAAAATGTAACAAACAAGATATATGAGATCACGAAGACCATTCAAAGGTACAAGGTTATCGAGGCTAATCCCGTACGTTCATATATACCCATTCGTTGGAATGATCTTCATCAATGATCAGGTCGACCTCTCCGTAATAGGCAAAGCAAGTTATGGACCGACTGAAGTCCAGATCATCGACTCAGTAGCCGATTATGTCGAACTCCTTCAAGATATCTTCGACTTCCAGCTCATCAAAGACTTCCTTCAGAACAACGCCGCGTCCTTCCGTATCCTCTTCGATGGATTGCATGGTGTTACGGGTCCTTACGCACGCGCGATATTAGTGGACACCCTCGGGCTCCCTGAAGCCTCTATTCAGAACTGTGTCGCACTGCCGGACTTCGGCGGTGGTCACCCCGATCCCAACCTCACGTATGCACACTCACTCGTCGAAGTTGTCGAGGCGAAAAACATCCAGTTTGGCGCAGCAAGTGACGGCGATGGCGATAGAAACATGATCTACGGCAAGGGCGCGTTTGTAACTCCTAGTGATTCAGTCGCCATTATCGCAGACTGGGCGCATGTTATTCCATACTTCAAGAAGGGCGGCGTGAAGGGTCTTGCGAGGAGTATGCCGACCAGTAAAGCGATCGATCTGGTTGCCCAGAAGAAGGGCCTGGAGTATTTCGAGGTTCCTACCGGTAAGTCGATGGTAATAAGATAGCGCTATACGGTGCTCACAGCCATTGAATAAAGGATGGAAATTCTTCGGAAACCTCATGGATGCTGGCCGTCTTTCCATCTGCGGTGAAGAGTCTTTCGGAACGGGCTCAGACCACATTCGTGAGAAGGATGGTATATGGGCAATCATGGGTCAGTCTCACTCTCACTCACATATACAAATACTCACCGCCAACCAGCTTGGCTGAACATCATTGCTGCTGCCAATAAGGAGTCACCAAATGAGCTTATTGGCATCAAGGAACTGCTGAAGAAGCACTACGCTGTTTACGGACGATCATTCTTCAGTCGATATGACTACGAAGAGGTTTCCTCCGAGGGTGCCAACAAGCTTGTTGCACTGCTGGATGGCGCAATCACTTCATCATCGCTTGCAAACAAAACTTACAAGTCGAAGAGTACCAATCAGGACTTTACCATCGCATCTGTTACGAATTTCAGCTACACAGACCCGATTGACGGGAGCGTGAGCAAGAACCAAGGACAGGTTGTGCTGTTCGATGATGGGTCACGGGTGGTATTCAGGTTGAGTGGTACTGGGAGTGCTGGTGCGACTGTTAGGCTGTATGTGGAGAGGTATGTTGGACCGGAGGCTGGCGAGAAAGTATTGGCAGGTGACACTGCCGAGGGCTTGAAGGGTCTCATCGAGGTTGCCTTGGAAATCAGCAACTTGAAGGAGTTCCTTGGAAGGGACGAGCCTACTGTCATTACGGTGAGTACGTCTGCCGATGGTGGTTGTTAGTCGCTGACGACTTGATTTGCAGTAAATTAAATATCGCATTTCTGTGGATGCAGATAAGTTGATGCTTGTGGATATCTTGTACCACCAGTGTATATCGATAGCTTCTTTTACTGGATCAGAAGTGGCTTGTATACCCGCATACCAATAAGTATTCGAGAGATAGATAGAATTCGATCCCGTGAACACATGACCGACGAGAGAATGAATCCCTAAAGGTTCGAACTGCCCACGATGTGCCGTAGTACGAGTACGTCCCGAATGCAACGAGAATGTATCATAATTTGCCGCAATATTCGTGCTAATGAATGAATGCCAGCTAAACGCAGCCAAGTGCACCATCTATGATTACTCATAGCAACATCGCACTGGTGTAAGCCTATCGGAGCAAGTAATTTTTATTTGGATCACTCACCGCACAGGTCTTTTACCTGCATTAACCATTTTGCCTTGCATAATCGAGTTCACAGCTTCCCTGCGTCCGAAGACCCCAACAAGTGTGTTTAATTTTGTTATAGTTTGCCAAGTATGAACTAGGCCTTGGTCACGGTAACGAAGGCGAAACGTTGTTGCAGCCCTGCCATGATTAATTAACTGGTGCAGCTCAACCGCTGTCATTACAAACGGAAACCATTCTCGACATATGTGATGGAGATTATTTTGGTATTGTATTGTGCCTGATCCCCATCTGATTCTCGATTATAGAGCCTGGGCCATTCAGATCGTTAGGCAAGGCCCAGGGCAGTAAAAATCGAGGGCCGCGCTGAGGAGAGCCCTGAGAGGGGCTGAGATCCAAAGATATCTTGAAGTCGTATTCCTTGCCCTCGAATGTGCGATGCTACTGAGGGTCGTGAAGAGCCCCTATCAGAAAGTCGTCGGGATAACAAAGAGGGCTGCCAGAAGCGCAGGCCAGCCCTTCTGAATCATAGAACGTACAGCAACAGGGTGGAAAGTTGCAGGACTATCTTAAAGGAGTGATCAAGAACAAAAGCCTTGGGAAAGGATAGCTGGTTCATTACTAGCTCCGTGGAGTCGTTGATGGTCAACGTATACAGCGTGGTAGAGAAGAACGTGAAACCTGAGCAGAATATGATATCATGGAACAGATAATCAAACTCTGAAGGATAATGATGACAAACTTTGGCTTATGTCTGACTGTGAAAACAATTCGCATGCATGTGCTGTGTGCATTGAAGGCTCCGAGTGCTACGAAGCGGTGCAAATTTATGAAAATTGCCTAGCAGCCTATGACTCGTCACGAGTCCAAGAAGGCTAGCAGGCTGCAGAAGGGCTACCACTTGGCCCACAACTTGACAAACTCGGGCTGGAGTCCTGCTGGTTGCATTAGAATCAACTTGAATAAAGACTTCCACTCAGAAGTTTGCAAATTGCAACGTACTACAAGGTAGTTCATCCTTACTGTATGATTCCATATACGACAAGCACCTCGCCGAGAATAAAATTCCAGTGTTTCAAACAATGCATGGTATACGTACGTATAGAAAGGTTTGTTTTTGGTCCGGACTCCGCAACATTTAAAAATTTTCACCTGCCAGTGCTCTTGAGTCACGCACATGTGTGACACGACATTTGTTCGACATCCACAACAACATTTGATTTACCTGCAGGTGGAGTCTGGGCAGGAAGGGACATATCCATACGCGTTCAGAACGTTCACGATCCGTCGAATCATTGACGGATCGTACGGCCGTGACACCTTTCACGTACAAGCGATAAGCAGAAGTAGTAGCCGATGATAAAATTGGTCGGAACCGAGTTAGGCCGTGTCAAGGGTCGACTCATTAAAAGGTTTGTGAACGTCATTTTCATAATATTCAATGTTTCGACCAAGACCTCATGCACATGGATAACGTTACCCACTAACTACTACTAGGCATGATCTGTCCCGAACATTTATTCGGCTATGAGCGTGGGTGTCGGGAATCGACCATACCTGTTATTATTTCTCGAAAGCCGGCGCCGGCGCCCTAACTTTGTGCGCTCGGCTACACTAAAGTACGTACCTCATAGCTCAATCACAGCTTGCGATGGTAACGCTGTAAATAAGAGGAGTCAAAGCAAAGCATCACTGAGACTGAGCTAGCTGAAGAATATACCTGGAGGCTGAATCACTGCCGCACCGAAGCAAGGTGGTTTAACACGTCTCCTGAGTCCAAACTGACCCGAGACACGATCAGGCTGCCGCCATCTATCAGGTCCGGGTGGCGGTAGTACGTCCGGATATCGTTCCACAAGAATCAACTACCACAGATGAGGTAAGAAAGACATTACTTTGGCTGCGTCGGATCATGGGGTTTTTAACCACGACCCTACTAGTATGGCCAGACCACCGACTTTGCATGGAATTTCCTCCTTTGCTTCAACTCAATGCACTCTCTCCCTAACTCGTTTCTAGTGGCTTTCTCGTTTACCGTTCTGGTTGATGCCAGTGGCAGCCATTACTGGTCCTCGCCTCGCCACCGCACTGTTGCTCATAGACAACTTTCCGGCGAAACCTACATGATACAAGACTTTTATCAAGGGGAAGATTTTTTCAAGGATGTACCACCTATATAGTTTCAACTTGTATCGTGGCTAATCGTTTTCCGACATCTAGTGACTGGACTTTCGATGTTGGATCGGATCCCACTGATGGAAATGTCATCTACCAAAGCCAATCGGATGCGCAGTCTAAGGGTCTTGCGTATATCAACGATAGCAACAACTCATTGATTCTTGCGGTTGATTCAACCAGCACCGTTGCTCCTGGTGGTCAGCGTGCTTCGTGCGTAATGCTCGTGTTTATTATGATTTATGAGTGTTCATCATGAATGCAGTGTTCGCATCACATCTCAGAAGAGTTACAATGGCGGTCTCTTCATCTTTGACGCTTCCTACATGCCTGTGGGTTGTTCTACGTGGCCTAGTTTCTGGACCGTTGGCCCGCACTGGCCCACGGCAGGCGAAATCGACATCGTCGAGGGTGTGAATAATCAAGACACAAACCAGATGGCGCTTCATACCGGCACGAACCAAACTTGCACCAACGAAATGACAAATGGTACCCAGCAGTTTACGGGCCAGATCAAAAAGACCAACTGTTACAGCACTGGACGTGCGGACTCAGGCTGCATCATCGAGGACACGGACACAAGGTCTGTATCGCACTCATCTTTTCTTATGTGCCCATCGTGACCTGATGCTTCTACGTAATAGCTCTTTTGCGTATGGTTTCAACAATGCAGAGGGTGGTGTCTTTGCACTTCTGTGGGACAATTCCACAGGCATGTCAATATGGCACTTCGCTCGGGCTAATATCCCTGCGGATCTCATAGCCCAAACGCCCAGGCCTTCTACATGGGGCATACCAGCTGGATTCTGGTCTTCACAAACCTGCGACATCACGGCCAACTTCTACGAGCACCAGATGGTCATTGACACTACTATCTGCGGCCATTGGGCAGGTGGTGGTATCTACGCCCAATCCGGGTGCCCAGGAACGTGTTCAGATATGGTCGCCAATGCTACCAACTACATCAGTAAGTTTGGCAGGATGCTGAATTGTTTCACACTCTCAGCGTTCCGTTATAGATGCCAAGTGGGTCATCAATTACGTCGCTGTCTACCAGTATCATATCGGTAGCGGTGCGTACGCACCAAGTCCCCGACTTCCACTTACGATCATTTTGTCATTGGTAATCTACTTGTTGCTCCTGTAGGTATGACCAAAATAATAATAATCACGATGACTGTTGTAGCAATATTAATACCAAAACTGTTCTGAAGTGATGAAGCATGTTCAACAAAGTGTCTCATTTAGTATTTCGGGTGCAAAGGCCCTACTGTCCCCATGAGCTGCAACACGCTGTCGTTCTCATCGAATCATGTTTCTCAACCATCTTTGCGGCGACCTTCGAGCAGCAGGGAGTCCCGCCCGATCTTGATGTGAATCTCCACAAGTCTGCTATCAGTCTTCGGCACAGATTCTAGCAGCGGGACGTTCCATTTGTCCTTGATGTGATCATTGAGCTGCACTACGCCTTTGGACAATTATTCAAACGTCCTGCAATCTTGCAGGAGCGGCATAAGATTCAACATCACGATGAGCAAACCGGAGCCACATCAAACAGAGATACCCAAGTCAGACTCGGCGTCACAACAGTGTCAGTCTATAGGAACGGAAGCTAACGAGCAGTATCGATTGCAGCGGAAAGGTCAGATAAGCACGCACAGCAAATCATTTAAATAAATATTACAACGAAGACATTATCGAGACCTATGTCTCCTTAGATTCGAAATGTGCATCGGAACACCAGATAACTTCGATCAATATCATCACGAAAGTAGGAGTAAATAAAAGTAAATTCCCCTGCTCTTTGTAGAGCACCAGATAGCCGTTAACTTCACTGAGCATCACACACTACTGCCAGTCGATATATGCACGCGCTCCTGGAAAACGATCGAGGTCATGCCAGTTGCTGCGTCGGGATCGGCCACAAGCCTAGCGTAGTATTCTCGAACACTGAGGATCAGGCGTGGTCCAAGCACGACCATCTGCACGACTTGCAAAATCTGAAGCAAGCCATAAAATGCCTCAGTTTCCATAAAATTTTGGTCCTATAGAAATGATGAATCGTGGTCGCATGCAGCGGTAAGTGAAAGATTGACATACCGCTGAGAGTGTTGGAGGAAATCGATGATGAGCTCGAAGCAGGAAACAGCAACAAAGCTACCACGTCCAATCCTTCAGTGGCAAAAAAGGAACAATAATCATATGATGAGCTTACCTCGCAAAGTAAAGCATATGAGTTTTCATCAACACTATGAGACAGTCCTCTCCTACCGAAGGTAGTCGCTGTTCACGGAGGTGTTTTACTACAACCCAGACTGCGAGACATAGTGCGAGGACCTCCCACACAATGAATAGTGTCCAAGAGACAGAATTCAGAAGTGGGATATTTTCTCCATAGCTAATCGAACACTGATAAGCGCCGGAGGTAATGAGTCCCTCTTGTATTCATCAATGAGCATGCACATTTGTTTCATTCACAATGAAGCGTACCCCCTGAAGTTTGCATCGCTGTCATTATGGCTACTACTCCGTCGAAAATGTTGACAGCCAGGAAGGTGACAATGAGAAATATCAAGATCTTTCTGGATCGTTGATACATGACATGCAACCGAGTGATGAGGATGACTTGCAACATGTTTCAGTCAGGTCAATATCACTAAGGTCTCGCAAGTGTCAAGCTCACCTCCCAGCATTGGAAATAACCCAAATACTCATTCCGGGGATTGGTCGCTGTGTGTACAGTCGTGCATGCCACTTCGGAGTCCCATCCTTGGACAGCATCCTAGTAAGATCCATCAGTTGCCGGATGGATTTAGCACAGCGCGTGTTTTCCGCTAATGACTGTTCTCATTCCTGTGATACTACAACCCAATATCAATTTGAATGACCGATCAAGGTGGAAACACCGCACTTTGAGGTGAAATCTGGCGTTGGGCGAGTCCGAATTCCAACATTTGAGTTAGCTTAGTCAGTGGGAAAATACTTCTTTGAGCGCTAGCCTCATGTATCACACCGTCTAGCTACAACCGACAAGCAGAAACGGCAGCCGATTGCTTTCTCGAAACACAAAGGGTTGCTGGCTGTATCGAGGATAATTGGTTGGAACCATAGGTCGCTGAAGGCGTCATGGCCGGCTGGTAACGAGGTTCGTGAAATTGAACGTCTTTTCAGAATTCGATGGTCAACGTTAACGGTCGACCACGAGTCTAAGAATCAGACATGGATCACGTTACGCGCTAACTACTACTAGGCAATCCTTTGGATCACTGCTTTCCTCTCGTTTGCCTCGCATTGTACTACTATACAATCAACGTCGACATTGTCAACATCTATTCGACTCCCTCTAAGCGTGGGTGTCGGGAATCGACCATACATCATACGTGCTCGTCAACGAACAAGGTTCCGCGGAGATGTATTCTTTGTGTTGCTTGCTTCATGCAATTCTCGAAAGTCACTAAAGCCGCCCCGCCTTTGTGCGCTCGGCTACACTAGTACGTACCGTTTGACAACATATTTCTAAGAAACAAGTCAATGGTGAATGGACTGATGATCGAACGCAGTGCAATTTGTTTCTTACCCCATCCGTGGTAGTTGGTTCTTTTCGAATGGTACTACAATATGTGAACTTGCCGCCGCCACCCAGATCCGATAGGCAGCGGCGGCCTGATTGTGTCTTGGGTCAGTTTAGACTAGGCTGGAGATGTGCAAACCGCTTTAGACAATTTGAGCGACTTCAACCTTGCTTCGGCGCCGCAGTGATAGAGCTCCAGGTATACTCTTCAGCTAGCTCAGTTCCAGTAATGCTTTGTTTTGACTTCACTTATCTACAGCGTTACTATCGCAAGCTATGATCGAGTTATCAAGCTGCAAACTCATCGGCAAGAGGGGATGAACAACAGCACAGGAAAATTTGAGATTGAGCGGGGCCGAGATATAATGACGTTGTCGATGGCAGTCCAGTGCAAGAAGCCTTCGAGTCGTGAATGGTTTTCAACCACGAACCTACTACATAGTATGTTTCAACCACCGACTTTGCATGAAATTTCCTCCTTTGCTTCAATCCTATGCACTCTCTCCCTAAGTTGTTTCTAGCGGCTTTCTCATTTACCGTCCTGGTTGATGGTAGCCATCACTGGTACTCGCATCATTACCGCACTGCTGCTCACAGACAACTTATCGGCAAAACCTACATGATACAAGACTTTTATCGAGGAGAAGATTTCTTCAAGGACGTATCACCTATCTAGTTTCAACTTGTGTCTTGGCTAATCGACTTCCGCCATCTAGTGACTGGATTTTCGCCATTGGCTCGGACCCCACTGGTGGAAATGTCATCTACCAAGGCCAGTCGGATGCGCAGTCTAAGAGACTTGCGTATGTCGATGATTGCGACAACTCGTTTATCCTTGCAGTTGATTCAACCAGCACTGTTGCTGCCGGCGGTCAGCGTGCCTCGTGCGTAATGCCCGTGATTATTCTGATTTCCGAGTATTCATCATGAATGCAGTGTTCGTATCACATCTCAGAAGAGTTACAATGGCGGTCTCTTCATCTTTGACGCTTCCTACATGCCTGTAGGTTGTTCTACGTGGCCTAGTTTCTGGACCGTTGGACCACACTGGCCCATGGCAGGTGAAATCGACATTGTCGAGGGTGTGAATAATCAGGGCACAAATCAGATGACGCTTCATACCGGCACGAACCAAACTTGCACTAACGAAATAACAAATAGTACCCATCAGTTTTCAGGCAAAATCGTAGCAACCGACTGTTTCAGTACCACACACGCGGACTCAGGCTGCAGCATCGAGGACACAGACACAAGGTTTGTATCGTACTTATCTGTCTCTTGTACGCCGATCGTGACCTGATGTTTCTGCGTAACAGCTCTTTTGCGTATGGTTTCAACAATGCAGAGGGTGGTGTCTTTGCACTTTTGTGGGACAATTCCGCTGGCATGTCAATATGGCATTTCGCTCGGGCCAATATCCCTGCGGATCTCATAGCCCAAACGCCCAGGCCTTCTACATGGGGCATACCAGCCGGATTTTGGTCTTCACAAACCTGCGACATCACGACCAACTTCTACGAGCACCAGATGGTCATTGACACTACTATCTGCGGCAATTGGGCAGGTGGTCGTATCTACACCCAATCCGGATGCCCAGGAACGTGTTCAGATATGGTCGCCAATGCTACTAACTACGTTGGTGAGTTTGACAGGATGCCGAACATTTCACATTCTCAACGTTCCATTGTAGATGCCAAGTGGGTCATTAATTACGTCGCCGTCTACCAGTAGCATTTGCCTCAATCCCTCATCTCATCTACATCTGTAAGCATGTTCAGCTCCTGTCGACAACGAAGCAGACTGATTCGTTGCACGCTGCTGCTATCTTAATGACCGCTTTGTGATGTTAAGATGTACAGGAAGCATACGAATTATAACAAGTAGAAACAGCAGGCTTCAATGCCAAAGACAACGCAGGCTACAATTAGTATGGCCATGTGGACATGTATTGCCATAGAGATCAAGCCGCCTTTCTTTGGAAGAACGCAGCGGAGTTAGATAGCCACGAGTTACAATAGTGGAGTTAAGCCGTCCAGTGTCCACACTACTAGTAGTGCGCCTTCTCGGACAACTGTGAGATATATTCGCGAGCAATTTTGCAGATAGGGTTGTCGAAATCCCGGGTCAATGGCTTACACTTGAAGTTAACCTCCTTGCAACTGCAGTGTACCAATGTCTCTTTCGTACGTCCCTGCTCCGCAATGAACAATGTACACAAAATGGTTTAAAGAAGCAGAACCGATGATGAATTTACGCCCAGAGTACGCGTTCTCTGGAGAGCAATTTCCGAGAATTGTCAGGGTGGACCATGTGTTGAATATTCGAATAATACTTCCGAATCTCTAAATACTAAATTGGACAGTGGCAGCTGGGGAAGTCTATTCTTAGACTTCCCGAGCTTGAATTTTTCAAGACGCTTCAGTTTTCAGCGCTCAACATTAAAGCATATCAAGCATATGGTGTGTTTCACTTCTTGACTGCTGATTTACGCCAGTTCCACTGCACGCTTTGTTGACGAAAATGTTGGCAAGAGAGATTGACTAACCAGTCTTGGAATACAACGTTAAAATGATGATTGGATCGAGGACAAAAGGATCATGCTTAGCGTGATTAGCGATATGATAAGGTCGCCGAATGTGGCCGGCCGAGTAGAGTCACGATGCAGTGTGGCAGCCCACAGCAACGAGGTTCGTAAGACTGTTACTTTGATGCTTTAAATCCCTTGAACGTTCCTTCAGCGTTTCTTTGTTCCACTTTCCACGTCCTTCTCTTTAAATTTCCTTTCGTTTAAGTCTTCGGACAACTGCTTTCCCTTACTTTCTTTTGCCTCACGATGCACACACTCTCTAAGCTCTTTCTAGCTGCTCTTTCGTTGACCACCCTGGTTGGTGCTCACCATCCGTCGCGCGCGCACTCGCGTCACCGCCGTACTGCTGGCCGTAGAACGGCTCCCAACAAAATCTACGCAATTCAAGACTTTTATCAGGGGGAGGATTTCATCAAGTACGTTCCGCTTGTCATACTATATGTAGTTTCAACGCGACTAATTAACCATTTAGTGATTGGGACTTTTTCACTGGTTCGGACCCCACCAGTGGCAATGTCAACTACCAAAGCAAATCGGAGGCACAGTCCAAGGGACTTGCATACGTCAATGACTGTGATAATTCGACAGTTCTTGCAGTAGATTCAACCAGCACCGTTGCTCCCGGCGGCAACCGTGACTCGTGCGTAATGCCCGTGTTTAATATGAGTTATGAGTACTCATCATGAATTGTAGTGTCCGTATCACATCTCAGAAGAGCTATAACGGCGGTCTTTTTGTCATTGACGCCTCGAACATGCCCGTCGGCTGTTCTACATGGCCCAGTTTCTGGACTGTTGGCCCGAACTGGCCCTCGGCGGGTGAAATCGACATTGTCGAGGGCGTGAATAATCAGGCGACAAACCAAATGACGCTCCATAGTGGCACGAGCCAAAGTTGTACCATCGCAAAGTCAGGTGCTAGTGCCGATCTGTTTACTGGCAATGTCCTCGGGACCGACTGTTTCAGCACCGGCAATGCGGACGCAGGCTGTGGCGTTGAGGACACGGACACAAGGTTTGCATTGAATCTCTTTCTTATGCATCCGCTGGGATCTAATGTGTCCTTGTGGCAGTTCTTTTGGATATGGCTTCAACAATGCAGGGGGTGGTGTCTTTGCGCTTCTGTGGGACACCTCTTCTGGCATGTCAGTGTGGCACTTCACTCGTTCCGAAATCCCTGCGGATCTTACGGCGCAAGCGCCCAACCCTTCTACTTGGAGCGCTCCAGCTGGTTTCTGGTCTGCGCAGAGTTGTGACATTTCAGCCAACTTCTACGACCACCAGATGGTCATCGACACTACCATCTGCGGCAACTGGGCAGGTGGTGCCTACTCGCAATCCGGATGCCCAGGAACGTGTTCAGAAATGGTCGCCAATGCTAGTAACTATGCTGGTAAGTTTTCCTGTGATATTTGTTCATGTCGCACCGCTCAGTGTTGTTTAATGTTGTAGATGCCCAGTGGGTTATCAACTACGTTGCCGTCTTCCAGTGAATATTCGCCTTAAACCTTCATTATTTGCATTGCATTGTATCATACCCACATCATACCCTGCATTCGTCACAGCACATCATCATCTATTCTTTTGCTTTATTGGCAGGATCAGTTACTGTTTGCATATGCTGCGCTGGTCGCTTTCTTGTTTGCTGCCCATTACGAGAAATCCATGATACAAGACCTATGGCCTACTTACGAATAATTAGACTCAAAATATATTGATTGTATGCTTGAGGCTTGTATGTTGTATCGATCTTGCGCATGTTCTGCGCTTGCTGTGGGGAGACTAAGACTGGATCATTTCAAATTCCGACTTGACAAACCTATATTCTGCTAACGTGCAATTGAGCAAATAAGTCTGTTTATCTGCGAAAATTTACGATTACCTAATGTAAACGCTGTAAAGCAGATTCCTCCCAAGATTCCTCCGCTACCCAACAAGGGTATGTCACGGTCACACAACGCCGAGCAACCTGAAGATACCTACGCGCGGCCCCCACGACGGTAGATGCAGCTGCGACAACGGACGGTTGGGCTTAGAAGACGGATGGATAGATGGATTGTATCAGTAGAGTAGTAGGAGACTGTCATACATGATTCCACGGACAATCATTTAATAGCACGAAGTCACGGTCAGAAATTCAGAATGAATGCAAGTGTGAAATCAAAGATTTCAAATGAGGGTGCGAGAACGACAAAGATGCATCAGAGTCGCACCTTGGTTCTGCAGGCCTCCCGTTGTGAATCAACGAGAAGGTGAGTGAAAATTTACAATTATTAGTAGATGTTGAGGGATATCCCGGCAGGCGCGTGCGCCTGCCGGGAAAATTTACAAACTTTACAAACTTTACCGTAAATTTTTCACTGTCCCGCACTTCACTCACTTTACCCACCAGAATTCGCACTTTACTGCACTTTACACTACCTCGCCTGTCCCTCCGCCCTCCCCATCCTACTCAGTTGCCATAAATGGTGACTTAGACAATACGGTCACATGACACATGATGTCTCTTCTCCGTCGCCTCCCATCTTCCTCGACGGTCGTTAACGTTGGCCCCCCGTATTGCACACACCCTTCCCCAGTAGCAAAATTTATAGGTAAGTGATCTTCCTTTATTGCTCGCTTACCCCGCTGACCCTGCGCCAGAATTCTCCCTGTTCGTCGTGAAATTGTCCTGGGTATCCTATTCACTCAGCCGCAACAGTCTACTAGTCAACAAAGACAATCATCGTGAGTTCCTTTCGCATCGTTCTAATTCAAATTGGTGTTGACATATCGCAGGATGATGAGGTTAGTCAAAGGTACTTATATTCAGGGTGGCTTCAATGACATTCGAGTAGTACCACACCCATAACCGGACCTGCACCTTTTTCAAAATCTACGAAGTTTAATGATCTTCCAGATGATATCAAGAGGACGTTTGAAACTATCGAGTACGCTAATCATAAGTGCTAACATGTCCTAGGACTTACTTCGCATAGCTCGCACATTCAGGGATGTATACAAATAAGCAACGAGCTTAAACAGCGAAAAATGGGGGAAGAGGCGATCAAGGGCCAGGAGTTAATTCGCGAATTGCACAAGGTGCGCCTCATTTTATTGCATATATCCAGTATGTTTGGTTACCGACTTTATCGATTCAGGAGCTGCTTGGTGTATCCTCCGTTATTCAGTCGGACTCTCTCTTCGCCAAGGACCTGAAAGTGAAGACTGAACAAGCAGTTCAAGACACGATTGTCGCAACCAACATCATCGAGGGCTTTAAAAACCCGCATCAGAGCACAGCATATCTCAAGAATCATGCTTCGTTCCCTCTGGAGTATGTGTAGATCATCAATGTGAAGTAACTTGAAAGTGTTGACATGTTGCTGGCTAGATTCTTCACCCGTGTCACGCAAGAGATGCAGGAGCGTCTGCAGTGGTTCAAAAACATTATCGAAGTATGATGCCATATTTTTGGTAACACCCTGAAGTATTCTAATACATCGAATAGCAAATTGAGCGGAAACTATCCGCATCGGCATCCCAATCTCAAAATACACCCCAAGGTTAGACTTTCCTTCACTCCACCCTCATCCTCAGCTTACATTTCGCTGTGTTGTCTTGACAAGACATCGAAGACTACCAAAACCTACGATCGACATCACGAGAGCCCATGAAATGTGAGTCGTGCTTTCGAAATCGTTTGGTTATGAGGACTCACATAGTCCCGTCATTCCAGCTACACTCTCTACCTACTGAGGATTGTGCTCTGTGCTAGCTAACCTCCTCGCATACGATTGACTTTGGCCGAAGAGATAGAATCGCTGGCATCGTCTCTTTTGTCCTTTGGATTCCCCTGTGTAAGATATCTCTGCCGGGTGTCTCTCGCCACAATATTCAATCGCTTCAGTTCTGCTCGTGCGTCACCTTGTAAGTCAGAATTCAGTGTCCTAGATGAAAACCATCTCAGAATTGCTACGTGGCTCAATTTAGGTGCACATGATAACATTACATAGATACTCTGAAGGGAACGCGCCCATGTCAAATCCACAATGACTCGGTCTAAAGAGCTTCCTTGCACCTTGAAATCTGTGAATGCCCATCCTGGCACAATTGGAAGTTGCGTACATCGAATATTGATTATTTTTTCACCTGTAGGATATCTAAAACTATTTGTCACAGGCAGAATGGGTACAACACCACGGCCCGAATCTCGACGGTCGTTAACGTTGCCCCCCGCATGGTGTGCTACTGTAACACTGCGGTTTTGTGTGATTAGAAGGTACAATCAAACTTTTCAGCATACCTTTGACTGACATTCTCATCTAGAAACACTACTACTATTTGTCATATGATGATACTGCCTTGGATCATTGCCAGAGTCGTCTTTCGTGTAAGTCTTTGTTTACTTGTTCCTCCTTCAAGTTCTACTTGGAACATTCCATCATCTCTTCCCGAGCTGGCAGGCCTTCTGTAGGTGAACCAACTCGGTAGGTTGCGCATGTCCGGACAAGCCTTTTGTAGGTTATCTGGATGTCCAGTGTGTGACGTACTCATACTCTGAGTCCCTTTGCTTTTTGAATCTGACTTGGGGCCGTTTTTTTAATGCTAATATTCATTTCAACCGCTTCAGCAGGAATCCGTTGGCTGGACCCAGTGTCCCATTCTTGGAGGGATGTCCAGCAATAAAGAACTTCTTCAAGGGTGCTTCTGTCACACTCGTCCACCAGTTTCAGACCGCCGCCCTTGCTGTTCTCAAGCAGAACGACGTTCATGCACCGGACCTCCGCCCAGATTCGCCACAGTTCAGCCAGTTGAAGAACTCCTTCAAGAGCGTTTCTGTCATGCTCGTCCACCAGTTTCAGACCACCGCTCTTGCTGTTCTCAAGCAGAACAACGTTCATGCACTGGACCTCCGCCCAGAACTCCTTCAAGGGCGTTTCTGTCACGCTCGTCCACCAGTTTCAGACCGCCACTCTTGCTGTTCTCAAGCAGAACAATGTTTGTGCACTGGACCTCCGCCCAGATTCGCCACAGTTCAGCCAGTTCAAGAACACCTTCAAGGGTGCTTCTGTCACGCTCGTCCACCGGTTTCAGACCACCGCTCTTGCTGTTCTCAAGCAGAACGATGTTCGTGCACTGGACCTCCGCCCAGATTCGCCACAGTTCAGGCAGGGCATTTCTGTCATGCTTGTCCACCGGCCGGGCCTCGAAAATATCCAAGGATTGGTTGCCAATGCTGGAAACTTTGAGTTTGAGAACACGACGGTCAAGGTAGGTTTTCATACGAATCACATCCATAACAGCTTCTCTCAGCGCGAGTGCAGGACTACTTCAAGAAAGCTTGGGGTCGCGGCAGCAGCATCATGGTTCTGTATGCGCTAGTGTTTGGTTTGGCAGATGGTATCCTACGGTACTCACTCTTGTGCTCAGTATGTAGTTGAAATTCAGTGTGATGCTTTACTAGTGTAGTCTACTATGTGTTACGACAGTGCGGGTCAATCAAAATTGAGAGCCAAGTGAATTTTAAAACATGGAGTGACATCATACCCTCTGAAATTTCAGAACTGTCCCACCAATTACCTCTGTCTTGTGTTTTACCTCCCACATGGCACGATCAAAGAAGGGGGCATCAGACGTCGTTCAAAAGAAGCCGAGGCGGAGGAAAGAATCAGCTATCCTGAAGTCAGCTTTGGCTGACATCCAGAAATGCAAGGAACTTGGAATTGAAACGCACCTCCAAGCAAACAAGACCAGGAGCAGCTATGCTGGCCATGTACGCCGGGGACGCGAGTGGCTCGCGAGCCATTTTGATGCACCAAGCTGCTCCGCTGACGAGGGGGACTGCTCAGTGCCCAAAGAGCCTTTGGTACAGCCGGTGGCACTGTCAGTGCCCTCTTTCGTTAGAGACAATCCAGACAGCGATGTGTATGCAGATCCTGCCTTCAAAGATGCGTTCGGGTGCACGCCAAACCGATGCTCCGACAAGGCGCTGGCCCTCTTCATGTCCCTGAAGGGGTTCCACGAAAACCTCAGCAAGAACACGGTCGAAAGTATCCGCGCAGCATTCAAAAAGCTCTGGGAGCAAGCGTGAGCAACACCCTGCAGGACCAGTACAGACTGAGAGTACTGACTTGTACCAGGGATGGCGGCACGTTTCGTGGAAAGTGGAGTTTCAATGAGGCGAGACAACACTGGGAGGGAAATCCAGCCGACTCAGCGGAAGTTTACGACGTGATGGCATCTGTCAAGCACAAGGCCAGCGCAGAGGGCGGAGATCGAACTCACTCGATGGCAATGACAAAAGACTTCATGGATCGCATGCTCCAATGGCATGAGGCCGCATGCCCACTGGAGATCGCACTGCAGGCCATCCAGCTAGTGATGAGCGGCACACTGCCTTCGCAGGTCCAACTGACTCTCGACACAAGGACCCAGCTCACTCGCCATCTTGAACAGGTCACTTTCGATGCTGGCGCATGGACCTTATGGAGCAGGTATTGTCCCGCCTGCCGAAATTGATGTGCGCTCGCTGACTTACCATTTTGGTAGGTGCTTCGAACTCGTGAAACTGCAGCGCAAAGACATCTCGCTCGACACAATCCTGCTGGACACCGTCATGAAAAAGTATCTGGCACGCGAGCCACTGACACTCAGCGACAGCAACACCTATTTTGAAATATTCCTCTCGAACCGAAAAGGATGGCAGAAAAGGGTCGATAAGGGCATCTGCGAGGCAGACCTTAGGTGTGAGTTGATTCAGATTAGCATGAAGTGACGCCCTGCTGATGTAGCAGTGTATGTGCCTCACACCAGCCAACCACTACAAGATATTTCCCCGCCCAGACATGCCTTCCTGCGACAGCTTCATCTGGATGTTGCTCTGGATCAAATGGCTCGAGTTTTTTCATTACTGGGCGCACACTCGGGCCAAACTGACTTCATCTTCCCTTCGATGGGTGCCAATGGCATCATGCAGCCTGGACAGCCTCTCTCCCATGACACTGTGCAAAAGTGGATTGACGAGGCAACGACAGGTGCTGGCATCCTAGGCTGTTTTTTCGACTCACTGCTTCCGCCGTGGAGGTGCCCAGTATTGGTTTATGTTCGCACCGGTTGGTCAGCGGTGGTCACTTGCCATGGTTCGATGGTGGGGAGGATGGGCTGATTGTGAACAGGTATGTGCCTTCAATGATCTACTTTTTTATCGCTCTCACTCGTTCATTCTATTCCCAGCGAAACACGCTCATTCGTTACCTTCTCGACGAAACTACACACCTATGAGACCGACTACAGTGATGCCCTCGCTCCTTTCTCCCGCGAAGCTGAATCCTCCCTTGCAGGCGAAGCAGGCACTCATGAGGGCCAGCATCCACTGAGGAGCTGCGCCATGGTTCATGCATCCGTGACCGCAGATGTCCAATCGTTTGCGAGTTGGACGTCAGATGCAGTCAAACGACTCGCTTCGGTCACTCACCAGCATGGTCCAGGCCACTTCAAGTTGCCTGAAGGCTGCCTGGACACCTACCTCCAACACAGCTCGAAGAAGATCCCCGCTTCACCCTTCTCCGAGTCCTCCGCATCTGGCAGTGCAGAAGTCTCCTAGATTTCAACTCCTCGGCATGTCCATCCACCACCAACACACTCCCGTCCTCTGTCATCTGTCCGCAGGAGCCATGGCCACGCACACATCACTCCAACTACTCGACCACTGCCATCTGCTGCTGCGCACACAGCCTCGACTCAACAACTTCCAAGCAACGGTCTTGTCATTCCACGGCTGCCACTCGTCCGTTCGAACGGGTTGAAGACTCCGAAGGCCGAGTCCTGGAGGGACATCATCACGCACTGGCTCGTCGGTGACCCCGACAGAGGGTTGAAGACGCCACTCAAGGACTGGCCGCAGGAGTGGTACCAAGGCCCGAACCGGAAGCTCGCAATGCAGTACCAGAACAGGGCCGTTGTTGCGCGCGAGTTCATCAACCAGTGAGTGCTTCCGGCTGCGATCCAACACGGGCGCTCAACATTCTTTTGTTCTTTCTTCCTCGTCACCTCCATTTACCAGTCAACGAAGCCCTCTTCCTTGCAGCCTACCCAGAAGCCGAGCGGGGACACACCCCACTGCTTGCAGCCGTCAACAAGGCACGGGCTGCACGAGGAGAGCGTGTCCGTCGCAAAATGACACGAGGACTCTCACTTCGGAACCATACCACTACTGCCGCCCACTCGAACGCTCGTAACTTGTAAGTACTATA